AATGGATTAGTCGAAAGACTCAACGGTATTATTAAAACAAGAATTACCATTTATACAGAAAATGAATGTGAATGGGATAAAAACTTTCAAGCTCTAGTTTATAGTTATAATGTTTCGATTAAACCAAATCTTGGTAAATCACCATTTCAACTACTCCTGAATTATGAGCCAAGAACCTTAGCTCATAATGAATTGGAAATTGATCCACTTTATAAAGAAGAAAACATTCATCAAGCAAGAGAGGAGGTAAGAGAGAAAATCATCCACTCTTCTGAGCAATCAGCTTTCAAACGAAATGAAACATTAAAAGAACCATCATATGAACGTGGTGATATCGTGCGAATCAAACCCGTACCTTATACCACTGGTGCTAAAATTACAAAAAGAAAATTCTTTGGCAAATTCATTGTATTACAACCATATGAATCAGCCGCTAAAATTATCAACGTTTATAATGGACAAGTGAAAGTTCTAAATTATGATCGTATAAAGAAAGCAAATTTACCTAAATCATCAAATCATGAAATTCTCCTCAAGAAACATCCTATTGTAGTGAATGAGGAAGAATCTTCCTCATCTAAACAATCAGCATCAAATGAAAAATCACATGAAAATGTACAGTGTAGTGATGAAGAATCTTCATCACCTGAAACAAGTCAACCATTGGAACAAGAAACTGAACCGATTACAGTTACGTTACCAGTTACAATACCGCAACAACAACCATCTAATCAATCACAACAAATTGATCAAACTGTTATGAATGAAACAACTAGTCAACAACAATTAGTGTCAGAACCAACAGAGGAAGAATCTTCCTCCATGGTTCCATGTGCAACAAACATTCAACTTTACAATCAACCAAATATTCATCTAAACAATCAAATCAGAAACCCTAATATTCAGCTTTATAATCAACCGAACATACAATTGAACAATCAACCAAACACAGCTCAACAAACAATAAATTTCAACGAATCAAGTGAAACCGAAGTGGAAGAAAGTGATGTGAATAGTGCAAATACAAGGAAGAAGACTCGAAAGAAACGTATTTGGCCAACACATCAAATGGAAAGAAGACCGAGAAAACAAAATTAAATCAATTGTTCTCTTGCCCACTTCGTATTCGGAACGTCATCGAGTGAAGAATCTTCACCCGATGAAGTAAAAGAAACACTACTTTTAATACTAACAATTTTCAACCCCTTTTAACAATTAATCACTTAAACCCTTATTAAGCACAATTTAGAAAATAGATTAATCAATTGAGAGAAAGAGTCTTTCTCTTAATCCTTTAATCACCGTCACAATTAATACTAGAGAGTAAACAAGCTAACGAGAAAAAGCTAACACAGCGTAACCATAGAAACAAATCATGCGCAGAATAGAAATTTTTTTTGAATATTCTATTCTCTTTTAATTAACCTTGATTATTGTGCTAATTGCTCATCAATCAAGTTCAACAAATTGTAACAATGTTTCTTTGTGTCCAAAATTCTGATTTTGTATTATTCTTATTTGTGAATCAAAAACGTGAAGAATCTTCACCATATTTTGATTGAATTGACAAGATAAATTTAACAAATTTAAAGTTAAAAACCTACAAAGTGTTTAAACAGAGCAAATTAGTTGCTCCTGAGGAGAAGAATCTTCACCTCAGGTCAATCAACATTTTCTCCAAATCCGATAAATCAATTGTCAAGAAAGTGTCAAGCTTCATTGGAAATGGAAATGCAAGGAAAAATCTGGAAAGTTCAAGACAAATGGTTGAACGAAATGGTCATGGATAAACTGGTCAGAACTTTCGGTGATGAATGGAGAAGCGTACCTGTCGTTTTCTATCTCCCAGGACTAGTTTTACATGAGAAACCAAACATGAGCCAAGTCAACATGTTAACTTCATTAGCCTGCAAATTCTGTAATCACATTCCCGTGAACCCAATGAAATGTTCAGAATGTAAATCATTCTACTGCCGATACTGTATCATTCTTCTCTATTCTTTGGACCATAGAATGAAAGGAAACATGAATCCAGATCTAGAAAAACTTGACAACAAACACTTCCTGTGTATTAAGTGCCCACTATCATCGCTAACGAAAACAATGGGACTAAACAGTGAAGAATCTTCACTGTTCAGTCGCCTAATTGAAGTGCCGATCCTACAACTGTGAAGAGTATGGAAAATACTATGACATCTTACATCATCTTGCGAATTGTAAAGACAAAGAGTACAAAGTGTTATCCGTTTTGAACTATTACTACTTCCACCAAAAAGAATTAGAAAAACAAGGAGAAAATTTCGCATCATTACAAAATACGCTCAACAAAAGTTAACCGAAGATGAATTCTATGAAACCTTTGACAAAAGACTCATGATTCAATACCGAATGAATTTGTTCCTCCAAGTGGATTCACAGCTGAAAGAAGATTGATCCACTTAATCCATTACATGTGAGAACAACCGTAATTGGATTCAAATCGAAAGAAAATCATCTCTCAGCCTTCTACCAGTAAAGAATCTTTACCGATAGAGGAAGAGTTGGGACCTGAATTCTGGCACGCAGAAGATGATGAATTTACTCGAGAAGAGGAAAGTTTAAATAAGCCAACAAAACATTCATCTAAAAGCCAAAGAGCTTCAACAAGCGCATCAGTCGATGACGATTGGACCAAAGGTATTTGGGACGATTGGAACGAGCCGACATTAGCCGATAAAGATGAATGGGGAAATTGGAATACTGGTTATGCCATCGCAGCGAAAGTTTCAGCTCCGGAAAAAGATCTAATCGATGACAGTCCGGAAGAAGATGAAGAATCTTCATCTCCTCCCAAGATTAAAATGGAGATACTTCCAACTAGAAAGCCTGCTGGTGCGAACAAGAGAGTCATTGTGCCAATGGAAACAATTAGAAAAGAATATCACGGAAAGAAAAGGAAAAACGCTCTTGGAAATAAAAGACGACTAGCAAAACGAGCTGAAACTGGTAAAAAGTCCAATCAAGATTTGCGAAGATTCTTAGCAACACTTGATTTTCTAAATCAACATTCAACAATTCAACAAGAACAACGTTTTAAATATAAAAGACAATATTCATCGAAGAAGAATCTACAAGGCTTGGGACGAACTCGATGAAAAGAAACTCAAAGTGTGCTCAATAGATATTGAGAAGTGTATTGTGACAACATCCAGAGGACAAGAATCTTATCCATGCTGGGTTGCCATTGTAGACACTCATGCAAATATTTGTTTCAATGATCTCATTAGATATCCAAAAGCATCAATATTCGAAATGAATACGAAAATTCATGGAGTCTCATTTGAAGTCACTCAAGGTGCAAAATCATTTGAAGAGCAAAGGAAAACAATCATCAAAATTTTACTACAATTTGACCGAATCATAGTTGCTGGTGGAATAAATGATTTCGTGTCTCTATGCTTCGATCATCATGATTGGGCGATCATCGAACCAAAAGTTCGAGATGTTAACTATTATTACTCGTGCAAACTTGATGCTGCAGGACAACCATGTGAAATGTTAGCCCTAAAGTACATAACATTTGCCCTCTTTGGAAAAATAATTCAACAAGATTGTCACTCTCCAGTGGTAGATGCCGGATTTACGCTATTCGCATATCTTGTTGACCATAAGTCATTTGAAGAGACTCATGAAGCTGCAAGGAAAGCACCTTTCCTACAACTTCCTCTTCCTCATGTCCGTTATCCTCCAAATAAACAAATGGCAAGACACATCGACAACATCATGGAACGAATCAATGATTGGCCTTTTATATTAAGAAAATCAGCGTTTCCAGGAGGAAAACCATCAGGATCATTTGACACAAAGCTTCTTTGTGATCATGATGATGTGACAGAGAGACCACCGTATACAGAAGTAGATCTGAACATATTCAATGTATACAAAAGAAGAGTTCAAATTGGAATCCAAAAACAAAGCCAATATCGGAAATGTTGAACCAGTGGCATCGAGATCAACAATCAATCGACACTCGAGATGGCGATTAACCCTTGACCTTACACTTGACACACTGGACCAACAGCAACAACGGGGCTCTGTTAGGGGATTAGCTTTATTTTTGCTGTAATTAGTACATCGTCCCTCTCAATCATTGCTTACATCACATTTATCTCTAGGGACTCATTGTTTAAAGTATAAATAAGAAACCTTTTTCAATTACAAACACATTCCATTAACATTACATTAATAGTTAATATTTTGTCATTCAAGGTTAATCCTTAAACCCCTTAACCTTTTACCCTTATGTCCTTTAATTAACCCTATTCAAAATCTCTCATTGTGCTTTCTATCTAAACCACCCTTAAAACTACCACCAACTAAAGCCTCTTCAATTAGTGTTTCAATAAAAGTTATTTTGTTCCGATACGATCTTTATACTGAGCTCTCGCATAGAGAATCCCTAACAATAATGATAAAATTGTTATTAAATTGATAAACTGTGTTTAAATTCACCAGGCTTATTTTCCCATGCATGTGAAAACTGGGCTAATAGGTGGATTGGATTCCCTTGTTGTTTAATTGTAACGGTAAATTGACTAACAATCAATGGGAGAAAGTCCAGTTCTCTGAAATGTTAAGTTCTTTTATACCCTGTACAAAGGTGAAGGCAAATATGAATGGATATAATAGATTTGTGTAAGTGTTTGTACCAATTAATTGCTTTTCCAATTAAACTATTGATTAGTTGATCAGTTGCGTAAGTTTTTTGTATAGCAAAACTGGTAAGAGAAAATGTAACACATTAGTAAACTTTTCAACAATTAACCTGACTCAATAATCGGTCTAATTATTTACCTTGGATTTTCATCAATTTACTAGATTGTCCATAAATATAGAAAAGTAAATTTCTCCAAATCAATTGAACTTTGTTGTGTTATTGTTGATTAACACTTTGATTTTTTTCCGTCTTCTTATCCATCATCTTTGTCTCTCCCTCTCTCACTTTCCATCTCCATATTTAGATTGTCATATTGATTGGATCCCTTGGTGGAGCTCTTATTCTCTCTTCTATCATAATATTATCAATAATCCATCGTAAAAATGACAGGTTAGTAAATAAATAAAAAAGAAAATCAAGACAATTAAGAAACAGTAAAAATCCACAAGAAGAACAAGTTAATCAAACTAATTCAACATAAGAGAAAAGAGAAAAGAGAAAAACAAAAGAGTTAATATTAGACAAGGCGAATATAAATATCTTCTCATCACAATAATTAACTAATCAAAAGGAATAAATGTCGAAACAATTAATCAATTAACATAATTAACCAAATCAATAGAAAACAAAAGTCAAAACAATTAAAATGATTAACGTTTTTTTCTCGCATAAGCGTCGCCATCTCGCTTATCCTTTTCGACTTAATCTCTTGTTCTTTTTACGCGCCAATTTCATTTTCTTTTCTTTCACACTGATTTTCGATTCGATTTTTAATTGTTAATTGTTATTTATTTTCTTCGTTCCTTTTTTTTTGTAAATTTATATATGATTAATATACAGAATTAATAAGAATGAAACACTCGAGATTGCCATACGTGAGAAGATACCTTTGAATGCTTCTAAAATGATTCGAAATCCAAATTATTCACCAACAAAGGATTCTCTCTATTCTGATTCAGGTGAGAATTAAATATAAATATGATTACTATTCATGGGGATTATTTATTTATATTGTTTTGTTTTTCTTTCGATTTTTATTTATTTTGATTATTGTTCAGTTGTCAATGGTTACCTGAGTTCTCTGTGTGATTTTCATGTTATTGTTCAATCTTTTTCTCTCTTCTTTACTTATCCTCTTCTCATTATTATTGACAACTTGAAGGTTTTTCTGATAATCATGATAGTCTTTTCATCAGAAAATGATGATAGGTTATTGATAACTTTTCGATAATCTCATGATTATCATCATCATCGTTGAGTTTCACCCACAATTTAATCAAATATTGACAAAGAATATGAATTGAACAATGAGGGAAATTGAAATCCATCATCATGAGATCCAAACTTTTTTCAAAATTTCGAACTTTTTTTGGACATTTATGTAATATAGTCTTCGAGTTTGATAAACGATTACACCTTCAACAATTAACTTGGAACTATATTATTCCATTAATTGTTGTTGTTGTATTACTTTTAATCATTATTATTTGCCAAGGTTTTCGTTTAATTTAATTTTCATATTTTGGTAACAATTTTATGAGTTAATTTAGTTAAAAACAATTTACTTATTCACATCGTCAATGTTAAAATGATTTCAGTATTTTGTTAATTGTTGATTATTGAGGAGGAAGAGAAAATCTAGACTATGATTAACTAATTGTTAATTTAACAAGTCGTTATTAAGATAATTGTAACCGTAAGTAAATGAGTCTATTAATAGTCAGTTTAATTGGATGAAATCAAGTTTATAACAGGCAGATAGAAAATGATAATGACAGACTTGATTGTAATTAATGATCATCATTATTGTCCGAAAAAAAATCAACTAAGATTTTTGTTGATTGTCAATTCGTGTTAAGCTAAATATTAATCAATCCCAATCTTCATATTGTCTAATCAATCAGCTGATTATCCAATTGGAAAGTATTATTGTTTTGTCAGGTAGATTTAATTTCTGACCTTGATTGTTAACTAATTTTTTTTCTGTAAACGATAACAAATCAAGATACGACAAAAAATTAACTAAAGACTAAGAAACTAAAGATTCAACAGTTAACTAATTCCTTTACATTTAAATGAATAATTTTCTCCTCCCTGTTAATCCTTCCTTGTTGTTTTCTCGACAGGATTAAGGTTAATCCAAAGGAGTCGAATAAATTTCCTACGTGAATTGGGTGAAGGTGCTTTTGGTCGGGTTTTTCTTGGTACAGTTGAATCTCTTAAACCCGACGAAGACTCAACTTTAGCAGCGATTAAAACACTTAAAGATTCGAGTGAGCCTGAAGTACGAAAAGACTTCGAACGGGAAGCCGAAGTTCTATCCAATTTAACTCACACTAATATCGTTCAATTTTATGGAATTTCGATTGACGGTGAACCCTTAATGATGGTCATCGAATATATGAAATTCGGTGATCTAAACAATTACCTGAGAGCCAAAGATTGGTCCAACAATTTGATCAAAATATCGGAATCGGAAATGTCCACATTCGATAAACTTACCTACTCTGATCTACTTAAAATATCCGTTCAAATCGCTGCAGGCCTTGAATATCTATCGTTACAACATTTTGTCCATCGTGATCTGGCCACTCGAAACTGTTTAGTCGGTGACCAATTGCTGGTTAAAATCGGTGATTTCGGCATGTCCAGGGATCTCTATGCAACTGATTATTACAAGGTAATTTATTGTCAACAATCAACAATCAACGATCATATTAATTATCACGAGGAGATACAAATGATGATCACTATGATTATCATTAAATTGTGATGATTAAAAACATCTATTAGCTGAATGATCATTGAAAAGCAGACGAAATTTAAGAAAATTGGTTTAATTTGATTGTTATCCAATTTGATTGAACAGGAAACTTTGATTGATTTAATTCACTCTAATGAATTAACCTTGATCAGAATCTAAAGAAATTCATATTACCGTGTGACTATTGATATCCTGCTGAGTTTTCATGAGGATCATGAGGGAAACTAATTGAATGTCATTTGATTTAATCACTAACGATAGATTATGATTAAGAATAAGATAGTTAATCAAGAGCTATTTTTATTTATCCACAAGAAAAGCAAATCTTATCAACTCACCATTGAATCAAAAATAGAAAACATTGTAATCATGATTAACTTTCCAGTTCTACCGGTAATCAATGGTTAACTGTCAATAAATTGATTGTCATGAAAATTAACCAGTTCAAAGGTTATTATTATATCATAATGATACATGTAATATTGATCATCAATTAGTCTGTGTGACATCAATGGTGATCATGTTTATCTTGAGTGGGTTTTTATTTACTCCAACACTTGATTCATTTGATTTGATGTTTAACTAATTATTGATTGTTGTTTTCGATGTTGGTTAATTTAGATTGGACGTCAAACCATGTTACCAATAAGGTGGATGTCTCCAGAAAGTATTGTCTACAGAAAGTTCACCGTTCAATCTGATATATGGTCTTTTGGTGTAGTCCTATGGGAGATATTCACCTATGGAAAGCAGCCTTTCTATGAATTATCTAATCAAGAAGTGATTAAGGAAGTTGTCGAAGGTAAAATATTGGCCCAACCGGAAGACTGTCCCAATATTATTTACGAACTCATGTCCAATTGTTGGGTTGAATCGCCGTTCAAACGGATAACTGCCAGTGAGGTTCATTCGCGTCTTCGAGAGATTGTCAAAGAAGAAGCTCTTTTAATTGATGATAAATCAATCGTTGATTCTCATATAATGAGGTGAATAAATTGTTACATTGACAATTAGAGAAAGAGAGAGAGAGAGAGAGTAGACAATTAACTCGGTGAGACAACTGTAAACCTATCACATTGATTACATCTCGAATAACGGTTAATCAACGATGGTACTTTTTTCTTAAAGCAATAACAATTCTGATTGTTGATAATTATCATGATTACTATTTAGAAATGGTTGATAATTGTGTTGTTTTTGCTCTGGAAATGATTAACTTATTAATTTCGACACTTTTGGAATTCATGTCACCAAGTGGCAACTTTTCTGTTCACCAGTTCGAGGAAATTGATCATAAATCTTAAATGACAATCGACAGTTAATCAAGATGATAATCCTCACCTTCTAATCATTTAAATCCGAAATCAAATGAGACTGGAACCATAAGCGATCCCGATGAAGGAATCTAATCAATATTAATACCAATCGAAGTGCAAAGGATTAAGTTAATCACTCAATTTAATTTGGACGAAAATAGATGAGACGAATTATGAAAGAAAATTAAAATTATCCCAAACACTAATCTCACCAACGAAATCAAAGAAATGGACAAACAATCAAGAAAATCAATCGTTTCTCTCAAAGAATCAAACTAATTGATTTCGTCAATTCTTTTCATCTTCATCTTTTCCGGGATAAATTTACTCTCTCTTTCTTCATCTTCATCTTCATCTCTTTGGTTGTCATCATCTTCTACTTCCTTATCCTCTTTTTCAACACCATTTTTTACTCATCAACAATCAACTTTGTCACATTGATTATCTCTCTGTGATTGACCAGTTGAAACACTCAAAGATTGTGTTAGAAACTCAATTGACTCAAGTTCTTGTTGAAAGATTTTCATGAAAAAGGAAAATGAATTGAACATTGAATCAATTGTTTCGTTCAGTAAAAAGCTCAATGAATGAGATTCATCTTCTAGTCTCTAATCATCATTATCGATAATCTTTTTATATGTTTCTCTTCATAAGTAAATGATGAAGATCATTGATGGTTATCATCTTTCTCTCTCATCATCATCCTATTTCTGTATTTATCTCACTCATCTTGGACTCGATTCTTCAATGTTATTGAATATTATTCATCAATGTCGATCATAAATGATGATGATTGAAAGAGATGATAAACTTACCTAATTGATGATCTTCCTTTCATTGTTAACTCGTATTCTTCAATATTATCATTAGTTTCATCTGAATTATTGATTAACCTGAATAATCAAATATAAGGAGACAAGATGAGAAATGTTTCCAAGAAAAGTTTTAATACTTTTGAATAAACAACTTTTTTTTCTTCCATTAATTAGTTAATTGTTCAGGAAGAAGATTAGAAAGAGATTTCGTTATCATCATTAACTTTTCCCTTCTAATGTAATAACTTTATTAAAATCAATTCTTCTCTCAAACAATCATTTAATTGTAAACTATTTTATCACCCATTCTGCAGAATCATAATTCTATCATTAAGTTAATCATTGTAATTAATATTTATCATCATCTTCTGTGGAGCCAAAGTTAATGTTAAATTTGCTCAGAATTGAAAAGTTATATCAACTTGGAATTGTTAATTAGCGACATCAACTCTTGTAAATTATTCACCAAAGGAAAATAACAATTATCATCAACAATTAATTCTATGATAACAATTGTAATAATAATCATCGAATCAGATTAAATGGTAAATTGTACAACAATTAAGAATTAATTTTCGACCAAAAATTTGAAGAAACATAAATAAATAAACTAAGTCGATCTCTTCACTTTCATTATCCATTATTTTGTTTCTTATTAATAATAACTAATAATACAAGGAAAATGCGTGATCGCCTTTTTGAGTGAATTTTAAGAGATAAAAGTTTCGTTTCGGCTTGTTTATTAATATTAATATAAAATGTTCATATTGAACTTGAACGACTGTAAAATTGTGATTATGATTTTGATTATGGTTGTTAATTATCTAATTTACTTTAGTTAATTATCTTTTCTTGCCAATAATGGCTTCAGTTATGTCCATGTTGTTACGTCGAGGGATTGGACAGATGAAAATCTGACCAGCTCAACTACAAATAGTCAGAAACTATAGTGAGTATTTATGATAATGAATATGATCGTTATTTATAAGGTGACATGTAGCATACAGTATCTTGCACAAAAAGTGACAGTAGCGTTTATCGTCCTAATTTGAAAACGAGTCGAAGTTATGATCTGATTTTTCTCAGATATATTGATTAGTCACTAATGCACATACATAAAAAATTTCGTGAAATCATCACGATCTCTTGAAAAGTTATATAATTTTATTTTCACTGAAATCGAACTTTTCCAAACAAAGTCATCTTTTTTGAGCATTCGAATCTGAATAACATGAGAACCATAAGAGTTACAATAATGAGCGAATTATAAATTTTGTTGAGCTGTGATCATAGATAATGAAAATTTTTTTAAAAATTCAAAAAAGATAATTTTGAAAATTTTTAGTCTATGGAGGTCCAAAAATAACAATTTTTCTGATGAAAAAATCGATAATGATTTTTAATTATAATTGAGATAAAAAAATCTCTTTAAAATTTTGCAAGAATTTTTCAAGGTATAATTTTTACATGATACTTGAGCTAACTGCTAAAAAAAATTCGGACATAAACTTTTTGTTGTTTGAGTTTTAAGGCCAAAAAACGCGACTTATCTCGAGAAAATTATATTTTTGCTCGCTAGAATTTTTATAGCTCGTTATTCAATTCAGATTTTTGCATGAAATTTTTTCTGTGATTAGTCCAGAGACCTGACTACAACTTAGTGAAAAAATTTTAACTCAATAGTTGAATCGATCTTAGTAACAAATAAAAACGCTACTGTCACTTTTTGTGCAAGATACTGTATATCAACATCTTCTTTTATCATCCAGGTATCTTTATATCTCAGCATCATTTGTATCTCTCTCTCTCTCTTTATTAATCTTCTGTTTTGTGATAGTGTTTGTATAATATTTGAACTGAAACCCCTGAGAAATGAAAGCGCAGAGAAAAAAAATCAAATTCTAAAAATTGAGAAAAAAGAAAATTTTTTCTCTTCTAATGTTACAAAAATTGTCATCTTTCTGATCATCATTTCTCTTCATAAAATTTTACTTTCTGTTGATATCATTTCGATCATCGTCATCATCAGATCTTAAAGTCATTTCTTTTCCTCATCATCTCCATCAGAATCATCTCTATCTCTTTCTCCTGAAATTCATCATCTGATTAAACCTCCAATCAAGTTATTCCTCACGCCCGAATATTTATCATCAAAATAATCTCTCTCTCTCTCTATTTCAACTGAGATATTCAATATTAACAGATTGGGATCAATGTTATAACCTTAATCCGTTATTTCTGCAACATTTAGATATAAACAAAAAGTGATTAGTGATTAATTAGTTGAGAGAAAAGATCTGTGATTAAATTGTGTTTATCTTTCTCATTGATTCCAAGTGTTGATTAATGTCATCAATATGATCGTTATTACATAACATTATCAATCGTCAAAATTTAATTTAACAACAGGAAGATAAAGAATCTCATAGAGTGAAAGAGAGAGGGAGAGAAATCTTCCAAAATTAAATCAATCATTTTCATCGTAGAGTAATAACTCTTTGATTTTCATTCATTGATTAACAGTTGGTTAATTGGTTGAAAATAGTAAATATTATTAAAGTATTCCCTTTAAATTAAATCAACAGTTTGCAGAGTTTTTTTTGTTGATAATTGAGCGACAATTAATCAACCTAACATGTGGAGCCAAAGTTAATGTTAAATTGCTCACTAATGCTCAGAATTGAAAAGTTATATCAACTTGGAATTGTTAATTAGCGACATCAACTCTTGTAAATTATTCACCAAAGGAAATAACAATTAATTATATGATAACAATTGTAATAATAATCATCGAATCAAATTAAATGGTAAATCGTACAACAATTAAGAATTTTCGACCAAAAATTTGAAGAAACATAAATAAATAAACTAACTCGATCTCTTCACTTTCATTATCCATTATTTTGTTTCATAATAACTAATATAATCTTAATATTATCATTAATCAATCAATCAATCAATTATTATTCAAACATTGATAAGAAAAAAAGTTTATTGTTATTTATTTAAATCGTTTTTCAACAATTAAAAAAAACACTTTCGATTCAACAAATTGTGTCGACTTATTTCATTTCAAATCTAAAATTGTTACAGCTCATTAATCAGTTAATCATCTACAGGGTGATAAGAAAGTTTGTTCCTTCTAAGACCAACCCCCTCAGAGGCACAATAAGTGAATTTGATTGTTGACATTTTCACTGATAGAAAATTAGTTTGCTTTCTATTTTTTAAATTAAGCGCTTGTACCAAACGCATTTCAACAAAGAGTATTAGTCTCGCCCCGAGGAACAAACTTTCTTATCACCCTGTATATTAATTGGTTGAGAATAGTAAATATTATTAAAGTTTTCCCTTTAAATTATATCAACAGTTTAAAAGTTTTTTCTATGATAATCGAGCGAAAATTGATCAACTTAGTATGAGTGATGTTAAACTACCAACTTTAATCAATTCAAAGTGCAACGAATCACAATTAGTGACACTAACACCAAATTCATCATCTTCATCCTCATCTTGGACATCATCTCCCTCATCATCATCACTATCAAAACCACAACGGCAACTACAACCTCACCACAAACACCAACAACATTATCCTCATCAGGTAATCGTACTGGCCAATTAAAATCAGAAATTAACGAGGCAGTTAGCAGAGTTCTTGGTGAATATGATTGGACTTTAGTGACAACCAAAAGCAAACCAAATTCAGCGTCCTAGATTAAACTTCACGTTAAAAGGCCATTGAACGCGTTCATTGGTCTGAGCTCAAGCGGCTCGCCGAAAGTTATCTGAACAATATCCTCATCTTCACAACGCTGAATTAAGCAAAACCACTTTTTACTCTTTGCTCAGAATTTAATTAAAAACTGATTAACTTTAACGTTGAAATTTGCGCGAAAAGCGCCATCTGTTGGTCGTGTTTTCAGTCGGTGAAGGTGAATTCCATTTCTGTTTACATTTTGTTTGCAAGTGAATTTTTTGATTATGGTTGTTAATTAACTAAAGTAAATTAGTTAATTATCTTTTCTTGCCAATAATGGCTTCAGTTATGTCCATGTTGTTACGTCGAGGGATTGGACAGATGAAAATCTCACCAGCTCAACTTCAAATAGCCAGAAACTATAGTGAGTATTTATGATTTAAATATTTTTTTTCTTCTATAAATTTACCTTATCCACTCATTGGGAATGATTTATTTTTATTCTAATGAATTGACTTTAATTTTTTTCTTTTTATTCTTTTCTTTATTTATATTACTATTACCTATTTCTTAGGTGATATGAGAATGTTCAAACCTGGACCTACACCTAAAACGGAAGAGGAAAGGAGAGCTGCTGCTGCAAAGTATAATATGATTCCAGAAGATTATCAAGTTTGGGATGAGAAATTGGGTTGGGGAGATTATCCCAAATTTGAAGGAGTTGGTTGGGATGCTAGAGATCCTTATGACGATTATGATTGTGAATATGATCGTTATTGGTACGGTGAACCGGTAAGAAAAGAATCAAGAAAAAAGCTTCCATTGCAATTAATCATTTTAATCATAATCGTTTCTCGCAGGTTCACATAGACTCAATTCTTTGGGGACCCGTTGGTATGAATCCTGATTGGGTAACTCATAAACCATGGTAAATAATTAATCGTCAATTAGATTAACCTCTTAATTACCTTTAACTAATTTGCTTTTTTTTTCTTTTCTAGGTATTACTTTTATCTGGTTTCTATTGGTACAGTCCTTGGATTCACTTTCGTCGCCTTTGTCTTTGAATACTTTAATGTTAGAGTTAGCGGAAGAACGGTAAATATCATCGACTATAATTTAATTCACTTTTCTCAATTTAAGTTAATCATATTTTTCTCATTTCTTTTTCTATTAGAAACCTAAACAATTTCCTGGAGCAAACAAAGTCCACTATACCTTTGAACCAGCTTACGATTAATATTGAATCGTTTCCACAATTAATATAAGAATCAATTAGATTTCTTCAATTGTTGTACATTAACCATAATTGATTGATTTGTTTTAGCGGAAATTAAATATATCCATATAAATATAAATGAGAACTCAAACTAAATCAACCGACTAAGTGATCAACCATTTCATTTGTCTTGACAGAAAGAAAAAATCAAACTTCAATTTTGATTGTTGACAATCAAAAGTAACAATTGGACAGAGAAAATTGAATTGATTAAATCTTACAATTTATTAGATTATATTAATAATATAACAATTGTATCGAGGGAAACAATTATAAATCAAAATAATTTACAATAAATTCAAGTTGAATGTGAAATTAATTGTAGGTGCATATGAGTTATGATTAATTATGATTATCGGAATTGAAATTGATTAATAGCTTTAAATGTGATTAATTTATGTTTCACTCTATCGAGATCTTTAATTCCTCTGGTGAAGTTTTTGTTTTCAACAATTAGTAAATAATGAAGATGATTAACTAATTGTCAACAAGTTGAACACTTTTTCTTAGCCCAGAAACCGGATTTAGCATCTAATTTAACAACGGCCTTTGGGTCAACTAATCCTTTCTTTACATCGTTTTCCATCATTTTCCTAAATTAAATAGAAACAATTAGTTAATTATAATTAATCGATTGTTGAATCTAAATCGTACCTTATAATGGCCTCTAAGGCTTTCATTACGTTGACTCCATGTTTGGCACTTATCTCAAAGAAAGGACAATTAAACTCCTACAAACAGAGAAGACAATTAATTGTCTGATAATTAAATCAATAGATTGTTGTTAATTGTTACCTCGGCAAGTTTATAGCCTCGATCATAACTGATCTGATCTTCTTCGGCAGCATTAGGATCGCGAAGGTCCAATTTATTTCCGACCAGAACACAAGGTATATCGCGATCGGAGCATTCCTAAAAGTAAAAGATGACAACAATTAAGAGTAACAATTAAACGATTTAATAAGTCGATTGTACCTTAATTTGGTTCATCCAATTTCTTGCATTGAGAAAAGTTTTCGGAAGTGTTAAATCATAAACGAGAATCACTCCATCGGCCTTACGAAAATAAGATAAAGTGATCGATCGGAATCTAAAGGAAATTGAAAGTTAATTAGTTGAAGAAGTAGATTGTTAATTGTTGCTGGTTAATTACCTTTCTTGTCCCCCAGTGTCCCAGAGTTGAACGGTAATTGTTTTGGTGTTATCAACGCAATAAGATTTCACATGGAAATCGACCCCAACGGTTGAACAAAGATTCACAAGGAATTGATTCTGAGCTAATCGGTAAATTAAGGCCGTTTTACCGACCGCCATGTCCCCGATGAATATTAAATTGTAAAGTGACTCCCCTGGTCCGGTCACTTCCCTGATACTTGGTATATCGGGTGAGTTGTGGTCATCGGTTGTCGTTGTTGTGGTCACTTGTTCAATGGCACTTGAACATCTTGAACTTTCATTTGGATTCTCAGGGGAAAGTTTATCTCTCGACGAGTTCATATCTCGGGTATAAATCGGCGATGCAAGACTTGAGGTCGACGGAAAGGTCATTTCATCTTGATCATCACGAGTAATTGTTGATAATCCACTATCTTCATTGCACAGAAAGAGAGAAAAGTTAATTGTAATTAAGATTGGAAATGATTAAATATCAATAATGTTAATCAAATTTACCATTTTCATCATTCCAAGTTGATGAATTGTTTGAAGGTGATGATTTACCTTGACGAGAATCCTCCTCTCTTATTATTGTCTCTTCTAATTGTCTATAAATCAACAGACGACAATTAAGGCCTAAATTGTTATAACAATTAAGATAATTACTTACGACAAATTTCTCGAAATCATCGATTTTTTATCGACATTTAAACCTAAATAATCACCAACGATTGAACCTTTTTTCATTCGTTGAGGGATATCATGAGTACTTGAAGTCGATGGTAATGAATTCGGGCCCTAAATAAATTAGACAATTAGTTAATTGTGATCAATTTCCTTCCCAAATCCCAATTCTTACCCAAGCTTCACTATCTTGCATATTATCAGCTATTTCTTGGAATCTATGATTAGCATTTCTGTTAATTGTTAAAAGAAATAAATTTAAAGAGTAAAGTTAATCAAACAATAGTTTTAACAATCAATCAAATCGCTGAATCAACATGAGTAATTAAATCAACAACTTACTGTAAAACCATTAATTGTCGTGAAAGATAATCTTGATTGTGAACAACCTCAATAACCTTTTCCCTTTCTTGATTTAATTCCTTGCACCGTTGCTCGTACAAGCTTTTTAATTGTCCCAATTCACTTCTCATCATTGCGACAGTCGTTTGTGTATCTAACAGCGACAGTCGCATCTGATGATTTTCTGCTAAAGCCTCTTCCAGTTTATTCTTGAATTCACCTAATTGCTCCTTCTCCATGGCTGAATGTGAATTCTTCAGCCAATTCTCAACCTGATGGAATAACAATCAGCTTGGTAATTGAATTTCGATATTTATGTTGATCGATTTTACCTTTTCAAACATCGATAAATGAGCCTGAAGTTGGAGCATTTCGTCCTTCATCATGTCTCTAAGTGACCTTTTCTCTGCTTCGATCTCTTGTTTAGCTCGTTCGGTTACACGTTGTTCAACTTGACGAACTTGACTGTCCACGTCTTGCTCGATTCTGTAAAGATGCTCCTCGTGTTCACGTCTCTCTCTGTATGAAGAAACAATTTACATGATTAGTGAACAATTAGTTGACACTTTCGATCGTTAATTACCTTAAATACGATTTTGCTAGAGTTTCATTTTCTTCCTTTAATTTCTTCAGACTGTCCATTAGCTCTTCGATCATTTTTGCTTGTTTCTCAGGTTCGATCGGCTCTTCAGCTTCAAGAGCTCGATTGATTCGTCTAAAATTGGATATTAGTTTCAATTGAGAATTGGAAACAAGTTAAACAATTAAATTAGATTTTCCACTTACCTTGTAAATGAACGGACTCGTTTAAGGTTAGAGGCATGACGAGAATTCTCAACGGAAAGTAAATCATTTGATTCTTGATTGTTGTTGTTCGGGTCATGAGTCGATTGTCTAATTAATCTCATTTTATCCGCTAATGGATTAGCAGAAAAGTCTCTCTCATAATCTGTAAAACCTTCTTTAAAATCTTCAAAACTAATTTGTCCATCTCGATCTCGATCAAGATTCTCGAAAATCGCATCCGCATCCTCGGTTTCGATTGAAAACTTGGCACAAATATCACGAACTTCATCCCGTCCAATGTAACCCGAACCATCGGCATCACAGGCATTAAATAGATCCCAAAGTGTTTCCGAATTCATCTTCTTCTATGGCTGATAATTATTCTGATTAATTGATTGATTAAATGATTAGAAGAAGATGATTAATCAACCAGAATAACAGATAATCGGATGAACAACATTAATGGAAAACTAAAGAAAAAGGTAAACCCAAATGATAATTAATTGATTAAGAAAATCTTTGAACAAGTTAATTGTTGTGGGAAAGGATGCAAATAATAAGGGAACAATTTAGATGATGAACACAATTAAATCACTAATAGACCATGAAAATTGTTGGTATCAATTCAATTAATCAATTACAATTAACAATCGGTATCATTGTAATCACCAAATAACGATATCAATGTTATCACATATGGAGACAAGGTTAAGATTGAGAAAAATTGAAGAAAATAACTAATCACAATTAATTTGGAGAAACAATTAACTTTAATCACAATGGAGTTAAGAAAAGTTTATATTATTGATTAACAATTAGAATCCACGATTTAACAAATCAACCTGGTGATTAACTTTTACTTGGTTACTCTTAATATTAACAGAGTGGAAATGTAATAATAATGTTAATTGTATTAATTAGAAAAAAGTTAATCAACAACAATTGATGCTGATTGTGATGTGATCCTGATAAATTGTTGGTGACAATTAGTAGTAGTCAGGTTGACAGTTGATTAGTTAGTGAATATTTAACCATCTGCTAATTGAGTTGAAGGTGAATCAGTATTGAGAGTTAATCAGTAACAATTAAAAGAAGAATTTTTTTTTTCTTCTCTTGTTTTGATTTACTTTTATAATTAACAATTAGATTATGATGGAAACAATTAAACAACGAGTACAATTAAATACAATTTTACCTTGAAGTACAATTGTCAAAGTACACGAACAATATTGTTAATTAATTGTCTGAATTTAGGTTGTAATTATATTTTTTTTCACCATTGGTGTTGATTTAGATTCACAATTAATTTCAATGTCAACAATTTATCTGGGATTGACCTAAATCATTTTCTTCCTAATCATGATAATTAAACTAATTAAAGTTTTGTTTTTCTTTCATTTAAATGTAACATTTAATCAGCTACTAATTGTTTGTAACTAATTTGTTATTAAATCACCAAGGAAGTGATAACAATTTAATTTAATCATCAGGTAAGTTCAATTGAAAGTGTCTAATAGTTGATTAAGTTTTTCCGTAATCAAACTTTGGGTTTAATCACAATTAAGATTATTATTAATTATTGATTGTTTTCAATGGTGAGTTTGATTCATTTTTAGTTGGGATAATTAATTAATTAAACAATTAAGAAGCTTTTGATTATGTTATGAGTTATAATAGTTGATTTATTGATTTGCTATTTATGGTAACCAATTAAGATAATAATTAGTAATCAATGGAAGATAATTTGATTTAATTGAGCTGTTTACTTTTTTTCTGTTGGAAATTGTTGTTAATTGTTGAATTAATTAGTTAACAATTGTGTTTAATTTGAATCCCATTGGATCATGAATGTTGATTTAATTGTTCATTTGTGAACTTGATCTAAATTGATTCAAATGATTCTGTTAATTGTCTGGAAAAGTTGAAATGTTCCCAAGTTAATTGTGATATAACAATTACTATCCAACAGTGAGCTTTTAATCATGATTAAGATTTTCGATTTGATTGTTTTCCAGTTAATTCAATTGAACAATTAAACATTAGTACGTCAAAAGGTTTGAATTGAGTTCAATGAAATCAGCAGAAAGTTAATAAACTATAATTAGTGGGGTTAATCAATTTTCTTGCATCTAATCAATCATTTACAATTAAAGGTTTGTAAATATACAAAGTTTGATGAATTTTAGTTGAAAATAAATTGTTTGATTAAATATTTGGTGGTAACAATTAGTTCAAATTAACTTGACATTTGGTGTGAAACAAATTGTACAGTTTAATCAATTGAGAAGATGTTGATAAACAAATAAAGATATTTACAAGTTTGAATAGTAATTAATACAAACCATTATTACTTTTAATTGTAATTAATGCCACTTGATTGGTTTAAATTTTGAGCTAATTTATGAATAAAAGACAAGATTGTGTGAGAGAGTAAATTAAATTAGATTGTCACTTGTGGTGTTGTTAAAGATTTGATATATGGTCTTGTTGATGTAGATGATTTCAGGCAGAATTTGATTGTTGTGAAACAATTAAAAAGATTCCGTAATTGTTGATGTCCAAAACTTGACGATTATACTTTTGACCAGAACTGAAAAGAAAGTTAATAAAGATGATTAGTTTGATTGATGAACTAAAAGATTAATCAAAGAAATAATTGATTGATATTTACTCTAATAGCAGAATCAAGTTAATTGTAAACATTTTGATGAATTAGAAATTAGCATAACTATCGACTCTTGACTATTGATCATTTCTCACGATAGCAAACTTTTCTTCTCTTTCGTTTTGATCGGCGAAATCCTTGTGTCTCACAATCAGCAATCGATTCTGTCTCCGAATCATTTTTAGAAAAATTCGAGTTCTTGTCGTTCGAGTCATCATTTTGTACTTCACTTTTGGTCTCATCAAATGTTCGAGTTGAGGTTCGAGTTGATACTCTTGCAGTTGATGTTGTAGCTCTTGATGTTGTTGATGTGGATGTGGATGTTGATGGAGTCGAAGTTGATGAGGTCATTGTTGTCGATATTGATGTCACTCTGGATTCTATTGGTGCTGATGCGTCGATGGTATTACAATGTTTACTTGCGCTTTCCCTTGATGTTGACGCTGAATTAATGAGTCTTCTTGAGGTTCGGCAACGAGCATCGAAACTAGTAACAGGACTTTGATCTGGAGTTTTTTCCGGAAAAGCGACACTTAAACGATTAAAGTAGGATTTACAAGTTGAACTGTTCGAGGAGATGATTGAGTCACGAGTGGATGTGTGATTAGCCGCAGGCTGAGTTAATAAAGGTGATTTTGGGATAAAGTTTTGAATTGAATCAAGGCTTGTTGAGAGCATCGGCTCAGAGGGTGGAACTCTGATAAAGTCTGAATTATATTCCCAACCACTGTCCTCACCCGTTAGCGAAGATTCATCTACTTGATTATTGGAACCATTAAGGTGAGGAGATTTAGGTACAATACGACGATAAGAAGGTGTTTCAATCATAGTGGAATTTGTTGGTGGCTCTAATAAAGTAGTAAAATTAAGATGGCTACTGGAATTGTGTTCATCTAAACTTTTCTTCGAGCCAATACTGAATGTTGATCCATTGTTTTGACCACTCGAAATTGGACTTGCCTCCTCTGACATGGCTGTTAAATCGATCCGCTCTAAAAATATATTATTTATCTTTTCTTTTACTCTATCCTGGTGTCTTTGCTCATCTACTAGACAACGACTCAGCCTACTGCTTCTCACAGTTGTAATACTGTCCAAATGAGTTATATCACCAACTGAAAGTGATTTTTCAAAATCTTGTTTCAATATAAAGAAAGGGTCGTGATTGGATATCAAACTATTAAGTGTTTTCGCCAATTTATTCTTGAAAGCATCAAATTCCTAAGGAAAAGACAAAAGAAAACAAAGAAACATGGTAAGTTTACAGGGAATGTAACTTAGGTTATCACTTTTACTAACCTTTTCTGCTCCAGATATTTTAATTAGTTGATCTTTGGTGAGTTTGGTAAGTTGTAAACGAGTAACTTCAATCTCATGTAAGAGAGCAGCATTTCTAGATGCAAGTTCCCGGTTATTTTCTTGGACGGCATTGAATTTATCCCTTACATTGCAATATTCTGTTCGAAGGGCTTCAAATTGTTCAACGAAACATTTACCAGTCTCACACAATTCCTCGTATTGTTTAATCAATTCAACTTCTATAAGAAAAAAAAAAGATTGTCAAAAGAGAAACAATTAAAACAAAGAACAACAAAAACAAAACAATTTTACTTACTTGTTACATGACGGTAAAGATAATATTTACTTTTCTTTTTGTTAATCTTATTAGTTAACTTTCTAACTTTTCTTTTCGATTTCGGCAATTTAAGAGGCATCGCAATTAATTGATTAAATTAACAAAAAGTATCAACATATGATGAAAAACAATCTTATCTTTTTCTTATCGGAAAAAAATGTTTACATTTTTGAATTTTTTTCACCAAAAAGGGAACGTCTCCTAATTACGGCGAGCAAATTGTTCGAAAATTTCATTTTAATTGTGATTAAATTTAATTCTTATTAAATGATAGCAATTGATTTTCGATTCTCTATTACAATGAGAAAATACTTTTAGAGAATAATAGAAATGTGGATTTTAAGGAAGAAAATATTTGAAACTGAGAAACAGGAAACACTTTGTTGTTGTTTCTTGTTTGTTAATTGAATCAACATTTAATTTGATTGTTTAGAAAGAAGAAATTAACGTAAATTAATAATATTTGTTGAAGATACTGTAGATTTGTTGTAATTCACATGGACATGGGAAACATGGAGATTGTCCAAGTAGAATAACAAATGTTTTCGATTGCGATTTGGTTGATAAACTGTGGAGATAATTAAATGAATCCAATTAAATTTCATTTAAGATGATGATTGGTTTTCTTTATGAACAACAATCCCTCGCTCGATTAGATCAGGAATTTCAACTGCTAACCATGGACCAAGCTAAGGAACAGACGAAGAAGAAAGTTAGCAAAAAAGAAACAAAATTCCATTTCAGTCAATCACAATTAGAATACAACTAATTACCCCTAAGGCCATTGCATGAGCGATGCCAAATTTTGGGACATTTTTGCCCCACAAAGGTTTGAAATGATCAGATAAACAAATTTTTCCACCTCGATACATTTTCACCGTTTTACCATCTAACTCAGGAATAGCGATTTCAGGAGCTGTAGTAGGATAAGTGACAGGAATCTATTGAAAACAAAGAGAATGGACAAAAATAATCAGAGAAAATAACAATCAACTAAAATGAATAAAACTCACATCAAATTCAATCTCAAATTCGTATCTCAAAAGCTCATGGATATACCAACATTTTCCAAACCATTTTGTACCATCTTTATTGGACTCAAGTCGAAACCAATCGTTGTCATTGTCTTTATTTTGTTGGACATACTAATGAACATAAACAAAAGAATAGAAAAAAAAACGAAAACAATCAAAATAGAACAAGAAAAAAAAAGAAATTAAAACGTTACCTTGATTAGCGATTGGAACTCTTCCTTTAATCTTTGTGGCCACTGATCTTTATCTCTTGGTCCCGCTTTCGTCTTTAATAGTGGAATATTAGTTAAAGTCTTTCGAGTGGCATCATCGACCATTGTGATTAAAGAAATTAGAAACCAACTAATCAAATCCAAAGAGATTAACAAATGTAAACAACAAAATCAAACGTGTCAACAAAAAATTCTCGTTACCATGGAAACGGTTAACTTTTTTTTTCATTTCATTTTGATCGAGGTTAATTTAGAATTCAATTAATCTACAATTTAATTTATATCAATTTTAATTTTCTTTTTCTTTTAAGATTGAGCAGTTTTCACCTTAAATCTATGAACAAACATGAGGGTGAAATTTTCTCTATTCAATTGATTACAAGTGAGTGAATATTTTTTGATGAAATGATCGGTTAACAATCATCATTATCATGCTTTTAACAATTGTTTTATTTGTTGTTTGTTTGTGTAATCGTTAATTGTATATAACAATTGACTTTGGTGTCAAAATAAGTTGATAGATATTTGCATGTTGTAATCTTGTGTGTGTGTGTTGAATAGTATTTTGTTTTTCTTATAAAATTGTGGCTGTGGTGTTAAAGATGAAGTTCAGTTATGTTCAACTATGGTTTTCTCAACGCTGGATGATGATGATTAAAGAAGCAATTTAATTTTCTAATTGCTTTCCTTTTCATATGGTTTCTCTTTGTGTGTTTTTGTGTTGACTAATTTGATAATTGATGTATTTTGGCTCTTGAGTTGTTGTAGTTTTGAGTGTATGAAGCAGTTGATGTCAACTAATTTGCTCGGCTTTTAGATCAGGTATATATACACTTTACAGGTTAATCTTTACTTTTGGTGATGTTTTTTTGTATATTCACAAATGGATTAAAGGTGTGAAAGGTGATTCCTTTGTTGTTGCATTTATTATAAAGGAAGATCAATTAGAGAGAGAAAGAGGGAGAGAGAGAGAGAGAGAAAGAAACGGCGAAGATGAGATCTTGGTACATCAGCACTTGAATTACGACCAAATCACCAAATAGAAAACCATAATCACTTTATCCTAATCCGTTGTCTTTGAAGTCTATTCTTGTGAGCTTCAAATAAAACACGATTAGATTCAAAATAAAGTGGATTCTGGTCAACAGACAACGTTGGGTCATAAGGACAGCTTAATGAACTTGGATCCATTAGGTTGTCACTGTCCTTCCCAAAGTAAACAGGTTTCTCATTAATAGCACTTTGTGGACTAATGGAGGTTTCGTCACTGGTTTCTAATTGCAATTTACTCATTCTCTTGGAAATAGGTAGACAGCCTTCCTCTTCTTCATGACTTCGCTTCCTTTAGATTCCAATTCCAATGTAACACCAATGAGAGGGAGAGAGGAAGAGTCAATGATAATCATGTTCCAATGTAACGGCAGAGAAAATAACAGAATAGAAGAAAAAATAGAGAGAGAGAGAGAGAAGAAAAAAATGACGAATGAGTTAGCAAATTTCCATTGATAGAAAACAAATGGGATATTTTAAGCAACAATTTGAAGAGATTTCAATAGGATGGAGAATAAATCGAAATGATTAGTTGGGTAGAATTGAGAGAAACAAATTGTCAAGATGAGAGAATAGTAAAAAAAAGCTAATCCATAAAATTAGAAGACAAAAAGACAATTAAATGTGAGAAACTTACCTGGATTTAGCTTGCGTCATGATCGATGGTTGATTTTAGATTGAGAAACAATTAAAATCTAAAGAATATATTAACTTAAATACTTATTAGAGTTGAAAGGATAATAAAGAGACAATTAAGTTAATAATTTGTTCCAACAAAAATGGTTAGTTGATTGCAAACAGAAAAAAACAAAACTGAGGATAAAGAAAGAAAATGTAGAGAGAGAAAAAGAGAAAGGGAGAGATAAAGAAGAAAGAAGAAACTGAAAGAGAGAGAAAAGAGAGAGAGTAAACAATTTTAATCGCAGCTGATTCTCTGTCTTCTCTATCAAAGTGAACAATAAGTGAATTTGTCAACGGTCCTAATTCACTCGAATTGATCACAATTAATTTTCTTCTGAGTTTTCTATCGACTATTAAATCTCTCTGAATTGTGTTAACAATCAAGGTTTCAATTAAATTTGATTCTTTCTCATAAAATCAACGATTTAAAGGTTTGTCTCTCTTTTTGTTTTTCTCTTGACTTTCACTGTCTCTTTATTTCTCTTTCTCTGTCTCTCTTTATCTCTCTCATTGTTTTGTTCTATCAAATTCTGGATAATTCAACTATCTCTTCTTCTTTAATTAGATTAATTTCTCTTCTCTCTTAATTGTGATTTGCTAATTTAAAGATTAATTTCTTAATTATATGGACATTGGATTGTCCATTTAGCTTGTTTTCCATTAATTGGTTTCTTTTCAATATTTAGCTTTTTTCTATTCTTTTTGTTTTCTCTACCAAATCTCCAAGGGTGAATTCAAATTTACAATTCGATTGCTGTTATTGATTGTTTTCCATTTTCCCGTCACCTCTTGAGTCTATTGGTGGTAAGTTTATGACCTTTCCAATTGAAATTGTCCTTTGACCCAAACCAAATGTAATTTGGTCTATTATTGTTTTGAAAATTCTGTTTTTCTAATTGATTTTTTTTTTGCTTTTTATTTGAATCTTATGTCTTTCTTTTTATGTTGACAGAATCTTCATCATCTTGGTGCTTATATTTTGGCTTTTTTCTAATAGTTAAACATGCATGTTGATGATACATCTCCTTATGATAGACAGGAAAGTCTTAAGGTTTGCGTTATCAGCAGTAAAGGTGAAACGACACTGATTGAATGTGGAGCCAATCCAACAGTCGATAAAATTAAGTTAATCGCTCTGACCAATTTTGCTAAAGATCAAGTTGAAGCTTTAAAGATTGTTAATCAATATAAATTGATTTCCATCAATAAAAAGCGAAGTCTTTCTGGAGAGGCGACTATTCGTGATGAAGATATTGTCAATGGGGATACATTGTTACTTCTTGATCGATATCCAATTCAAAGTAAATCCTCATTCGCTGAAATAATCAACAATGAAGCTCCAGGAAGGCCAACCGAAGCAATGATTTTAGAAGCGACTAAAAATCTTAAACCAAAACACCTTAATTTTCAGGTGACAGAAAATGTTATCTCCTTTGAGGTGAGTATTTCGGAATAATTTCTATCACCAATCAATCAATATCTTTTCATTTTCTATTCTTTTACAGTTTCAACAAGAATTACGAACAATTCTTGTATCATTAGTTGATTATGCGGAGAAACTACTTAAACATCACCCTGACGTAGAACCAGTTTTGAAGAATATGAAAGTTGCCAATTGTGATGAAAGCGAAGGACCAAGTGGCAAAAGGAGAGATAAAGATTCAGGGGATGAATCAGTTGATTCGATTGCATTGAAACAATTAACTGACATGGGATTTGCTGAGGAAAAATCAAAAAGAGCTTTAAAAATGAATAATATGTCGCCATTGGAAGCAATGGATTGGCTTTTAGCATATGAATCTAGTTCATCAGCAACATCTTCCATGCCATCATCTTCATCATCAATTCAAATTAACTACGAAAATACTGAAATTTATCCCAAGGTTCCAGCAATTGTTGATTGTTATAGAAAATACAAAAGACAACATTTTGTACCAAATATGAGACATTTCAATAATCTAAAACAATTAGGTTTCGATGACGATGAAATAGTTGATGGTCTTTGGATTCACAGTAATAATGAAGTTGCAACGGTAATAACAATTCTCCGTGTCAATCTACATTTTCCTCAGTCAATTAATCTTTGACAATTAACTTGATTTTTAGGGTGAATGGCTGCTCAAAGAACGACGTCCAAAAGTAAATGAATTTTGTCGAGGATTAAAACGTGAAAGTCCAGTTTACAAAGCGTTTATTACTAATCCATCAGTTCAATTGGCATTAGTTAAACCAAGAATATTTTTCGGTGAGTAGATTAAATTGAACTAATTAATGTATCGTAATTTTTGCTCTTACTAATATCCAATTTCTTGTACTTTATTTAATTAGCCTTTGTACGATTAATAGAGGATCCTAATTGCCGTTGGACAAGTGATCATGAAACTTCAGCAATTATCCAACTTCTTTACAGAATTTATCATTCTGAAAGAAATACTGGTGAAAATAACGATAAAGATGAACAAAATGAATCAGTAGATTCAGATAACGAGTCACAAATTGATGATCAAATAATGAATGAATAGATAAATGTACTTTTAGTTGTAAATATTTGGTATAAAAAAAATGACAATTACTAAAATTCATTGAATTTTTTAATGTACAAACAACAACAACAACGTGATGACAGTAATAACCAAATACATTTAATAACAATCAGTCAATTCACTTCATATGTAATACTTGCAACAATTTGTAAGACAATCATCAACTAAATTTATATATATTATTTAATCATCATGTTTTTATCATCATACAACTATTAATATTAAATTTATATTACTATTGATAAATTGTAGTTACAGTATATTAATAACCAACCTATTGATTTCCAATGAGTGAAATTATCAACCATTTATGTCAATAATTTTACAAAAAAAAATATTGAACACAAGCAGAAATGATCAAACTATTGACCTGGACAATGATTTTAATCAAAACTCGAGAAGAACGGGAAAGTGGCCTGAATCGCTTTCCGATCGCACTGGTGACCACACATATCAATATATAACAAAAACCATTACCTTGAGTCTTCTGGAATACTTGAATTTAGACTAATTTGAATAAAGTTGATAAATTTCGATCAACAATCAAATTCTCTGAACAATCAATCGAACCTTAAATTAAGCGCTTCAAATGAGATTTCTAATTGAAGGTCGTTCTCACTTCTTTCCCCATATGATGTTGGTCTTTGTTTACATTTGGTTTTCTCGCTGTTTAGTTAATTTATTTTCCAATTATGTCAATTAATTATCTGTTCTTTATTGTTTCATCTAAATTCTAATCAACCTGAGCTTTAAAATCGTTACTTATATTTAATTGTTTACCCTTTTTGATTGAAATTCGCTCTTACATTCTCATCCGGTTTTCTCTCTTTCTCTCCCTCTCTTCATCTTTCTCTTCATCTTTCTTTCTCTCTGTCTTTTTCCTCTGTGTTGTCTTTTCCATTTGACTTTGTGCTGTTCAATTAACACAGTTTGAGAATAATTTATTTTATTAATTATTAACCATTTTTATCCAGATGAAGATCAGTCAACATTGACATTTGAATTCTTGTTGAAATCTCATCAGAAAATAGTAAATTTATCGTTTCTCTTTGTTTTCTTATTCTAATACATTGTAATATTTTTCCACCAATGACGTCAACAAGCAAACAAACCACCAAAAAGATGAAGCTAATCGACTCAATCGAACCTAATCATATGATCACAATTGAATGGCAAATGATGGATCCTGCTAAGTATTTGCCCCTCAGCTTAGTCAATGCTGTCGCCATCAGAACTATTCTTTATCCATTGACTGTGATAAAAACTCGGATGCAGGTAAGTGACAGAGAAAGAGAAATAGAGAGAGAGAGAGAGAGAGAGGAAGGAAGGAAGAAATTGAAAGATCAATGTTCTCTTAGAAGAATAACTCAACTGGTTTTCCAATTGAAATAACCCTTTATCTTTATTTTCTTTGTTTTCTTTTTCATTTCTTCTCCAGGTACAAACCACCAATTCTGTTTACAGAGGGACTTATGATGCTTGTCAGAAAATTGTCCAACGAGAAGGTTTTACCGGCCTGTACAAAGGTTTCTTAGTTAATACCATGCAAGTAGGATCTGGTCTGGCTTATATTCTTACTTATGAAAATGTGAAATACTTGCTCTCCAGTTATGGTAAAATTCAAGACACTTCAATTCGAAGTTTAATTGCCGGAGGGATTGGTTCGATTATCGGTCAAACAATTATCACACCTTTTGACATTGTATCTCAACATATGATGGTCATTTCGGGAAAGAAAAAGGGTAAACATACTGATAAATTTTCCGCCTTCACTAACCCACTGCATCTTAATAAGGTGGAAGTTGAAAAATATGGCCTACCCTATGCAATAGTACGGGAACTTAGACGAAAAGATGGATTCAAAGGTTATTATCGAGGTTATTTCGCTTCTCTGGCTTTTTATGTTCCAAACAGCGCACTTTGGTGGTACTATTATGAAAAGTTTTCAGGTAATTAACTCGAAATTGTTTCGATGAACAAGTGATACGATAGAGAAACAGAAAAGAAACATGAAACATTCATCATCAATTGGTTACCCTAATTTCTTGCCAACAAAATTGTGAAATTGTTGAGAAAGAAAATCTTTGTAAATGTCAATTACTCTCAACACCATGGAAAAGATTCTTTACTTTTCTCATTACCACATCAACAGAAATTTTCCTAATTAACTTTTTCCCTTGTTGTCTTTTTATCTTCTTCCAGCAATCATTCATAATTCACTTCCAGTCGAAACATGGCAACTATTAATTCGTAGTTGTGCAGCAATTCTCAGCGGTGCCACAGTCGCAGTTCTCACTAATCCTCTGGATTTAATTCGTGCCAATTTTCAGGTTAATTGAACAAAAATCAATTTCCACTTGAAAAGCGCAACAAAAACAAAAACAATTCTAATTGTGAATATTTTCCTTCTCTCTCATTCTCTAGATTCACCGACTTGATTCTTACTCGGAAACTGTTCGTAAATTGTGGAAAGATGAAAATTTAGGATTATTCTACAAAGGATTATCACCGAGGATCACCCAAAGTTGTTTATCCTCCGTTTTCATCTCCATTGGTTACGAAACCATGAAAAGGCTCAGTTTGAGGGAAGAATATGAAGATAAGATAAAATGGTAACCAAACTGAATAACTAGTCGCCAATTTTACCTTCAACAATTAAGAATTAATAATGTTAATCTTATGAGAAACAAAAGACAATTAATTATGCTTCTTATTTATCGTGGACCATTGTGATAACATGAGACAACTTGTATCAATCTAACAACAAACACTAATCGCTTGTTAATTATCATTTTATCTCATCTCTCATTTATTTTCTTCTCTTTTTTCGTTGATTTGTTTATCTTCCATCTTCCTCCTACTCATCCTAATCATGATCATCATCACCATCATCATCATCTCACTGAGTTGATTGACAAAATTTTCACCAACAATTATAATTTCAAGTAAACAAAGAATAAGGAAATTGAAGGAAACAATTTATTCAACTTTTAGATTTTTCTGTTTCCCTTTTTCTCAATAGATTCCAATATCCATTTCTTTGTAAATTTTTTCTTTCAGTTGATTAAGATAATCACAATTAACTGATTGTTTGAAACACGATTCATTTGATTGTCATTATCCATAAATATAAATATATATTTTAATCCTGTTCCTCCCGCCATCAAATCACAAAATGTATAATTTTGGCTCCAATTGAATTAGTGTTTAATTGTTGGTTAGATTGAGATGATACATCATCACAATGTTAATATTTAAATTAACACTAAATCGATTAATTAATCAATGTTATATTACTATGATTATATTGTACAAACAAAAGATGAACATCAGAAATCAAGATGATTATTAATTTTGTTTTTGTTTAGGATCAAAAATAATTAATATAACGAAAACTCAATCAAATTAATTAGTCTCTGATTATTATGATTAACCTTAAATTTCATGTTAATCATTGTCTTCCTTGTTTCCCAACAATTTGTTTCTTCTTTCAATTCAAACAATTAACTTGTTAACAATTTAAAAAGAAATGATAAATAAACAATTAATTACAATTAAAATGAGAAGAGGGAGAAATTGAATTTCTAATTATTACCAATAAACTAATTGAGCTTAAAAATTATGCAAATTGAAAGGATTAGTTAATTGTGAATTTATCCAAGGTTTTTACATGGTAATTGTCAATGAATTAAATGATTTTCCATCGTTAATTGTTGTGTCTCATTCAATCAGTCAGTTAATTGAATCTTTGAGGATGATGATAAATATGAGGAGGAGGAGGTGATGAAGATTATTGGAAATGATTAACTTGATTGTTGGAAAAGTTCCCTGACCAAATTCATTTTTCTCGCCTAATTGTCACTCACTTGACAATTCACAATATCTTCAACTACGATTCCATGACAATTAACAAATCATGAAGCAAATCATCACCTTTTACCAAATCAAAAGTCATTGATCTGGGATGTTGGTGATTAAGATGATGATTTAACTGCGATGACCAGGGTGATGAAAATCATTATCGACTTTGAAATTGTTCAATCAACAACTTTGTCTGTTAAAGTGATTGATTTGATTGGTTTTTTGTTACATTAATTGTTTTAATATATTAATATGAACAGTTTGTTCAATTTGATAACAATTTACTTGATAAAATTAACGTTGATTAATTACTGTTCTGGTCATGGAAGGTTAATTGATCCACCAGGAAGGTCAACTGCTTGGCGATTTGGTTTCAGGACACCAATTAACTACAATGATAATCAACTTTTCTGTGGTGGATTCATGGTGAGTTTCGAGTTAACAATTAGATGATTTGTTAATTTCTCTTGCAAAATTTGATTCAATAGGTTCAACATAAAGTTAATTCTGGTAAATGTGGTATTTGTGGTGATCCATTTAATGGTCAACGGACAAATGAACTGCCCGATGGACGTTATGCTCGACCATTAATGATAACCCGAAATTATCGAGTTGGATCAGTGATTAAAACTTCAGTCCAATTAACGGCCAATCATAAAGGTTATTTCGTCTTCAAAATATGTCCAGCAATTAGTTCAATTCGTGAAGTGACACAATCATGTCTTGATTCACATCCATTGAAAGTGATTAACTCTCCTAATCCATTACGATATTATGTTCCCGATAAATTGTCTCGAGTATTCAATGTGACCTTAAGGTTACCACCGACTCTAACATGTCAACGATGTGTAATCCAGTGGACCTACACCACCGGTAACAATTGGGGACGATGTGAAGATGGTAAAACATCAAAGGTAGGCTGTGGTCCACAGGAAACATTTCGAGCCTGTGCCGATGTAACAATTAAAGGTCAAATTAAAAATCGCCAACGGAATCAAACCAAAACCACCACAAAACCAAAACTGAAATCAAAAATCAAACCATACCAATTAAACTTAAACAGCAATTATACCAAAACATTGAAGTCACAATTGATAAATTCCAACTCCTTCCAATCAAATAATTTATAAATCAACAATTAACTCCCAATCTATTTATCAAGAGAAAACAAAAACAAATCAAAAAAAAAACATCAAATTGTCAACATAACAACAAATCAATTCCTTTTGTATTTACACCAATTAAACAAACGATTTCCACCTAAGGTCATTCACAAAATTTTTAATTCTCCAAAGAATAACAATTATTCACCATTAAACAACTTGGCTAACAATTAGAACAATTAATTAATAATCAACAGAGTTCGAGAAAAATTCAAATTTTGGTTCCATGATTTTCCTTAGCAACCAGTTGATTCATTCGGTTGCTATGTAACATTCAACACTTTAGATTAAACAAAAAACCATTTGGAAGCAATTAAATTAAGGTTAGTAAATTACGATTTATTTATTGTTCTTAATTTCTCTTAATTACGATTATCTCTTAATGACATTAACGGTTGATTGGGCCTTAGCCCAAATTACCTGGAACCCGATTTATTGTCTTTATTATGATGTCCCAACATCTCTCAGCTGATGGAACCTTGGTAATCATTGTGAACACATTTTTTTTATATTATTATTTTCCTCTCATCTTTCATCTTAATTGTATTAATTTACTTTAATTGCTTCTTGTGATTGTCTCTTGTTTTTGCTTCTCTTAAATGGTGATTCTATTCTACGTTTTATTTTTATATTCTTCCAATTCTAATGATACTTTTTCTTCTTGGTTTTCCTTTGGTTGTTTTTTTCTCTTCTACATTAGATTCAAATTTGCTTTTCTCTTATTCTCTGGTTTGTCTTTCGACTTTTGGGTGATTATCTTTTTGTTTTGCTGTTCTCAAGGAGAAGCAAAGAAAAGATTTTTCCATCATGACTTATCCACCAGATGATAGAGAATTTGTTCCACCAGAATGGATGCAACTTCCAAATGATATTCAATTGGTAAGAGTGACAATTTTATCTCATTTGATGAGAATCTCATTTATCTTAACCTTTAGAATTTATTTTCTTCCCTTTGTTTTTTTCTATTCTTATTTTATTCTTTTCTCTATTAAATGTCTCTCTTTGGTTACTAATGTTTCTTTCTCTTTCTTTTCTCTCTCTTTCTGTTTAGCCATCTTCCTTTCGTATGCACAATCTTATTGAAAAAACTGCTCTATTCATAAGTAAACATGGCTCCCAAATGGAGATACTTGTTAAAGCCAAACAAGCCAAGAATCCACAGTTCGATTTTCTTGAGTTTGACTCACCTTTGAATAAATATTATAAACATTTGGTCTCTTCTATGAAATCTGGTGATTATCTGTCTAATTTGGAGCGGCAAAATGATTCCGGAGGATCTGATGATGAGGATCATTATCTTCATCCAAGTTTACTTGGATCAGCAGCCAAAGTGAATAAAAGTCCAGAGAAATTGTTTCTTCCCCAATTACCTGGAGTACCAGATGAGAATAGTTCTTATTCCCAACTAGTCAAAAGTTTAAAGGATAAAATCATTCGAGAGCCTGAGAAAAAACCGGAAGAAGATCAATCCGGTCAAACGGGAAACAGTAATGTAAACAATTCCAATGATCAATCAGCCAACAGTGACTCATCTAATAGTAAACGTGATTCAATTTCTATACTTCCATCACCTCCACCAGAAGTACAACTTTATATCGATAAATTAGCAGAATATGTTGCACGTAAAGGTGAAGATTTTGAGAAAACAATTCGAAAACGAAATGAAGCAAGATTCGAGTTTCTCAATCCAGGTAACATTTATCACTGTCACTACATCAAGCGAAAGTTACACCTTTTGGATGAAAAAAGACAAGCCCAGGCTTCGGATATCATGAAATCGACCTCGGTCACTGTTGATGATGATTCCGTCAAAGGTCCAGTAAGTTTCAGTTTACCACCGCGAGAGAATAAGAAAACTGTTCTTGTCAATGATGATGCAAGTCCTGATCAATTGGATAGAAGAAAAGATAAACCTCATCAGCACGATAGCGATAGTGATCTAGAAGATCAAATTTGTAGTGAGATGAGCCAAAGTTCGGTGTCGAAGGAGAAACAAGAGGAAAGACGACGAAAAGCGGCTCTTTTTTTAACCTTATTGAAAAAGAAACAATCGGAAGCAAATAAGACCGAAACGAAAGAGAAAGAAACAGACGAAAGTGTTCAAAAAAATGGTACCAATAGAAAAGAAGATCGTATTACAGATTCGGCGAATATCAGTCCACTCAACATCTCTCTTTCGCCCACAATTGAGGCGGTAACTTCTCCCGCTTCTTTTTCAAAGAATAAGGATGATAGTAGTTCCGATTTGGAAAATTCGTCAAAAGAACGTGCCAATTCTGAGTCAGTTAAACCTTCGTCGTCTTCACTGTTACCCTTTAAAACGAGTGACCGATCAAAACGAGATAAATCATCGTCCTCAAGTCCATCATCAAGTAATTGCTCTAAACACAGTTCTCACCACAAATCCCACCATCGCCATCGGCACCATCACCCTCATCATCACCACCCCCATCATGGTCATCACCATGGTCATCATCATCATCCACCCGCGTTACCACATCATCACCTTGGTCACCATAAACATCATCGACATCATCACCCTCACCACCACCACCACCACCATCATCGTCGTCGTCATGGTGGACGGCGACGGTCACATTCGCGTTCACGTTCACGTTCATACTCTCGATCTCGATCCCGATCTCGTTCTCGATCTAAGTCTAGATCATCATCAAGGTCCAGGTCACACTCACGATCTCCTCGTAGAAAATCTCGAAAACGTCGATGTTCTTAAAGCAATTTATTATCATGAAAAATTTGCAAATTTCGTAAATAATTGTTGATATAATTAACTTTGTGTTTATCGCCTCACAACAATTAAGTTTATCCATTTGGTTGAATTTTCTGTCTCTAAATTCCGTTTTCTTTTCCCACTTTCTAAACATAATTCATGTAATAATAATATTCAACTCGACTAACTAATTGATCCGTGATAACTAATAATCCAATGATTCTGTAAATATAAGAACATATTTTTGTCGAAAATTTTCCTTCGCTCAATTTAATTTATCAAAATAACAGAACAATTTAAACTCCAACTTTCACTCAAATCTTCAGGTAAATGTAATTCACTAGACCATTAAAAGTCAACCTCAGATGTTTCCCGCTCTTTTGGAAAATCTTATAATCACTCTCAGAATTTGATGAAGATAATTTTTCAAGAATCATAACTAATTGACTCAACAATTATTGATCATCTTAATAGCGAATTGACTTCAAGTGAAATCAAAACAAAGAAAAACAATAACACATCATCACCATGAAGAAATTGAGAGTAACTCAACAAAAATGACCAATCAAAACGAATTATATCCAATGTCCTGAATTGAGAACAACAAGATTTAAATTGAGAAACAATTAAGAATTGCAGTTAACCAATAAAATTGCGAAAAAAGAATAGAAAACAATTTAAATTGTTTATCTTTGAAAAGAAAACAAATTCAATGGCAAAGGTGAGAGAAAATGTTAATCCAAAGGATAATCGACCAAAGTGAATCACATGCAAGTTGAAAACAGAGATTATTAAACAGAATAGAACACAAATTATTCGATGGTTTGTTAATTGGTGAATTTGATAAGAGAGTTTAGAATAACAATTAGAATTAAAAACGAGGAAATTTAATCCAATTGATTTAGAAAAGAATAATGAGATTCGATTGAAGATGGAGCCACTTTTCGGTTGATTTGTTTTGAGAATAGAACAAAAAATGATTGAATAGAAAAAGAGTAAAATTGTTGATTGTGATTTAAGTGTTTATCTTAATTTAAGAGATTATGATTTATTCTGATGAATCGAAGTTTCTATAATCATGAATATTGAAAGATCCCCCTGGTCCCTGGTTGATTAATTTGTGATTAAGTTTTAAATTATTGGTGAAAAGAAAGTGAAAGCGATGGAAACAAAATTAACTCTTTCTTGTTAACAACATTAAATAAAGTAAGTCTAATTGTTTATCGTTAAAATTGTGCTAGTTAACTCAGTTTGTCATGAAAAGATGATTAAGATTATGATGATGATGATGATGATGATGAAGAAGAGGAAGATGATGATGATGATGGAAGATGACGAAGAAAGGGAAAGAAATAGAAAAGAAAGAGAAGAGAAGAGAATGGAAGAGAAGGGAAAAAAGGATGACGAAGAAGAAAAGAAGACAATAAAGAAAGAGAATAGAAGAAAGAGCTGATTGGGAAGAAAGAGAAAAAGAAAGAGAAGAGAAAATATCTTCTATTGAGACGAATTTTGCTTTTTTCATCATCCAATCATCTTCCACTCACTCTCTGTTCTATCCCTTATTTTCTCTTACTTTTTCTCTTTCTTTTCTATTCTTTTCCCCTTCTTCTTCCGTCATCATCATCATTCTCTCTTTCCCCTTTTCTTTCCCTCTCTCTTTCTCTTCCCTATCTTCCACCATTTTGTGTTTTTTTCTTGTTGTGTGCCTACCAAAAAATCCAATCTTTTTATTTGCGACAAGAATCGTTATCTTCTTTCCGCTTGTGTTTATATCTTATACATACTTATACATATTACTATTATTTACCATGTTACCTCGTATCATCTTTATATTTGCATAGAAGTTGGACATCAACACCTCAACCACAATGGCATCTTATTGTCTCCGTAGGAATAATCATTGTTTCGACCTTGCTGAACATTTTGAGAAAATGTTCAAGGATGAAAGCATGGTTGATGTGACTTTATCCTGTGGTGATGGGATTATCAAGGCCCATAAGATGATCCTCTCAGTTTGTTCATCGTACTTCAAAAACATCTTTGTCAAATTTAATAACCCTTATCAATATCCTATTGTAATTATTAAGGATATGCCCTTTGAAGATCTGAGAGCAATTATTGAATTTATTTATCGAGGTGAAGTTACTGTTGCCCACAATAATTTGAAATCAGTGCTGCGAAGTGCAGAGGCTCTCAAAGTGAAAGGTTTAAGTGATGCTCGTCGGCAAATGGAAGGTGATGAGTCAATGAGAAGAAAGAAAAGAAAACGGAGACGAAAATCTCGAAAGATGGGTCATGGTGATTCCAGTAAAACAGGAGAAATGGACGATGAAAATGGTGAACGTAATACAGGTTCAACTGATCGATCGGGAGCCGATAAGGGTAAAGATGAAAATACCACGGAAGATGATGATGCTACCGATTATTCAGAGGAAGACGATGACGATGATGAAACAGAGAAAGAAGATGATAATACTACAACAAGTATAATAATCACCGAAAGGGAATCTACTAATGCAGAAGGCGAAATTGAACCAGCTCGTCTTTTAGAACAGTCAATGATCACTGGTGATCAGGATAGAGCCAATAGTGAGGCGTCTAGATTTCAGGCTCCAATGATGCCACACCATAGACAAACACACCAACAACAGCAACAACTTTCATCGAGTATAAATCAAGCTATGAGAGGTCACTTTGGTGAAAGTAGTGGCCTATTAGCAGCAATGAACGTATCTCATTCAGCATCCTTGCCAAACAGTCAATCGCAATTAAATTCATCCCATAGCCATGTTCCTGGTATACCGGGTATGCCTTCCTATGAAGCCAGTTCCCTATCGATACCTGGTCCAAGTACCATTTCACCAATTACACCTCGTCCTATTCATCATGGTCAAGAGCATAACTCTGGTTCATCACATTCGTCTCATCCCTCTCATCCTAATCAAGTGCCACAAAATTTACAATCGGCGCAACTATTACCTCCAATACAGATGCATCCGTCACTTGGTTGCCATTCGTTTTCACCTTTATCTGTCGACTCGTTGACTGGTAAAAGGCACTATCAATGTCCTGAGTGTTTCAAAACTTTCACCGAAAAGGGGAACATGAAAAGGCACACGCAAATACATTCACAAAACCGAAATAGATTCATGTGTGACCTGTGTTCCAAGTGTTTCGCTTGGAAGGATAATTTTAATCGTCATCGACGCATTGCCCATAGTGAACTTAACTGTAAATAACATTTCATTTAGTCTTATTTACCCTTTTTACCTTTTATACCATAATTCACCTTGACCATCGCCATCACCACCATCACTACCACAACCACCACCACTACTATCACCATCCACCATCTCCAATGTCTCTGCGTCCATGTTGATCACCTTCATCCACCTCTTTGTCATATAATTTTTCTCTCTCTCTCTCTCTCTCTCTATTATTCTCTATTCACCCTCACACCTATCAATCTTATGTTTTTTCTCAATCAATTTACAATCTATTTATCCATTCATCTATCTTAGCTTTACCAATCTCATTCTTATTTGTTCCCTCTTCCTACATCTACCTCCTTCCCTTTCTCCTTCTCCACCACCACCACCACCTCCCTCTACCTCCCCCGAATACTTTCAATCTTACCTTCTTCTGATGATTTTCTTCTTTCTCTTCTCTTTTCTTCCTCTCCCCCATCTTTTTTCCCTGATAACCTGTGTGTAGTTGGAATTACAAATAACCATACAAAAACAAAAGCAAAAAGCTTGTCGCAATAAGTTAACTTTTCAGGATCTTTTGTTATTTATGATCAACTTTCTCTCACTTACACTCATTTCCACCACTCACTCTCACTTTACTCACTTTCTCTCTTCATCATCATCGTCATCTCTTTCTTTTTCTTCATCATCTCTTACTTTTCTCTCTCTCTCTCTCTCTCTCGTTCACTTATTTTTTGTTTGATACCAACGTTGATCTTTTTTCTCCTTTTTTCCCTCTCCCACTTTCTCTCTTCTCTTTCTTCTGTGTTCACTTTCTTTCTCCCTTCCTCTATCCCTCTCTTTCTTTATTTTTCTTTATTTCTTATTCCTTTTTCTTGCTTTCTTCCTATTTCTCTATCCATCTTATATTAGATGATATCCGATATAACAAGAACTAAAACAACAAACATATGAACCCAGTCACATTTTTCATTAATCTCATACTTCTCCTCCCACTTTCTCTCCTTTAGAACTTTCTTTCTTTTCTGTCTATCGCTGTTTCGCTCAGTTCTTTTTGTTTTTTCATTCTCTTGCTCTCATTTACCTTTTTCATTTCAATATTTCTCATAGATATTCGTTTGAAATCATAAATTCTCTCTTTCTTTCTCTTTCTCTCTATTCTCAAGAAAAGAAAGTAAACAAAACAATGTTTTTGGTCTCTTTCTTTTCTCATTACTTTTTTCTTCATCAATCCCTCTATTGATTCGGTTTGATCTTGATCGTGACACTCACAACACTTACACACACACACACACATGTTATGTCTTCTTCTTCTTTCCTCCAATCTTTATCATCATATCACACAAACAGTGACCATCATACGTAGAAATAAGAAACGTAACAACATTAATAACACCAACATGCAACATGGACGATGAATGAGTGACACAGAGATACACATACACATACACACACACACACAAACAAGTTATCATCTCTCATCATCACCCGAGTCAGTTTTGTACAAAACAAAAATTCAGTTAACTCTTGAATTTCAAATCAAGATAGTGACAAAAAAACAAAAACTGATCACAAAAATGATTAAATATTATAAATATATACATACATTATGATCCATAACTTACAACAAACAAAAAATCAAGTAAACAAATCAACAAAAAATCCCATTACAACATAAAATTACAACACTTTACAAGAAAAAAACCTTCACATTACACACAACATGAATTCACATAAACTTACATCACCATCAACCACCACCTCTCCTCCTCCTCCACCACCACCACCACCACAATAAAGTAACATGATGACATACAATTTCTGATTAATAATCAAACACGTTGAGAAACTAAAAAACATCTCCTACAATTAAACTGAAATCTTTTTCTCCACTTAACATATTAACATATGTTAACACTTTCTCTCTATTGTCTTTGCCACCCACTTTTCTCCCTCTTTGTTGCTCTTTCTTTATAAGTTGAAAAAAGAATCAATCTCCTCATCTCTCTCCCTCTTTCCACCCACTTCTTACCTTGTCTCTCTCTCTCTTCTCATTCCCTTTGAAATCAATGTAATGACTCGTCAATGCACGTTTTTTATGCAATTACAAGCGGTTGAGAAGCTACACCAACAGCAACAACAAACAACCTAAACACAAACTCGAAAACAAAACAATTAAATTAAAAAGCTCGTTTAAAATGACTTTGTATTTGAATCAATGAATCTTATTTCAATCGCCAATTGGTCCGCTAAATCGGTTCGTATCAATATCTAAATCGTTGATGAATATAAATTAAATTGTTGTCCATTGTGTTTATAAACATTTAATGATGATTGTTGATTATTATTGTTTTTCATTTGTATCTTTTTCCCTCTTCTCTTGTTTCTTTACTTTATTTTTTGTTAAATGAAGCAAAATTGATTAACTTTAATCACTAACAATCATGTAATCATCTTGATGATGATGATAAAAAAACCATTGGCTTAAAGGCAACTTTTTGATGATGATGATGATGATACTCATTCACTTGATCTTGCTCATCATTTTCATCCTCATCCTCATCATCTCTACATCTCATCATCTTTTTCCTATCTTCATTTTTTTCTCTTTTTTCCCTAATCTTCATCTATCTTTTTCTATCTTCCTTCCTCTTCATCATCATCATCATTTTCTTTCCCTTTTCTTCCTTGATCATCATCATCATCCTTAATGGATGATGAGATCTAAAGAGCAAAAAAGTTTATGTACAATGCTGAGTTTTTTTCTCCATCATCTTATGGAGCAATCATCATTTTCATCATCATCAACCTGCATCATCATCAACATAATCATCATCATCATCATCAAGAGAAACGAAAATCATCTTTTACCATCGTCATCATCATCAGCTTGATGATCATCATCATCATTAGCCATCATCATTTTTTAGCATAAATGAGTTTAGATGTTTTCATTGAAGATGAAAGAGAGATGATGATGATGATGATAGGAAACGATAAAATTATCTCCGTTCCAAGCCCAAGTTCTGATGAGTTATTAAATAGTAATAACTAAGAAAAAGCAAAATTATTTTTCTCATATTCTATTATCATCATTACTATTATTATCTGGAATATTATTCATCCGATGATTTGAATTATCTCTTGATTGAAATTACGGTGCTACGATTAGTAAGTTACGAGTTTCTATTAGAACAAAAGTTTTTTTTTTCGATTTTTCTTTTTCGTTTTTCTTCACCGAGTATATTGCATGTTCGAAAAGTTTTTCCAATTTTTCGTTTGCCTCCTTCCATTCAAGTTCGTAACAATTTAGTAAATTGTTTCGATATAGAATTTAATTTGATAAAAGTTCGAAAAGTTTTTTTTTTCATCTTCTAAATTATGATCTTTACTAATCTGATGATGATAATGATGATAATTATTGCGATTCCTTTGCTACTCACTAACACCTAACCTTTAAATTAGTTCCGCAATAATGTAAATGTAAATGATGACAATAGCTAATGATAATGATGATGATGATGACGATGATTATAATAATGATGAAAATGATTATAATGATGATGAGGTTGATGATAATGATGATAGCCTCAACTTGATGATGATTGTCGCCATCATCATCATTGTCATTCTTTCTTTGGTAAAACCCTGCAGAAGAAAAAACATCTTCTTTACTATCAAAGCCAGGCCTAAGTTTCTGCTTTTCATGATGATAATGATGATAGGCTCTCTCATCATCATCAAGCCGAGGCTATCATCATCATCATCATCATTTCCATTGCTTTCTTTTTCTTTTCTTCTTAACTTTCTTTTCCTTTTGTCAGAGAAAATGATGATGATGATGATGGTAAAGTTGATGATAATGATGATGATGATGATGATGATGATGATGATGATGATGATGATGATGATGATGATGATGGTTGTTACCGTTGTAAAGGCTTTCGGTTCTCTCTCGAGATGTTTGAATGAATTTGATGAAAAATGATTATGATGATGGTGAATTTGATGATGATCAAGTTGATGATGATGAAAATGATGAGTATTATGATGATGATGATGATAGAAACGATAAAATTATCTCCGTTCCAAGCCCAAGTTCTGATGAGTTATTAAATAGTAATAACTAAGAAAAAGCAAAATTATTTTTCTCATATTCTATTATCATCATTACTATTATTATCTGGAATATTATTCATCCGATGATTTGAATTATCTCTTGATTGAAATTACGGTGCTACGATTAGTAAGTTACGAGTTTCTATTAGAACAAAAGTTTTTTTTTTCGATTTTTCTTTTTCGTTTTTCTTCACCGAGTATATTGCATGTTCGAAAAGTTTTTCCAATTTTTCGTTTGCCTCCTTCCATTCAAGTTCGTAACAATTTAGTAAATTGTTTCGATATAGAATTTAATTTGATAAAAGTTCGAAAAGTTTTTTTTTTCATCTTCTAAATTATGATCTTTACTAATCTGATGATGATAATGATGATAATTATTGCGATTCCTTTGCTACTCACTAACACCTAACCTTTAAATTAGTTCCGCAATAATGTAAATGTAAATGATGACAATAGCTAATGATAATGATGATGATGATGACGATGATTATAATAATGATGAAAATGATTATAATGATGATGAGGTTGATGATAATGATGATAGCCTCCTCAACTTGATGATGATTGTCGCCATCATCATCATTGTCATTCTTTCTTTGGTAAAAACCCTGCAGAAGAAAAAAAAACATCTTCTTTACTATCAAAGCCAGGCCTAAGTTTCTGCTTTTCATGATGATAATGATGATATAGGCTCTCTCATCATCATCAAGCCGAGGCTATCATCATCATCATCATCATCATTTCCATTGCTTTCTTTTTTTCTTTTTCTTCTTAACTTTCTTTTCCTTTTGTCAGAGAAAATGATGATGATGATGATGGTAAAGTTGATGATAATGATGATGGCAGAGAAGAAGATTATGATGATGATGATGATGATGATGATGATGATGATGATGATGATGATGATGATGGTTGTTACCGTTGTAAAGGCTTTCGGTTCTCTCTCGAGATGTTTGAATGAATTTGATGAAAAATGATTATGATGATGGTGAATTTGATGATGATGAAAATGATGAGTATTATGATGATGATGATCAAGAAAAGGGCAATTACTCAGATGATGAGATTGAGGTCATTGAGACAAATGACCGAGGCGCTTATGTAACGAGCAGGAATGGAAATAACCGGGAATCAGAATGATCATGAAAATTGGAATCGTAAACTAATCACAATCATCGTACTGATTAAGTTTCATCTTTATCATTTGGACTAACTTATTCCTCCACCATCACCACCAACCAGTAACCTGATAACATACAATTTGTCTGTTGGATGATTAACAATCATAATTGTGATCATTTATTGACACACGTTCGCTATACAATCAATATAATAACAATCAATTCGAGGGGGATGATTGAAATGGTTCATTAAAATAACTTTTATTTGGAAACAATTGAATCAATGACATTTCAATATCGACCAATCAATTTGGTTGATTTGGTTTAAATCACGTATCAATGTAATCTTTGTATGTTTATTGAAATATTTTGTTTCCTCTTCAATTTGTATAAATATAATATTTAAATAATGATTGTTGATTATAATTGTTTTCATTTGTAATCTTAGTTTCTTGGCAAAATTGATTAAAAGTTTTTCACTCAACAATCATGTGTAATCATCTTGGCGATGATGAGATATAAAAATACCGTGAGTTTAAATGATGATATAACTTTCAGATAATAAAATATGAGAGAGGGAGAAAGAGAGACTTGATTATCTGATTTGGTTCATCATTTAAAAGTCTCAATCATTAAAGACCTTTGATACTATTGGTGTAAAATCTGCATGGAAATTGATATAAATGCGAGAATACCACCAACAAGAGCTGCCGTTTTCCAAAATCTAAGGTCAGAGAAATTTGTTGTATTGGGTTGATTTGAGTATTCGATTAGACCATTAAAACCGCCATGGTTATTCATCCAATCCAATAGTCTAGCGGAAACATAATTTATCAGCCAACCGGCAATCGATTCAACGATAACTTGATCATTCTTAATGTGATAAAATTCTAGGGCAAGTTCAAAGGTGAACACAAAGAGCGTTAAAATGCTACTCCATTTGATACCCTCGGTGAAAAGATGATCAGCAATTCCAATGAAAATAATGTAACCTCCTTCATCGAGCCGGTCAGGTTCAAGAGTTGAATCTAAATTATTGACAACGGTTTCCACCTTATCTCGCAGCTCATTGTAAGACTCTATGGAAGATCTAAAATCATTGGACAATTTGTTAAGAATATAAATGAATGAAGAGATTGATTGTTCCTCAGTTTGACTTAATCTGGTGGCAGCATTTGAATTCCTTTCAGTTGCTTCTCTTTCTTGGTCAACCGGTACACCGGCGGGTCTCCATTGGATATCTTTGGCTCTAAATTGCTCTCTAAAATAAGAATGCACAATAAATTCAATATCTTTCGCTAAAATACCGGGCATAACTGAACAATTCTAATTTGTAAATACACACACACAAAGAAGAAGAGAAAGAAAGAAAAAGAAATTAAACAAAAATAAAAACAAAAACACACAGAGACAGAGAGAAGATTAAAAAAAATGTAAGAAAATGAGAAAGATATTAAAATAGAATCAAATTGAATTGAAACCACACAAAACACTCTAGAGAAAAAGTGACACCAAAGACAATGACACACACCAAACAAAGATACAAATAAAGGTTAAATAAAAAAAAGAAATTAACTAATTGTCGGTGAAAGAGAAACAAAAATCAACCAGTAAACAAAAGTAAAAAAAATCGGAAAATTAATTGAATCAAAAAAAGAAAAAAAAATAAAAATTATATAACATTACTTTTCGAATCCGACAGATGTCACTACTTATCGAGTGATCGATTTGGTAACAAATCAAATGGAGAAAAGAAAAGAAAATGTCCTTGGCCAACAGATGGCGCGCGCGTGAAGCTCTTCCATTGGAAAAATGTTGTTGTTTTTGTTTCATTTTTTGTGTTTACAAATAATTTTCTCTTCAATTTGTTATTAATTTTTTTTTATTTAAATTAATTAATCTTGTTATCAGTGGTTTAAATTAAATTGACCAATTGGTTAAACATCAATTATGTCCAGTGTAAGTGAAGATGCTTGGGCTTTACTTGCTCTCAAAAGTGCATCAAGTCCTTCAAGTCCTTCCCGCTTGTACAACAAAAATGGTCATGATACAGGTAAACCTATCGCTAAATTGGAGACACGTGAATTTGAATATATGATACGACAAAAGCGAATAATTATTGGTAGAAATTCAAGTAACGGTGATGTTGATGTAAACATGGGTAACAGTTCATTCATATCCCGGCAACACATTGAAATCTATTATGAGGCACCCTATTTCTTCATGATATGTAATGGTAAAAATGGTGTATTCGTTGATGGTGTTTTCCAACGTAAAAGTGCACCTCCCTTGGCATTACCTAAACAGTGTGTTCTACGTTTTCCTAGTACCAATATCAAGTTAATTTTCCAATCACTTATCGACGAGAAAGGAAATGAAAATTCAAATACCTCTAATGGTAATGGTTTCAATGGTACCAACAGTAATAATAATAATAATAATACTATTAACATTAACAACATCAACAACAACAACAATAACAACATTAATAATAATAATATTAGTATTAATATTAACACCGCTACAAATATCAATACAACAACTAAAGATTTATTAAGTCTCAAAGTTAATATTGCTGATCCATCTGAGGCCGATCTTATAAGTCCTACACCTTCACCAACCGGCACCATAAGGTAAGGGAAATAGAACTACAGTCAGAGGAAAGATTTTTTGTTTCTCCACCGAGTTTCTCATTCCAACAACAATCAACAATCAATACAACAACAACCTTCTTCATTTTCTCTTACTCTCTCTTTCTTTTTTTTTCGATATATCTATCTACCTATCTACTAGTATTTAACTACTTTTTATCTCTTTCTCTCTCATTCACTCTCACTCACTCTTTCTTTCTGTTTTTCTTTTTTACTTTTCTCTCTCTCTCTCTCTCTTTCCCTCTGTGTGTTTTAATCTAGAAAAAAATGAAGCATAACCCATGCTTTTTTTCAGACACACAGACTTACACGGTGTCTGAAAAGTTTCACTAGATAAAACAGGGGAAAAATATTCGAGTGAGAATTAATTTCATACTTCTTTTCCCTCCAGACTAACTTTCGATACACCCTGTAGGGCGGGACTCATTTTTTTCTCTCTCTCTCTTCAACATTTAGTCTTCACTGTATATAAGCTGTTTGTTTGCTTTTTTCTGGTTGAGTCTGTGTGTTATAAGGTCTTATTGCTGCTTCTATATGTTGTATTTGCAGTTAAGTTGAAGGATTTTTCTAGGCAAGAGCAACAACAACAAGCAATAATAATAAACATAAAAGTGTAGAAAGAGAGATGAGAAAGAGAATCAACCTAAAAGCAGAAGAAAAATGGTAGAAAGAGGATAAAGAAAGGGAAAATTAGAAAGAGAAAATAGAAAGAGGACAAAAATTAGAGAGTTATATTAATGATGATAAAAAGTAGTAATATCTAAATGTTACCAAGCTTATAAGAGATCAGTTAACTGTATGAAAAGATGATTTGATGAAGGTAATTCAGATTAATTAGATTATTATCAAAATTTTGTTAATTACTAACAATTTGTTTTCTTTTCTCTCTCGCCTTAAGATGATGATTCATTCTTGTTTATGTTTTAAAGAGAAAATCTCTATTTACTCTTGATTTTTGCTCTCTCTCTCTCTCTCTCTCCCTCTCTCCCCTTCTCTTTCTTATTCTCTTTCTCTCTTTTATCTTCTCTCTTTTTCTCTCTTTTGCTCTTCATTTCTACTTCTTTCTTTCTCTCTTTCTCTCTCTTTGTTTTCCTTATTTTCTTCTGTTAATGTGAGTATGTGCTATTGTAACATTAACTCAATCCCTTTCTTTTTCTCTTTCTCGCCTTCTCCTCACCTGATTTATATTTATATCTAAACTGAAAGAATCTAATTTATTTGGTTATGTCATTTTGTAAATTGTTTATATTGTGAATTTTTCGCTCAATAATTTCTCCTTTTGTCTGTAAGGTCCATTTTCTTATCATCTCTATTTTGGCTCAACCCGAAAGTAAATTGTAACCTTTTACCTCATCGTTTTCACTTGTATTCTCAATCGTTTATAGTTGATCTTTGCAAGGCCTAGGCTTTTTTTTTCTTAATTCTTGATTGTTGTTGTTTATCTTTCCATTATCAATATCTCTCTTTCTGTTACCAGCTTATTCTATTTTTATTATTTCTATTAATATATTTTGTTCTGTTTTTCTCTTCTCTTTGCTCAGTGCTGCTAATTCTTGTCCCACAAGCCCTCGAGCTGGTTCACGTTATCGTAACAGTGGAGTGACCAGTGACCTACAAGCAATGGTTGAATACGCTGCTGCTGCTGTGACCTCCGAGGAACACCGAGTTCAAGCAAATATGATTGCAACCTCTGTAACAAATGACACCAGTGTTAACAAATCATCATCTTTATCAATTAACTCTAACCTATCAACCTCACAGACTGTTAACCACTCTGACTATTATTCACAATCATCATCAACTCTGAGTCATTGTCAAGTTGCTGCAAATGAAAGTGTTTCCAATAGTCCAAGTGGTGTAGGAGGAGGCGGAGGTGGATCAGGTGCCATTGGGGAAATAGATGAAACTAAACCACCATATTCATATGCTCAGTTAATTGTTCAAGCTATTTCTAGTGCTTCAGATAAACAGTTAACTCTTAGTGGTATATATTCATTCATAACCAAAAACTATCCCTATTATCGTACTGCTGATAAAGGTTGGCAAGTAAGTGGTCAAATTAATGATGACAATGTTGTTTAACATCTCATCCCATTATATTATCCTTCTCATTTTGTCATTGAGCTTTTTTTAAACATCATTGGTGATTATGAGTATAATTACTTGAACACTAATAACATACAATTATATTAACAAGGAAATTTCCTTGTTGCTAAGTATCTCTCACTCACTCTCCTTCTTTCTCTCTCTCTCTCTCTCTATCTATCTTCAATTCTCTTTCTTTGCTCTATCTCTTGGCTAACAAATTATCATGATGATAATAACATCCAATAGTGTGTTGATGTAATCATATATCACTAATCATAGTACCGATCAAAAGAAAGCCATTCGACTCATGGGAAATATTTACTATTAGATTTTTTTCCACATCTTATCTTAAATGTTGCATGTTAATTAATTTAAACTTGCTAATGATTTTGTCTTTTTTTCTCTATTTTTCTGTTTTCTATTAGAACTCAATTCGACACAATTTGTCATTAAATCGATATTTTGTTAAAGTGGCGCGATCTCAAGAAGAGCCCGGGAAAGGTTCATTCTGGAGGATAGACCCTTCATCGGAACCCAAGCTTGTCGAGCAAGCATTCAAGAGACGGCGTCAACGGCCAATATCATGTTTTCGAAATCAAATGAGCAGTTCAAGATCGGCTCCAGCTTCACCCAATCATCTGGGTGGTGGCGGAGGCAATGTTTCTGGTCTAGTTACCCCGGAATCCTTATCACGAGAGCCAAGTCCGTCACCTGAGATGGGTGACAATGATGCAAATCAATTAATGGGTCCTCCAACAGCGTCATTCCTTACAGTGCCAAGTGATTATAAAATGTCAAACAAATCAGCTCCAGGATCACCAGGTTAGCCGTCGGTTAAATGTTTTATAATTATATCTTATCCTTGTAATCATATTCACTAATATTTCTTTATTTCTCTCTCTCTCTCTCTCCCTATTTGGTATATCTCTTTTTCTTCCCTCTCCTTAGAATCTCATTGCAATTTTCTCTCCCCTTCTTCGGCAGGTATTACAATTACAACAGATTCAGGGGTGTTCACAAGCGCCGGCGGAACTCAATTTCAAAGTAAGTCTATTCTTGCCCTACCATCATCATAGATTCGAGTGTCATTGATTGTCCCTTTTATCTTCACTTTTTATTGTTTCTTTTTTTACAACAATAACTATTATTGTTTCGTTCTGTTTCACTTTATCATCATAATATCTATTATGTTTCTCTCAGCTGGTTACAGAATTAGTTTTTGTTTTAGTTTTTGTTTTACATGATTTCTTCAGAAACTCATCATTCTAATAGGTTGACATGGTTTCCTGGTTTCTTTTTTTCTTTTCACTACTTTTACAATCACCTGTTGTCATCATTATCCATTAACCTTTATATCAACAGTTAACAACAACAATAATTAACTATGATGACTAATTGACTTATTTGTTTAACTTTGTTTACTGTTTACAATTTTACTCATTGATATTTTGATTTTTCCATTTTTTCATCCTTATAGAAAAAGAAATGATTTTCCCTGGAAATAATCGTAATTCATCACCAAGAGCCATTGCAGTGGACAACAATACCGTTATTTTGCAGTCGACCTTGAAGTCTCCTCATCAAAGTGTGAACGCTGGTCAACATGGGTCAACAGTAATCGTCTCAGCACCACAAGTAACTTCAGACGCTCATCTGGTTGATTTTGTTACTAGTGTTCCAGGAAGCAATAGTTCAGTTATCTCTCGAGTCTATGGATCAGAGGGAAATGCTTTTGTTACCAACACATCAACCGCCATTTCAGAAGTAGTTACCACTTCATCAACGGGAACCAAAAGACCTTATGATATTCACCATCATCCACACCATCATAGTAACAGCGATAATCTTATTAATGCCAAGGATGATTATGATAATCCTGATGATGATGAAATTGATTCAAGTTTACAAATTAAAAAAGCCAAAACCGATGAAGAGTTAATATTAACAGAGGAAGTGTCTTCGGTCACTACTTCAACAACAATAACACCAACAACGGTATCACCCGAGATAACAGCGGCCATTAATTCAATAACAACGGAAGAAATGACAGCAACATCAAGTATCTCATCTTTAACTGGAGAAACTGAGACCGAAATAGTAACAGTATCAATGACACCAATAGTAACACCTATACCAACACCAACATCAAATTCACCGGAACCAACACCAACACCAACACCTCCTCCAATAACAACAGAAACTGAGACAATTTCAACAACAATATCAACATCACCAACACCAACAATTGACGAATCAAATACTAATAATCCTGATAATAACAATGAAACAACTAGTGTTTGATCATGACTTTATTTTGTCTCTGATCATCTGTCATCATCTTCATCATCATTACAACAATTTATCAGAAAAGTGAAAAAAGACATTTAATTAATAACTACTTTGCCGAATTCAACCCAAATCCAAACAAAATTTGATGTCCAGGTGAATTAAAGACAAACAAACCCGATGAAAACCTCACTAGGAATAATCAGAGATGCAAAGACAGAGATTATGGTTCAACCTGATTAACACCAAAATCAATTTGAAAGACAACAAATGCTAATTGAATCACTATATTTATCCATCTCCTCCATTGACCTCTACAAAGAAAACCCATTCTCACCCTTCATCATTTACATATTCATATAATACACAAATTTCTTATCCTCTCCTGTCTTTCTCCCTCTCGTCCTCTCTCTCTCTCTCCTCTTTCTCTCTCGTTTATTTAGTGTAAATCTCTCGTTATCTCCTTCGTACTCTTTGATACAACAAAAGTCAAATTATCGATGAGAATCCAACGGGACAAGTTATAAATAAGATTCTATAAGATAGTCGCAAGGATGAGTCAGCCTAAAACTCGTCTAATGTTTTTTTCTGCTCCCAAAATATAAATACTTCAAATCATAACTGGAGAGCTGGTTAACAAGGAGGTAGTAATTGAGGATAAACAGACAAACCGAATGAGAGAGAAAAATTGAGAGAGATAGAGAGAGAGAAAGAGAGAGAGCAAGAAAACCATGAAAAGAGAGGGTTTTTCATGAACATTGTAAACAACATCATTATGATCTACTGTTGACTTTTTTTCTTTTCTCTTCCTTCTTCGGTGTAAAATATTATAAAACTAACTCTAAATATTTCAACTCTCTCTCTCTCCCTCCCTCTCTCAGACACTCTCCCTCAATCCTAAGGAAAATATTACATGATAAATGTTTTGTTGTTTCGAGAAAGACAGAAATATATGTTAAATTAACCACAATGGAAAAGATGATCTTCGTTAGATTATATTTTCTTCTTTGCTTTTTTCTTCGAAGTTCAATTTCCCCTTCGACATGATGCTAAACCTTAATCACCTTTATCATCATTTATTTTTCATCTTCGTTCTGTGTTCTCTTTCCCTCCCTCCCTTTCTCTCTCTCTCTCTCTCTCTCTGTTTATAATATTAACTGTTTGTAAACAAAAGCTTTTCCTCCTATTTGTTTCCTTCTATCCTCTTCCTATCGGATTAACTTCCACCTTTCAGCTAATGATTAGTGTTTTTTTTTGCTAAATTAACCACGAATACATATAAATATGTATACACACACACACTAACAACATTTATACATATATTCATAATCCACTCTCAGAGGTACAACAAATGAAAAAATTATGTAAGCTTGTTAGTACATATGATTAATATCTAATTAATTAATTGTATAGAATCAAAATGGTTAAACGTGTATCCATCATCTTCAATAATATCATCTTTGACCAAACTGAATTACAGAAACATCTTCATCAACCATCATCATCATCAAAACATCAAGTTCACAACAACAATTAACAACACTTTTCTTTCCCCTGGAATTTTGATTAACCATGACAATTTACATTCTAATCTCTCTGATGATCAACTTTTGGCTTCTATCCTTCATCAATCCTTAACTTTTTTTTCTCCTCATCTTTTTGTTTATCATCCATTTCCACCACCCACTTCCTCTTCTTCCTCATTTCGTTCAACTTCCTGTCGCCACCTTAAGACTAGTCAGAAGTTTGTGTAAAATAATCAATAATCAAAATCTCAACTTCCTTAATTGTAAATTAATAGCGTTGAGCTTATATCGTTTTTGTCTCGATTCGGATGTTCAAATGATCGTTTATTTCATTTGGACAATTCTAATCATTCTAATCGCGTTAATTGATTAGATTGTCCGAATGATTTAATTTCGGTTGATGAGAAAAGTAACTAAATTGAGAATTAATCACTTGGTAAACAATCAATTGATTGCAGTTTTCTAATTGATGATTGATTAGCATTCGTTGGTTTTAAGGTTCAAAGGATTCTAACAAAAACAAACTTAAACAATTGTTGACAATTTAGGTAGAATAGTTAACTGCTCAGTGAAAAGATCAACAATTAAAAGTAATAAAACGATTAATTGTTACAAAACATCAAGGATAATGAAACTAGAAAGTGTTCATATTGGATTCGCAATTTAATTTCACTAATCATTTGGTCAACTCGGTCGTTGAGATTAACTGATAATTGGTCAGATTTAATCAAGAAAATGAGTTCATCAAAACAATTAGAAACAATTAGTGACCGGCCAGTGTTACCCAATGTAAGTATTAATTGTTCTCGGTTAATTAGTGTTTGTAGTAAGTTAATTGGAAGCTAATTTGTTTTTAATTGTTCGCGATTAGATTAATGATTTGACCGACGACGAGGCCAAAGAAAATGTGATCCTTTTAATGGAAATATTGAAAAGCGATCAAACTGAATTATATTCTGATGCGTTGATTAAAATTCGTGAAATGATTCGAGGTCACAACGAATCGCCGACATTTTCAATTGTTCCGAAACAAATTTTACTATTACAACCTTATTATTCATTTTTCAAGCAGCTTTACAATCAATTAATCCAAGAATCAGATCAACAATTAACTGCCGATATAATTAGTGTTCTATCAACAATTAACTCTCAACTTGATTGTGACTCTAACGAGACTACGAATGAAACATTAAGATATAAATTACTTGGATCGCCTGATTGTTCACTTGATTATTTTGGCTTCGAGTATGTTAATCATTTAACAATCGGCATAATTGACGAGGTCCAATCGTCGCTCTCACCAATTACTGAGAGTTTGAATAAGTTGATTGATTTAATTGTTGGATACTTTTTGAAAAGTAATTGTGTCAATGAGGCGATTGATTTTACTCTGGAAATTAAATCACTTGATAAGTTAATTGGTTACCTTGATCGCACATTCAATATAAATCAATCTGATGATAATTTAGATGAAATAATTAGTAAAATTGGTTCCTATCTAATGACATGTTCATCTTATTTAACTGGCGATGATAATGTTTATGTCACATCGTTTGTGATTAAATTGTATCTCAAGTACAAATTTTGGATTGATGCTTTAATTGTTACCCTGAAAACTGATTCAAATCAACCTTCAGCAATTGAATTAATTTTACAACAATGTTCATCATCAGAATCAACGAGATTTAAACCATCGGCAATAATCAAGCAAATCGCTTGTATCCTTAATCGGCAAACAATTTATCTTTACAATCATACTGATCCAATTGTCCGAGGGTTGATGTCAAGTACTAAATCACTGTCACTTATTAATTACACCGCAAGAGAATTGGATTGTTTAAACTCATTTAATCTACAATCAACTCTACCAGATTTTCTGGTTGGTTCACCATTTGGTTTTAATTGGCGAGTGAGACGAACACCAATTAGGACAATTATCTTACACGTTGCAAATGGATTTGCAAATATTGCCGCAGGTCGAGATGAACTGATTCTGTCGGTAGTTAATTCAGTTAGGCCGCAATTTTTAATAACCAAATTCGGGGCCGATTGTGTAGCTCCGATAATTGCATCTATTGGATTGATTAACCTGTGGAGTCCAGATTTGACTTTGAATTTAACTTTGAATCGATTTAAATTATCACTTGGACCTGATTTGAAAGCGGGCTCGATTTTGGCCTGTTCCTTATCGAGATCAGGATATCGAGGAGATGATGAAGAAGACGATTTTCTTGATTGTCCTGAATTTGATTCAATCGATTCAAGTCAAGCTACTTGGGATGAACAAATCGCTTCTATTATCGGTTTAGGTGTCGCCTATTCGGGAACTAATAATTCGGAGGCCATTTATATCCTTCGTCGATTACTTCGTAACAATAAAGTCCCGTTGATTAGTAAAGGAATTGCCAGTTTATCGATTGGTTTAATTGCTGTTTCATCAGCTAATCATAAGATTTCTTCACATTTAGTTTCCATTTTAATTCACATCGATTCACTTGTTAATCGTCCAGAGTCTTTAATTACTTGCTGGTTTATTTGTCTATCTATTGGGTTAATTTACCTACAGAAAAAAGACAAAAATATTAATGATGATAATAATGATGATAAAAATTTGATCTATCAAATTGATAAATTGTCCTCCGAGAAACTCAAGTCAATGGTTAAACTTACCCTTAATTGTTGTAAATACGCTGGATCAGGAGATGTATTGCAAATTCAACGATTAATTCATTTAATCAGTGGCGAGGAATCTTTTGATATACAAAAACATGATTTACAATTACCATCAACATCAAGCTCGACCAACAATCAGCTAAATCAATCACCAAGTACATCAAGACGTAAACCAGTTAGATCAATCTTGAAAGAAAATAAAGAAAACAAAGAAACTGCAATTAAGGGTAAGCAATTTACTAAGTAAAGTTAATTTTTACCACTGATTTAATTTCAATCAACCACAGGTAATGAAAAACCAAAGGTAATTCACAAGAAAACAGTAATCAAGGAAAATGAATCGAATCGACGTAAAATTAATTCCAATCTTAAACCAACTCGAAACATTGGTAAAGGGAAAAAGATCACAGGTAAAGGGAAACGGAAACTAACCCATCTGAATGAATATAATACTATGGATGAAATTGAAAGTTCGAGTCAATCAACAGGAAAGGAAAGAGAACCATTAGGATTAATGAGAAGTTCCAATGAAGAGCCGATAAGAAGTCCACGTCGATTACGTCGATACTCAACATTTACTAGACGATCGAGTTTACCTTCCATGGCCACAACAGTCCAGAGATGTGGGTCCGTCTAATTTTATTGATTCAGATGATGAATCTGATCGTCCATCAGTCGGCTCAAGTGGCATTAGACCAAGACAAACAATGAATTTACTACAGTCACTTGAAGCTCTTAATCGATCGCTTGATCAACTGATTGCCGAAAGTAAAGGTGAGCCCAATGGTAAGGTTGATGTCACTTCAATCTCATTTACACCACCGAGGGAAATTAATAAATCAATCGCAGTGCTTGGTATCGGTTTAATTGCCATGGGTGAAGATGTCGGAATGTCAATGGCCAAAAGGGTTTTACAGCAAATCCTATTCAATGGTTCACCTTCAGCTAAACGATTGGTGCCAATGGCGTTTGCTTTACTTTCCCTTTCGTATCCAGATCAAGAAATTTTGACAACATTGGAAAAATATTCACGATATCAAATGATCTCAATGTCAATAAATTCAATTATCGCACTTGGATTGATTGGTTCGGGTTCTTTGGATTATAAATTGTCGAAAATGTTGGACAGCCTATTTGAACACTACGATGTTGGTCCAGCCTTTTGTTTGGATGCTCTTATACTGACCAAAGGTTTACTTCATCTTGGTAAAGGTTTAATGACTTTGAATCCATTTTCTTATGACAATCAATTGCTATTTCCAACTGGATTAGCGGCCATTCTGATAATTGCTTTCTGCTCTCTGGATATTAAACATACTCTGCTTGGTTCAAAGCTCAATCAATTGATTTATTATCTAACTCCAGCGGTTAGAACTCGATTTGTTGTTACATTGGATGAGGACACTTTGAAACCCGTTGAGATACCGTTAGGAGTGGGACAGGCCTTGGATACCGCTGGCCAAGTTGGTAAATTACGATTGGCAACAATTTCATCAACTCAAAATTCACCAATCATTTTGAAAGATCATGAAAAGCTGAAATAAAGACCAATACATATAAAGGAATCAGCAAAATGATTGAAGGAACTGTAATTGTTACTAAAACAGACGAAAGTGATTCTTAAATCAACAATTAGATTTGATTGTTTCAATTGTTCCATTGTCTTGTATATTAGAAATCTAAAAAAATAAAATTGAAAAAAACCAAATTAGTAATCTTGGTGTAATGGTAAATAGAAACAATCAGAATTACTTTATAAATCATCAGTAGATATTAGCAAGGGAATCGCTATGATTTCCGATTTCATACAAAAATATTCCCCACCAAAGGTCATTAATGAAGCAGCGACGAAATTAATTATCCACCAAGACCAAGTATTCGGTAAAAAGCCATTGTAAGTCCAAGACATTAGAAAATGTAGAAAATAACAAGTGACCGTATAATCCAAACAGGGTTTAGCTCTTCCAACAAATGACCACAAGTAGAAAGATCTGAAGTGAGAAATCAATTGATTAGACTGTTAGGCCAACAGAAAATGGCCTCAAAAAGCCGTGTCAGCGCTTACCCACAAGTCGCGTTGATAAGATAAACCAACAAGGTGAGTATGTTGATCTGATAGGTAAAAATGTAATTTAATGACGGTGATTGAATGGCACTAATTAGAATGGCAAGTGATGAGTAAAACGAAGCTTGAATGGTCAAAATTTGTAGAGTAATTAGAAAAGGATCCCAAATGGTTAACCTAAATTTACCTGTGAATAGAATTAAAGAAAAAAGAAAACACAATTTGATTGAATTAAACGTGAGGCCGATTCATAGGAAACGCTTTTAACAACCGGTCATAATTCACCAAATTTAAAAGCGAAAATGAAAGATTAACTCACCGAACTTCATGTGGATTAAACTTTAGTCACTAATTGTCGAACTGAAAACAAAGAAACAATTAAATGAGAATAGAATGGCGATCAATTAGGAGAATTGAGAAAAAACTGTTGGGAGAAAAGAAAAAGAAAAATGTAAACAAACTCATTTACTCCAAAGTGAACATATGATTTGGGTCTCAGTCGATACTCGGAAGAGATTAATGTTCCTGTTAATCGAATGTCTTTAAAGTGAATTAATTTTAACTCTAAAGTGAACACAAATTAACAACAATCAAAGGTGAGCTTAATAGTGAAAGAACATTTCGATTTGGTTGGAATTCTTTCATTCAACTGATTAGATTTCGTTTTTTTTTCTCTGTTTATATTTTCTTTTTTTTCTGTTGTTCTATTCCATTTGTTTGGATTTGATTTTTCTTTTAATTTGATTGATTTATTTTCTCTTTGTGTTTTCATCTTGATCAATTAATTTAATCGAAATGTGATGATGATGATCCAGACAAATAGAATAGAATATTAAAATAGACTGTTCATCTGATTACCGCAAGGATTTTCTCGTTAATTCTAGTTGATTGTATGTTCTCCTTTTCCTTTTATCTAATATACAATTTGTTGATTTCTTTTCTTCATTTCTCTTAATTGTTTCTCCTCTATCATTATCGATATTGATAACAGTTACCGAATCATCACCAACACCACCAGAAGAATCGCTTCAGTTGATTGGATACATTTTCTTTCGTGAATTTGGGATAATCTTGGTTTTCTTTTAATCTCCTTGTTTACTAATTGATCTCATGTAAAATGCCTACAATTTGTTCACCATTCGTTTACTGGGGTCAAACCGAAACAAGTATTTCGATGAGAGTTGATCTGATTTCGGTTAAACATCCGAAATTAGATTTATCGCCCGACAAGTTATCCTTTTATGCCTACGGTTATGGAGCCAGGGGATTCAATGATTATTCATTGTCATTTGATTTCTTTGCTGATGTAATTCCTCAGGTATATTGATTGAATTGGTTAATCTTCTAGTTCGCAAATGCAACATGAGTGTTACACCATTGACCCTGTTCTGTATCAACGATTGTATCACGTTAAGTGTTTATTAATCAATGGTTACGATTTGTCATTTCCATTGATGTGAAAATCTAAATCGGTTTTGCTGAGACATTTAATCTAATCATCAAGTTGTATTGCTCAATTTGGTTTTTGTTTGTACCGAGAAATCAGCCAATGAAAAACATTAATTAACCAAATTTTCCTCATTTACACGACTGATTTAACTAATTATCCACTTCACTAGCCCATCAGAACTTTAGATTGAACAATTTCTCAATTTCTTTTCTAATTGTGTTTATTTTTTTCTCTGGTTTAGAAAAGTCATTATCGGATTATCGATCGTGGTGTTGAATTTTTCATTACTAAAAAGGAGCCGGAAATGTGGCCCAGATTATGTTCGACAACAATTAAGCCTCACTGGTTGAAAATTGATTTCGATAAATTGAAAACCGAAGACACAGATGACGAATTGATGGAAGATGATCTGAGGAAAAGTCAAAATTATTTTCGAAATCTTCCCGATAAAGATTTTGGTCGACGAAGAAAATCTCAACTCAATCCAGAGGAATTTAGAAAAGTTTATCTATTCCTATTTAATATGTTCCAATTTGTTGGATTCATTTATGTTCTGGTTGTCTTAACAATTCGATACGCCAAAGAAGGTCCTGGTTAGTATTTCTCGATTACAGTTCTAATTTCAAAAATCGAAAAGATTGACTCTATTTCTCTGTTCGATCGTCCAACAATTAAGAATCAATGGCTGGATCGTACAAAGCGCTTGGTCGAGTGATGAAATTTCTGCACCTCATGCAAATTCTTGAGGTGTTACATCCACTTCTTGGTTACACTCGAGGTGAATTCAAGATTCCAACTCTTCAGATCGGCTTCAGGCTGTTCATGATCTTCATCATGATCGATTCTGAGCCTCGTCTCCAAACTAAACCAGTGGTATTTTATTTATTTCTCATCTATTCAATGATGGAAGTCATCAAGTGAGTTGATAATCATCTAGTTATCACCACAATTAACTAATCACATTCTTCTCAATTATCAGGTATCCTTATTACATGTTGAGAGTATTCCGAGTTAATATTACCTTTCTTACTTGGTTACGATACACAATTTGGATTCCTCTTTATCCTTTAACTTTCATTTGTGAAGGTAAATCAATTCAACCATAACTTGAGAATATAATCAAATTAACTTTCGCAATTATCATCTATTTTCAGGAGTAATTCTACTTCGCAATATACCTTATTTCGATGAGACTGGAAGATATTCCATCTTCTTACCTAATCAACTTAATTTTTCATTTCATTTGCCGACTTTCATCCGAATTTATCTTCTTACAGGATTTTTCCCATGTAAGTCAATTTCATCAATTTCTAATTGTCACTTAATCATTTGAAATTCTAATCAACTTGATGTTCCAATTTTCATCAATAGTTATGTGGCTTGCAATGAATCGATTATATTACCAAAGAGTCCGTATGATTGGACCAAAAAAGTGGAAAAAGGAGTTCGCCAAAGCTGATTAACCATATACAAAGAACAACAATTGATTGTGTAAATATTTCATCTCAACTTGGTAAGATAAATTGCTGGAAATGATCAACCAAAATAAATGGTGACCTTCAAAAACCTTCTTTTGTTGTTGTCAAATTGCGTCATGAAAATCACTCATTTCTAATGTTGACAAAGAGATCTCATTTTACTGCCAATACTTAATAACAATTAATAAACACTGATAATCGTCGCAATTACGCTTCATGGAACACACAAAGTAAAATGGTCCCAATCAAAGATTTTCGATGATAAGCAAACACAATATTACAGTTTATTTGTCAATAAGATAACGAATTTTTGGTTTTGTCATCTTTCGACAATTGAAACAATCCTTTTTCTTTCAAAATTAAACAAAATTTTCATTGGCATCAGAAGTTGAAAACTGTAGAGAACTCATTTCTTTATCTGTTTGATCATTGGAAGTATCTCCAAACGTTGTGATAAATAGTGAAGGTTCCGCTGTAGAATTAAGTGAACCGGAACTGATTGGACTAAATAATTCACTTTTATCACTCAATAAGGATTCGCTGAGTAAAGATTCATCTTCCTCTTTTATGGTGGAGTGATTTGAATCAGGATCCGAGAGAAGGTTAATCCCATTGGAATCCCATTCGAGGCTTGGGGTTTGAGAACATTCATCTTTACCATTGAGCATAATTGAATCTCCGTTAGTTTCATCTCCAAGAGAAACATTATCGGCCGATATTGTTAATAATTTAGGTTCCAATTTTCGTACAGTTACAAGGTCAGCGTTCATTTCTCCAACAGTTTCTTTCAAATTTCCTACTTCTTGTAAAAGTTGCTCCAATTTCGCAACCATACCTTCACCGAGCATACTAGATTGAGAGGTCATTGAAAATGAACGTTGATTTGAACAATCAATTGATCCGATTGTTGACAATTCACCATCAAATTCTGAAACATCTAATGGAGATGAACAGGGAGTCGATGGACAAACATCTAAACTACAATTTGTGTTGGTTGATGAGTCAGCCGGAAGAAGAGACACTTCCTTTGGACCATTTTTCTTATTCGAAGAGATCGATAAATCATTTTCACAATTTAATGTAGTATCGTGGTTAATGGAGAGATCGTAATTATCTGCAGTTAAATTTAAAGTATTCTTAGATTCACCATCGGTCTCTTTTTCCTTATTAGTGTTACTTATTAAGTCTTTAACAACTTGTTCAACAATCAATTCGAGTTGAGTTTCCTTAACCTTTTGCTCCTTCAACTCAATCGTCAATGGTGGTGGTTGTTGTTCCGTATCAGATGATTGAAGAGAAGAGACTTGAGGTGTAGTAGTAATTGATGGAGGAGAAGTAGATGATTCTATTTCTTTTTCTTTTTCGTCATTTTCTGTAAATAGAGTGGCTGTTGCTGCTTCTGCTGCTTCTGTTGTTATAATTGAACACGAAATATTTTGTTGACTTGTTGTTGTTGTTGTAGATGAATCTTTGTTCTCAACTGGATCGGTTAAAAATGGCTGAGGATTAGCATGAGAGGGCACAGCAAGTTTTACATGATGAACTAATCGTTGTTTAACAATTAACCGATAACAAGCATATCCACCGAAACCGATGATAAGTCCAATGGAAGTATATTTAACTGATATGGAGAAAAACCAAAGAACAGGTAACAATGAGGCAAGAGAGAAAATGTAAAAAATAATAAGAAGAAACAAAAAATTAGGCTTAAACATTCAGATAGAAAAAAAGTATTTTTAAAAAGTATTATGTGTATTTCATCAAGTTAACATAACAAAGCGACCAATACAATTGAATGTTGAGAATGATGATGAAGATGAAGAGAAATATTTTGGACACAAAAAGAGAAAAGAATAAAAAGAAGAAGATAACTTACCAAACTTCATGTGAAATTAAGATAAGGTCACTAATTGAAACTGAATTGTTGTTAAGTAGAGCGACGAAGAAGAATAATAAAGGCAGAAAAGAGATTGAGAAAATGATGTTACCAATAGTTCACCACCTTGATTGATTGGGATTCTGACAGATCGATCGTTTTTAATTGATGTGTAATTATGGTTAAAGTGACGGAAATTGATGAATCTACAATTGCAACAGTGGAAAAAAGAGACACAAGCATTAGAATGTTGATCTAAAAGGATAGAGAGAAAGAATAAGAGAGAAAAAACTGTTGAAAGGAAAAAAGAAAAAGAAAAAGAAAAACAACAAGAACTGGAGTGTAGCCAAAGCTGAGAGAAACTACAGTAAAATGAGAAAAAATGTGTTCTCACAATGGAAATTGTTTGGCGGGACTTGTTTAGGTTTCTTCTTTTTTCTTAGAATTCTGTAGAAACATTACTCTCTCTCTCTCTTTCTCTCTCATTTAGGGAGATGAATCGGAAATTATTTTAATTGGATTGTCTTTTCATTGTCAAGTTGAAATCGTTTAAATTGTCAAGTTCAAATCGCTTAAATTGTCTGATCAAATTTCTCATTCAACCCATCAAAGTGCACCAGTTTTTGATTTTCTTTTGTTTTCCATCAAATGAAACCAGAAAAAAACCGATATCCGTGATAATTACTCTTAAATTGGCTAATTGTTTTTTTTCAACAATTAAAATTCTAATCAATTACTACCTTCATTAGTTTTGTGACTGATGACTCGATGACCGGTGAGCTTTGAATGACCAGGTAAAAATAGATTATTGTAAAGGCTTCATTTTTTTATAGATTTTTTGATGGAACAAAATTAGTAGAGTATTAAAAGGATTAATGGATTAATAGTAAAAATATAGATTAATTACTTACATCTATTGAAAAAGGATTTACAGCAAATCACAGATAAAGTCAGAAGATAAGATTTTCTTAGTCAACAGAAATCGTTTGGTCAATAAAGAATCAGTATAATCCGGTGGACATCAGACAAGATGAAAATCTATTGGCAATCTATAAATCAAATTAAATCAAATTTATAAAATAAGATGAATTAGTTAATCAGTAGGAGTTAATTTGATTAAAAGAAAACTGGACAAAGGTGATAAACATTAACCCTTTTCCAAGTTTAAATGAATTGAAAAGTATATTGGTTACCGTTGATGTGAATGGACAATTAAATTAACCTTTCAACATAGTTGAACCACAGATGAGTAGTAAATCAATTTAAATTAAACAATCAAAAACTTAATTAAAAGAAAACAATTAAATGGAAAGGGAAGAAATTAGAAATTAACTTTCACTTTACAAAAACGAAATTAAAATTACCCGAAAAAATTGAAAAGATCCCCAAATGGATCCAAATCTTGTATCGAATAATTTGGTTGCCATGGAGATAAAAGGGAAAAGAACAAGAAAACATTAGCTAATATTAAGTAAATTCTTTTCCCTCTTTTCTCCTTTCGGATCTTAAGATCCATAGTTTGGGATCCATTTCTTTTTTCTGTTTATTTTTTGTTTTCTCACAATTTTTTTTTATTTCATTTAAAAATCAAATCAATCAATTTAAATAGACGTTTGTTCAATGTTATCTCATCACAATTAATTTTAATTAAAGTTTTTCTACTTCGTTAAGATGATTAAACTGTTACTTTTCCAGAGAACATTGGAAATAAATTAAAGGTAAGATGATCTCAATACAATAACAAAGCGTTTCTGATCTCTTTCTTTCCATTTCTTTTCTTTCTTTTCTTTCTATTTTGCCTTTCTTTCTTCTTTCTATTAATTTTTTTTTCTTCTCCTTTTGTGCTGAGCGTGAGTGCTACTTAACCACGTTAATCAAGCTTCTTTTTTCTTTTTTCTGTCTACCATAAGTCAATCAGTTTGTTTTAGATGAAACTTACCAGCGAATTGCTTTTGTCATTCTCTAATTCATATTCTATTCTCCTTCTGATTCCATTGGTACCCAAGTCTTAATCTCTTGATTTGAATGCCCCTTGTGAACCTTTGCCCTTTCCTACTTATCATTAAGCTTTTTCTTTCTATTCTCTCATAATTGAAACTGAAATCGCTTCTAATTCCCATCAAGAGTTAACATATTCTCTTTTTCTCTTTTTTCTTCTTTTCTTCCATTAACTTTGACTGTTCTTTTAGACGATTGTTGAAAACTCTTTTTGGAGGTTTTCTGGTATTCTTTTCTTTGGTGATAATCTGGCTTCTTTTCTGGTCTCATTGTTTTTAATTTTCTTCTCATTATCATCATTACGACCACTTCTCACCTGACCTGATAATGTCTTCAGTGGGCTTGATGAGTACATTATCTTCTGCAAGCTCAACCAAACTGCCCATTGGTCTTAATCCATCCCTTGCAGGGGAATATACTTTCCTCAGTAGTGTTATCGCTGATTCAGGGAGCAATGTATCAACTCAACCCGGTGTTTCATCATTATCTTTCGACAATCTTGAAGAGCTTCTCTGGATGGGAAACACTGGAAGCCATGTTACCTCATATTATGGTTATTCGTTACAAAAATATACCTCATTCCAAGTACATAATGTAAATGATGTTCGATCTCTTTTAACTGGAGATTTTGGTCTTCTCTCATTAACCCAAAACTCGTTGCGACTGAACATTAGACGAGGATTATCAGTTTTTACACACAGTTCTGAACTTCTCAAGGAGATGCAAGCAATGACCATCTTGCCCTCAGGTTTGGTTCTCATGGGTGGACAACAGAAACAATTGATTGAATTTGATTTAGAAAGAGTAAAACAATTACGAATTACTGACGTTGAAGAAGATGGTTGTGTCATTATTAGAAAACATCCAAAATTTGTATGTTGTGGTGACATAGTTGGCAAGGTTAGTTGCGAAAATTACTCACTAATTATTATTATAACTAATTATTTCTTAGACAAATTATAATAACCAAATAATTTTTTTTTTCAATCTTTTCTTTCAGATTACACTTCGTGATCCTAATACTCTTAAAGTCGCTCACTCTTTCTCAACCCATTCAGTCACTTTGTCCGATTTTGATGTCCACGGGAATTACCTAGTTAGTTGTGGCTATTCCAATAGGTAATATTCCAATAATTGTTTGATATATTTTCTTCAGAATCACACGTCACCTGTTTCTATGTGACAATATTGATGTTACAATTGTTCTCATTTCAATCAATTATTAATGATCATTTTTTTCTCTTCTAATTAGGCATCTCTATGTTCCCGATAGATTCCTGATGGTTTACGATTTACGAATGATGAGAGCGATCATGCCCATCCAAATGGTTTGCTCACCTTATCTACTTCGTTTTGTTCCCGCTTTCTCTTCTCGATTCTGTGTCGTCTCTCAAACTGGACAATTCCAACTTTTGGACGCTTCGGCTTCCCTTCAAACTCCTTTTATTCAAAGTGTCGACTTGCCTCCTGGTACTTCAATAACTTCCTTCGATGTTTCCAATTCAGGTCAAGCATTAGCTTTTGCCGATGATACTGGTTTCATCTATCTTTATGGTGCAAGTGATGAAGTTGTTTTTAATAATTTCAGCCAACAAACTGAATTTGCTGACCCTGTAAGTGAACTAACATTTCAATTGTCTCTTTCCTTTTCCTTTTCAATCAACCTCGTTCTTAATCATCGTTTTCTCCCTCTCATTTTGTTTATTTTCATTTCTAATTCTCATATTATTTAAATTGTCTTTCAACTTTTTCCTACTAAAATTGTACGATCTTTAGATTGAACCTGTTCGACCTTTGTCCTTTGATGACATAATAACTCCTCTCTCCATTATCCCGATGCCAGTTTATCGAGATGAAAAACTTTTATCAGATTTACCTGCTGAATTTTGTAAAAAGGCTTATCGTTTACCCAAGCCGATCGATCAAGCAATTTTATCTAATATGAGAATGGTTGGAAATATTTGTTACGCTCCCAATCCTGGAGCTAAAGGTCGAAATCAAATGCCTTACGCTAATCCTGAGAACACGAAAACGAAACAAAACAAATCCAGTTAGTCTTTTAGCTTTTTTACGCTTTATATCCTCTAAGACTTAGTTTTCTCACGTCATTTTCTCTCTCGAACTCATTTACCATACAGATACATCTTCCACTGAGATTCCCAGTCGTTACTTAACAATCGAACCAAATTACAATAAAGTCTCTCTCGACGAGTATGACTTTGGACGACACAATCATTCCCCGTTTGCAAGTCTTGACTCAACTTTACCAAATTCGTATGCTAACAATTTAATTCAGGTACTTATTCGATCAATAGATTTTTCTTCTACAACTCAACTGTACCTTTTTTCTATTTTTTTTTTCGATTTAGACTTTATATTATATTCTACCTCTTCGAGCTGCAGTTCTTAATCATCTCTGTAGAAGGGAATTTTGCCTTACCTGTGAGCTTGCCTTTCTTTTCCATATGATCGATGAAAGTGGCACCCAAAATCCATGTCAAGTTAGTAATTATTTTCTCTAACCAATCGATCGTAAATTAATACTCATCTAATCTTTTAACAATAGGCCACAAATTTCCTTCGTGCATTTCGTCAAATGCCTAAAGCTTCCGCTTTGACTCTTATCCTACCCGAAGACGATGACTTACGAAAGAAAGTTAATTTCCCAAGTTTAGCGCAAAGTTGGTGGAGATTTATTCTTCATCAGTTACACTCTGTAAGTTTCCTTTTCATTTGATACTTTTCCCATTTTAGACTCACCTGTTTGCTATTTTTTTAAATCTTTCTACAGGAACTATCATCACCGGATGCTACAACTCATGATAAAGATTCACCATCAACATCAATCATTACTGAACTATTTGGTATCAACGAGAAATGTTCATATACTTGTAAATGTGGCCATTCCTGGGAAGAGGAAAAGATGAAATATCCGGTTACCCTTTTACACCCTGATGCTGGAAAATTTAGTAATAAAATTGAAGATAAATCACCGACCAACATTGAACCTCAACTTGAAAGTTTATCATTTCAAGAGCTTCTCAAAAAAAGTCTCAACATGGAACAAAGCATGTCAGCTTACTGTGATAAATGCAATAAATTTCAATATGTGGTTTGTAAAATTATTAGTAAAGTCTATTGTTACATTGGTGAAGACTTTTTTTTTCTATTATTAAAGAGAAATTGGCTTTTTTTGTTCTACTTCGAAAACAGGTTCAAAAAAGACAAACTAAATCTCTTCCTGATATTTTATCAATCAATTCTGCGCTTGATTCGGACAAAGGACTCAAGTTTTGGAAGAAACAATTATCCATTCTTGGTGGAGATAAAATCGAACCCAATAAGCTTTTAGATTTAGCTCCAGCCAAAAAGCCCTGTCGATATGGTGACAAATGTACTCGAGCTGATTGCAAGTTTTCACATGAAAAAGACAAAAGGTTAATAATCTCAGAGAGAATATTTTAATTTTGCTTCTCTAATTGTAATTATATTTTCTCTTGTGTTATTTTCTCCAACAGTAGTAGTATCGTTGCCCCTCAAGCAAGTAAAATCCCTTATCTTCCCATCAAAATGTTCATAAAAATGGATGATGACGAAAGCCTGGATATCGCTATTGAAAAACCCGAAAACTCTGAATGTTATACAGAATATGGTTTATTAACTGTTATTTCGGTTGTTCGTAAATCGGATGAATTGGGTAAAGATAATATTGTAGCCATAATTAAAGTTGATGGTCGATATTTCAAATTAAAATCAAAGGAAGAGATTCCTGATAAGGAGAATTGGTTTCTCTTTAATCATTTTTGTATTAATCCAGTTCCAAGCGATGAAGTGGTTCACATTGATTTCGCCTGGAAAACACCATCTATAATTATGTACAGTAAAATGGATTTAATCAAAAAGTATGAAGACCGGCTAATTATTGAGAATCCAATAACTGCTGAAGTGTTTCAAGATGATCGTAATCTTGCTCGTGGTCATCGTCCAAGTATAACATTTACACCACTTTCCGCCGATGAGATGCCAAAGAAAGGAGATTTCGTCGCTGTAGATGCTGAATTCGTTACACTTAATCAAGCTGAAACCGAATTTAGAAGTGATGGAACTCGAACAACAATTAAACCTCCCCAACGATCTGTTGCTCGTATAACTTGTGTTCGTGGTTCAGGACTATTGGAAGGCCAACCATTTCTCGACGATTATATTGCTACTCAAGATCAGGTGAATATTCTAGTTGATTCAAACATTTAAAATCTATCAAATCAACATTAATTGTGAATTTCGTTCGTAAAAAAAAAACAATTACTGTTTACAACGTTTTGTGACTGTAAAGAAAATTAATTCTTTAATTACAATTTAGGTTGCTGATTATATGACTAAATTTTCTGGAATCCAACCTGGAGATCTCGATATAACAATGTCTTCCAAACATTTAACAACACTTAAATCTACTTACCTTAAATTACGTTTCTTAATTGACACTGGAGTTGTTTTCGTTGGTCATGGATTGAAAAACGATTTCCGAGTAATTAATTTAGTAGTAAGTATAGAATAGAAACAATTGAGTAAACTTTTCTTTCTCCACCCAACGCACAACAATTAAGTTTATAAATTGTTTCTAATTGTTACTAATTGTTCCATTTTATATTTATAATTCTAATTTTCACTAATTTCATCATCTATTAATTAGGTTCCACAAGATCAGGTTATCGATACCGTGACGTTATTCCAATCACCTCATTTTAAACGAATGGTGTCCTTAAGATTTTTAGCCTGGCATTTTTTAGGTAATTATATCATCGAATTATTTACTCAACCATTTAATCAATCATCAGCAATTAACTATAATATTATCAAAACTATTTACACAATATTCAATAATTTATATATCATGTCCTCTAAAAAAGGTGTATATATGATGGATTTTTTTTTCATTCTCCCTCATTCTCTCATTTTTACTCTTCAATTATTAATTTTTTAACATTTTCTTTTATTATTTTCTCTCATCATCATGATCATCATGTGAAGGTGAAAAAATTCAATCAGAAACTCACGATTCTATTGAGGACGCTAAAACCGCTTTACAACTTTATCGTAAATTTGAGGAGCTGAAAAGTCTTGGTAGAGTTGAATCTTCTGTTGCTGAGCTTTACGATGCTGGTAGAAATTGTGGTTGGAAACTTCCAGGAACCGAGGAAGAATAACATTGGATAATTAATCACCTAATCGACAATTAATTCATATCGATGATGCATCTTGACCCTTTTGCCGTAAATCCGTAATATCGTCGTTCCCATCGCTTATATTTACCTTGTTTGTTTTCCATCGTCATCACCTTTCTATTATCTCATTTACACACACACACAAATCCCAACAATTTACTCATAATCAAATTAATTTTTGCAGCGAAATGTTAAATCCATATCAAAACAATCAACTTTACAACCTTGATGATTTAATTCCAATTATAATGATCATGTAGATTAATCTTTACACTCACTCACTCGCTCGCTCGCTTTTCTCGCTCTCCTTTCCAATCACTCAGAACAATTTATTTATTTTCAGTTATGGATTGTCCTTAATTAGTTTTTCCTGTGTTTCTATCTCAATATATTTATAAATATGTTTATACAATTAATTTAAATACAAACACAATCAACTTAAAGTCTACACAAATCAACCTTAGGTATTATCTAAATAGTGTTGTGTAAATAGTTAATCATTTTAGCTGATTCAGCTTGAAAGGATCACATTGATTAATCAATTTCTAATTGTTATGGAAGTGATTTCTCAATCTATTCCCACTTCTTAATTGTTAATTGTATCATTAGATTATGTTTTATCCTCTCTCTTTTTTTCACTTTATTATAAAATCTTCAATTGTCCAGTGTAACAATTAAAGTTGTTATTTGATTGTGAATTGTGTGAGTATTTAAATTCACAATTTGTTTTGACCAAAAAAAAAGTTAATGTGTAGACTTTAATTGTGTTTAAATTAACTTCTTCATTCCTAATTATCATTTAATCAGTTATTCTAGTAATTCCTTAATCACTCATGATTTATAATCAACTGTTAATTGTATAATCAGCTAATCAACCCTCAACTCTTTCAAAATGATCAATCCTTAATTATTATTAACCACCTTAGCTAATCAGACCAAGTGATTTATAATTGTCAATTATCACAATCAACCAATCATCATCCATTTCATTTAATTAGCAACAATCAAATCAATTCCTCTTGCCCTTTGTCATTGATTATTTTTGTTTAATTGTAATAATCTTTTTTTTCCTCCATTGATTTGATTATTGTTCTTGTGTACAATGAGATTATTTTTGTAACCAACAATTAAATATCAAGCAAATTAATCAAATTTAATTGTTAACCAAATAAAAACAACCTTCCAAAATTATTGAATCGAAAGCAATTAAATATCAATGTAATTTTTAAACAATTTAATCGTTTAAATTGATGAGATTTTTTCCTAATTATGGTTTAAATTTTTTTCGCACCTTAATTGTTGTTGATTAATCTTAACAATTGTTAAATCATCACTTTAATTTGAACGTTTGATTTTTTCATGAAGAAAAATTGATTTTTTCAAGTCAATAGTTAATATGATTTGTTATGATTACTTTTGATCAACAATTAATCAACTGAATCAATTGTTTGATTTTCAATGATTTATAATAATTGAGTTTTAATCAATTGCATAGTTATTTTTATGTTTATTTGTTAGACCCACGATTAATTGTGATTGTTAATTAAGGTTAAGAAAAGTGTCAATCAAACATTTTGGATAAAATCAATTAATACAATTCAATTAGTTGATTAACTGTTATTGTTGATTTGACAAGAGAAAGGAAATAGTTTAAGTTTAGTTTTAATTGTTGGCCTTTGCTGATTTAGTTGATTTTTGTTTGAAAATTAGTTGATTAGTTGATGAGGTGATGAAAATTGTTTTGAAAAAGGTAATTAAATTTACTTTATAAACAGAAATTAAAACTAATCAAAGTTAATCAGTAATCTTAATGGTGATTGATGGTCATTCTTGCAAAGGTCAGTTTTCTGATAATTTTTGATTGATTAAAATGTTTGTCGTCTCAATTAAATCAACTGATTATCACCAATCGTCAAGTAATTTAGAGATTACTAATTCTTTCAGCATCATCATCAATTTCTGATTCTTTTAATCCTTCAATTGAAGATTCAGTGGTCGTTGTTTGAATTGGGTTGGTGATTGATGATTCTCTTGATTCTTTATCATTTGATGCAGGTGAATGGTGATTAACTACTGGATTAACGTTGAGCAATTGTGGCTCTTGGTTATTATCGGCAATCAGATGAGTTTGTTGATCATGTTGAGTTAAATATAGAGGATTCAAGTGAGTGTGGGTCGTTGGAGAGGTCAGGTAAGGAGTCACAGCGGTTAATTGGGATGAGCCGATTGGAATTACACTTCGAGAGATTAAGTAAGAAGCCGTTGATTTAAGAGTAGGTGATAAGTGAGTTGGATAAGTCGCAACGAGACCTTCGTTATAAGGGAAATTTGAATAGTAATTGGGGTAAAAGTTGGTTAACCAAGATGGTGGTGAGTAGGAAGAGTAGACTGAAGTGGAGGGAGGAGGTGGTGGTGGTGGTGGTGGTTGGAATGGAGATGCTACTGGTTGAAGAGGAAACTGAACGGTAGGAGGTTGAATGGGTTCATGTTGTTGTGGAGGTGAAAGATTGAAAGTCTCGGGATAAAAAGGTGATCCATTGGGAACGAATGTCGCTGGTGGAGGTGGTGATGGATAATAAGGTGAGACTGACGGTGGTTGTGGCCTTTGACCTTCAGTGTCTGTTTCTGTTGGAGTGGAAGGAGGTACAATTACTCCAGGTTGTTGGGTGGGAAATGAATTTGGAGGAAAAGAAGGAGATTGAGGAGGTGAATATGGAGTAGAGGGAAATCCGCCTCCTCCTGGAAATTGTGGCCCTGTACTTGGAGGAACGGGAAATGATGACCCGTCGGGAGGAGATTGACCTGGAGTTGGAGGTGGTGGTCCAGCATAACCTGGTGTATTAGGATCGATTGGGGCACTTTCGGGTTCGTGTGGTGGTATCACTGGTCCTCCACCTCCTCCTCTCGGTGTTTTGGGATCTCTTGAAATCTCAGGTTCTCGAGATTCTTGATCAACTTCATTGGTCGGAATTATTTCCTCAACTTCACGATATTTAGCTGATTGTGATTTAGAATCAGATGAGACGGGTAACAATTGACTTTGAAGGTCACCTTGTAATCCAATAACATTAAGATGACCTAATCTTTGTTGTCGCTGATTAGTGTTACCATTTATTGCTAAATATGATGACCTTAAATTGTTGTTGACTTGATTGGAAACATCTTTCAATTGTTGTTCTTGTTGATTGTAGTTAACTTTACCGGTTTGTAGCTGATTGTTAACTTGTGTCCGTTTATCATTAACTAAATTTAATTTACCAACTTGATTATCCTTAAGAAGAGCAAACTGATTATCCGGATTATTATAATTATCACCATTAAGATAATTACTAATATTTCGTGACAATTTATCAATTGAAGGTCGAGAAGTAGTAGTTGTTGTTGTTGTAGAAAACACTGAGTTAATTGTTGGCCAAGATTCCAATGGATTAATCAAACATAATAAGATCACAATCAAGGTACCAGGTAACTAATTAAAAAAGAAAAGAAAAAAAAATATTAAAAGAAAACGAAATTAAATCACTTTAATCACATGGAAAATTAGAAATTAAAAGATAATCTTAAGATAATGAGAGATTAGTGATTCTAATTGTCACCAAGAGATTGGATTAAACTTAAACTCTAATAGAAGTGATTTTGTAATTAAAAGAAAAAGAAAAAGAATATTTAATCACCATCTTAATCATGATTAGTAGATGAAGAAATTAACGAAAAAAAAGAAAATAATTGTGAAAAAATTAAATTGTTACTTAAACTTCACATTTAATCAACTGATCTTATCCTTTGGTCTAATCCAATCTTTTTATATGAACAGTTAAACTTGTTCAGTTTTCCGATGAAATTTAATTCACCAAAACTAATTAACTACTTTCTCATTTCTCAACCATTGAGTTAATCAAATTAACTACTGGTAATTGACAGTAAACCCAAAATGTGAATAAAATTGTTGATTACAATTAAAAACAAAGGTAAGTTAATTTGAATAAATCGTAACCATTTACTGACGGGTGGTTAATGATTACATCGTTTGTGTATCTTTTTCACACCTTTTACTCAACTGGAAATCAAGAAATTTTAATTATTCTCAATCACAATTAAAACTGATTAACCAATACCACCACCAACAGAGGATTAATTGGTTAACCAAAGGGTATCGATAACTAAATTAGGCGTTGGTCAATTTCATTGATACAAAGGTGCACAAATTGTATCCCTTTTCAAGGTAACAATTAAAAGGTAAATTGTTTTCATCTCTTTCCTTATTAACCTCCAATTATTAAATTGTAATTTATTCTTGTATGGTGATTAACTATTATGACCAATATTTAATTCACAGTTAATTAAAAAAAGTTTTTTTTCTTCTTGATTACTTTTAATTATCTTCATTTCTCTCTCTCATCCCAACTAATTAACCTTCCAAATCCTTGATGATAATCATTGATACAGTTAACAATTAAAAGGCAAACAGACATTTAAGTTTTAATTGTTGATTAAAGTTTTTTGGTCAATTTTGTTATCATAATCATCTCATTACTTTCGGGCTGTTGATTAACTTAAGAAATTAACTTTCTAATTGGTAATTTATTAAGAAACAAACTGTTAATTATTAGAAATCAATTCTCAAGGTAACAATCAAAATGGAATCAATATAATTAAAGATTAACCATATCAATAGATATTGATTATCATGATCAGAGTTCTGATAATTTAGTTATTATATTAATCTGATAATAACAATAACCTCCAATTGTGCTTATAATTTTGTTTCATTTAATTTCAACAATTATCAAATTAAATTAATCACATAAACATGAAGTCTCTTGATTAATGAATAATTAAAAAGTTAAGGCTTAGAAATCAAGCTGAGATAAATCATAAATACTTGTATTCACAATGAGAAAAGTTTCGAGTAACAATTAAACTTGATTCATGGTGATTATCGAATTGTATCTTAATTAGAGATAATCAGTGAATTAAATTAGCGAGAATATGATTTGGTAAAACTGACCAATAACAATGAAGAAACGAATAATAATAAAAACGAATACGAATTAACAATCGACGCCATTTTGATTAATCATCTTCACTGAAGATCAACAAATGATGAAAGAGAAAAGTTTTCTTCTAATTCAATGATTACCATTAAATAGCCAAACAACAATTATTATCATTTGAATGTTAAATAGATGATGATGAGTGTTAATTGTTGATAGAAAGCGAAAGTCACTTCGAACGTAAAAGTTTGACCTCTTTCTTTGGACGAAACAGTTACGAGTTTTCAGTTCGAAGCAAAAAATATTCAATCATTTTTTCCCTCTCTCTCTCTCTTATCTTCATCTTCATCTTCATCTCTCTCACTTTCTATTATCTTTTATATCTCTCAATCATCATCATCATTTGCACGATGATTTGTTGATTGTTTTCGAGTCTCTTTTATCATCTAATCAATTTCTCTCTACGATTGATCAATTGATTAAGATCATTTCATGAGCTTCTAAATTGCTGCTGGTTCCTTGTAACTGTTTCTCCATCCTGGTTACTTGATTTATCTTCATCATCATCTTCAAAATGGATACCTTGTTATCGCCATCAAATTGTTTCACTTACTTAATTATTGTTTTTGTGACAACCTTTCATTCAACTGTTGATTCCTCGATTGTTTATCAAAATCAACAACAATTACAATTAACTCAACACCAACAACGACAATTACAACAGCAACGCCAACAACAATCAACTGGTAATTATTATTCAAATCAATATGTAAGTTTATCATTCTGTCAGTTAATTGACACATTTCGTTAATTGTACATCTCGATTTTTAATAATCATTGGATTAGTGATTAGTGATTATCTCATTTGCTATTGACCAAGGGGTGGACAGATCATTTTAATTGTGTTAAAATTAATTGTGATTAATTGTTGATCATCATCATTTCATTGATTCTCTTCATTTAATTTTACATTTCAATTATATTAAAGTGATTGATTGTGATTCGTTTGCCATTTTTAATACTCATAAATTCAGTTAATTAATTGTACAGTTTACTGATTATCTGATTTTATTTGGAGTAATTAACCTCCAACAACTAAGTTCATACTAAATTAACTTTGATTGTTATAGTTTTAAAGGTTACATCTTCAAGTTTAAATTGTTTTAATTGTTCAACTTAAAATCATTTGATCATCATGGAAATAGAGTTTACTGAGTTAATTTTGTTTACCAGTTCAAGATGAAAGCAGCAATTAACTAATTGTTGCAAAAAAAAGAGCGAGAGGAAAAAAATCAATTCTCACTTTAAACTTAAATCATTTTAATTGCATCTTCATTTTTTCTGATTAACATTGATTGTGATAGTTAATTGGCAATGAATAGTACACTATTTAAGAATAAAAAATAACCTCCAACAATTAGCGAGATAACCTGGAAGTAATTAGCGAGCAATTAGCTAAATTGAATTGGAAAAAGTTTCACAATCAACTAATTGTGTTTCTCTTTTTAAATTTTCCACTTTTTTCCACTCCAATATCCCAATAGGTAAACGACAATTCCAATCGTGGATACACAAGTCATCTTGTCGCTCGAAAAGGTGGACTCGTTTACGATCAACAAACGGGATCAGGTCGATCATCTAATTATGGAATACAGGAAAATCTAAATGGTTACACTTATGGACCACCTCAAGGTGAAAATTATAATTAGTTAACTAGCGACAATTAACCAATAAACTAATTGATTTCTCTTTGTTTATAATAATTGTTCAGCTCAAATTCCAGTTCTTATGGTTCCAATTGTTCCCGATTTCAGATTAATTTATCAGGCTCAGGAACCTTATCCTGGTAATCCAATGGTCTCAAGATTTAATAACAACAATCAACAGCAATCAATTGGACCAAGTTATTCAAATCAACAATTAGGATCATCGGCTCCTCGATACAGTTCATATTATAATGTTGAACTTGTCAATATGCTCTATGGGCGACCACAATCAACGATAATTAATCAACAAGACTCACAATTTGCTATTAGAAGGAAATAATTAATTGTAGTTATTTAATTTACTTCACAAATTGGTGTTGATTTTTGTTGCTACTTTTTTTGCAAACCAATTTTTGGTCAACACAACAACAATTAGTTTAATTGTTGACCTTTTTTTTCATTAACTCTTTAATATTATTTACCAATATTTTGATTGTTCAGTTAATCAAAAAAACTATCATCATGTTTCTGTTGACAGTAATCATTTTGATGAACAAACATTTCACCCAATTGATTTGATGAGAAATTATTTCCAAAATAATCAGTAAATTGCTGAGTTAATTTGTCATAATCAAGTTAATTGTCACATATAGATTTCTCTAATGAGGAATCAAAAAAGCCAATTTTCAATTGTGATCGCCGTTTAATCTGATTTCCTGTTGACAATTTAACTTAGTGATTGATAATCAAACAATTAATAATTTCCTATCTGATCAATTCATTAGAATACCAAAAATTGAACCAAATCAATAAACTTTTAATTGTATTTATTAAGACAATTAAAGTTTGTTGTTATAATTACGATAATCCAACCAATGTGAAGTTTATTGATTGTGATAATTTCTCATCAAATTAAATTAATCTCAGTTGACAATTGAAATTTCATTAAATTAATAACAATATCTCGTGATTGTGATAACTTCATGATATTTTTGATTGCAACTAGAATTTAATTATTACGATTGTCACTTAATTAACTAGCAAACCAATTGCAAGAAAACAAATGATACCTCATTTTGATTAAAAATTTCCCTGAAAGACAATTAACTAATTCAGTTCAAGATTTACTCTCAAGTGCTATGAAACCATTGACGATAACCGTTGGTGCGAGTTCACGAGCAGTCGAAGCGATAAAAGATCACAAACTTCGAGATGGATCAGCATCATGTCTATTCCAGATGATTGATCTACTTTTCGACTATCGATCACATCATAGAACCAATTTCACATCGAAAATCCAAATGAACGGTTCAGTCGATTTGATTTTCGAACCAGTTGCTCGAAACTTCAATTTCTCCTTTCCAAATGTCACCATTTCCGTACCTTTCGGCTCAACTTCGTGTGTAATTACTCACACGATTCCCGATCATGTCCAGTTTGTTGATTCATTCGAGTCAATATCATTCATGTCAACACAAGTTTCCATTTCCATGTTAATTGTAACAATCATCGGCTGTTGGTTTATAATGTCTAGTAGATTTAACCGATTGTTAGATTATGGGAAAACTATCTGGTTAGTTATCCAATTGTTGTTCAATCAAATCAACGATTTACAATCATCAACCCGGAAGAAGATGAAAAATTATAAATCCATAATATTCTGGTCGTTAATTGTTTCCGTTTGTTTCATCAAGATCTACTTTGGTGTTCACTTTTCGGCACAATTAACAGTGGCCCAACCCTTTCCGACAATCAATTCGCTTGAGCAAATACCCACTTGGAATATATCGAAATGGGTTCAAATTTTCACGATCTGTCCATCGCTTCTAGCGGGCTCTTCAGCATTTCATGTTTACGATTCTAAAAAGGAGTGGTCAGGTAGTACTTTTACCCATATGGGTCAAGCTGAGCATGGAAAAGTGATCTCATTACTTGCGAGTGAAAAGATATCAGCGTTGAGGAATAAATTGTGTGCCTATTATCCCGATAAACGATTACATGTTAGTCCACAATTTGGTCAAACTACCATTTCTTTTGCGATTTACCTTTACATGGAACGAAGGAAGAAAAAGTTTATCAGTAACTATTTAAGGACAATCATGGAAATGGGATTGGATAAAGTGATGTTAAAATGTGACATTGAACGAAAAGACAACGATAACATCGGCGATTGGAATTGTGCCAATCAAGCCGACGGCAATTTCCAAGAAGCTCAGCCGATCCCGTTACTATTTTATAAGCGACATTTATATTCAATGGCTTTTACTTATTTCATCCTCTTTCTGGTTCCATTACTCTCATATTTATCCTCTGAGAGTAATTAATCAATTCCATTGAATAGCAAAACAATTAATCGCTCAACTAATTTGCGAATTCACTAATTCGTTTCTATTGGAAATACACAAATTCAAATGAGACAAAATTAGATTTGTAGCTTACGATTTGTCTTATAATACGAATACTAATCACTAAGATAATTAAGACACAAATATAATATTAAATCAGTGAATTAATTTATCTCCGAATCGGTATCTTTACATGTTATGATTATTCTGATTTCTGCCCTCAGGCATGAATCCATCAAAATAATCTTTCAATAAGAGTAATAGAAGAGAGAAATTGTTAAATTCAATTGAATTAACCAATTGTAATCACTTCAATTTAAATTTCTCATCATTTTGATGATGATCAATACAAATTAACAGAAAAACATGAAAAGGTGTAACTTATTTAATCATCAGCCAAACCTATTCCTTAATCAACAGGTAAACAAAATAGAGAGACAGATATAATTAATAATGATTAACACGAATCAATGAATTGGTGATAAATAAATTGCCTTAATTTCAATAATAATCAAAATCATGTGAATATCAAATGATTGAAATTGAGTTTTCCACTAAACCGGAAGAAAAGATAAACTGTCAAAGATATACAAAGAATTGATTCTTAATTGTTAATAATGGAAAACACCCAATTCATCATGGTGAGATAATCACTTTATATTATTAAGGAGATTGAGAAATTGGATTAACTAACAACAATCAACTAATTTGTCGCGAAATTTAATATTAAATTGTCACCATGAAGTGAACAAAAAAAGCAAAGAGACAAAAGTTTAATCATAAACTTTCAATTTCTTTAATCTTTGTTAATTATTTTGTTGGAAACTTTTTGTTTTTTTTTCTAATGTTTTAATCATTAACTTAATTGTCTTTAAATCATCATCAGAATGATCACCTAATTAGAATGAAAAAGAAATTAAATTTACTCCTCTACAATTATGATTAAGCTGATTGCGAGTTAACAATTTACTTGGAAAACTAAAACCTGAAAATTAAACCATTAAAACCTAAATAAGGTTTGATTACAATTTAAATGATCAGTGAATTACATTGAGTTAAATCATCTTAAATCATGATAATTGTCATAACCATTAGTGAACAACAATCATTGTCAGAATGATGATTAAAGTTAATTTGATATATTGGAAAAAGCAAAAAGTTTAATTGTAAACAAAGCGATTCTTTCAACGGTTTAATTAGATTGTTGATCATCTTGATCACTCTTCATTTCTTTTAATGATGATAATTTGATTCTCTCTTAATTATCATTAGTTATAGATGATATGATTTCTCCATTAATTAACAATAAGAACATCTAAACATCATCTAAATTGCGAATATCAAAAAGCCTAAAAAACGAGAGATAAAACCGAAGACCAGTAATGAGAATGATGAACAACAGTAACTCTACATAAGGAACAAGGTGATGGCGTTTTCTGGGTCATGAGAAGACTAAACTTCCCTTTCGCTAATTGAGAACTCGAGGCGTGATCAGAATCGCTCATCGCTCATCATCATCTTCGCTTTCGAATCATCATCATCATATTATTTTCTCCTCAAAACTCACCTTCTAAAAAGACCTTACCTTAGGTCTTTGACCTGTTATCTTACCTCACCTAAATATCTCAAATTAATATCGAATATGTTTTGTTTAATTAGATATTATCATCTTCTTGAAAATTTCTCTCTCGATAGAGAGAGAGAGAAATTAATTAAGCCCTCAGGCGAAATTGAGAGAGAATGATGAAGAAAGCGAAATGATTTACTTTCACTCTTAATCTACTTTTAACATTGATTATCGAGAGAGAATCGTTAGAATAATTTAAATTGATTCTAAATCTATTTTACTTTTTTGTTTGTTGGTTAACTTAAATTGTAATTAAATCATTGGAAATGATGATCATTTTATTATATAAGTGAATTAGTTTTTTAAAGTTCACAACAATCAACTAATTGTTGGTCTCAACTCAATCATTATTATTATTATTGTGAAAAGTTCAAAGAGTTACAATCAAAAAGTTAATTGTTAGCAATCAATTTTTCTTATGCTAATTGGTAGCATTTAATTTAAATCAAAGTTTTCTTGACAATTTGACCCTAGAATTGAAGTTTTCATTTGATTAGTTTGATCTAATCAGGTTAACCATGATTAACTTTTACAATCTAATCCACTAAATGTTAACAATCAACATTTACTACAAATTAATTAATCAGCTCAGTCCATTGAAATCAATCATTATTAATGAATTAACTTTCAAGATCAGTTTAACAATTAAAATTAACCATTAGTGATTTTGTTACTCATGACGATTATTAATTGTTTGAATATCAAATTTGATTCAAGAGTAACAATTAATTATTGAAAAATTAATACTGACACTTGATAGTAACAATTTGTTGATCTAAATCCATGTGATTAATTAATTAATTCAATGGACAGTTAATTGTTTAAAATGAATACGATTGTGTTAACAAAGAGTTGGGTTAGATTGTTAAATTTGATTATTTACAATTAACTGATGGGTTAACCTTCAATGAGAAAATATCATTCAAATATTTACAATTAATTGTGAACAATTAAAGGTTTGTCTCAACGTGTCAAGTAACAATTAAACCTTAATCATTATCTTTCCGGTGTCCTTCAATTTTAATTAATCAGTTAGTTTGTTTTCAAGCTAATCAACACAATCAACAAGTTAAATTGTTGATCATCATAACATTTAACAGATTAATCAAAAAGTTAACTGTGATTAAAATACGTGATCAGTATACTAATTGCTAACTAAATTGGTTAGTTAGTTACAATTACTATTATTAATTGTTTATTTTTTGATTCTCATAATTCAATATTGACCTTGGTTAATAGTAATTAGAGTTAATTGTTATTAAATTACTATTTTCATCTAATACCTTGTCTGTTAATCATCACAATTAATAAGTACAAAGATGATTAGTGTATTAAAACAATTAACAAGGTTGATTAAGGAAAACAAGTAACAATTAAATACTAAATTGGAGCTACAAATGAGCAATTGAGACTATCAGATTAATATGAAGATGGTTTAATTTGATTCTCACAATTTAATCATTTCAATCTGAATCCATGATTGTTGATAACAATCAACACCAACACATGATAACACTCAGATTATTATTAGTTGATTATTATGGTAAATATAATTATTATTAATTCATAACAATTTAAACCAGTGTCAAGGTGAGATGAGAAATCATTTCGTCTCAATTGTTACTTAATTGTTATTGAAAATTTTCATCATTCAATAAAATCAATTGTGATTTAAAGATTACAATTGAACTTCCTATAAAATGATTACAAGCTCATTGATTGTTATCAAAGCAATTAAATTGTTACAATCAAAAAAAGCAAACCTTAATATCTATTTTTTGATTCTCGTGATAAATAGTATTACAATTAACCCTCTAACAATTTAATCATCAACATGTTGATTATGATTGAAAATTTCTGGTTTCCAGTTAACTGTTTACAATTAAAGTTAACTTTTCAATTGATTGTTACGATTGTAATTATTTCAGTCTTTCTCAAGGTTTAATTGTGCTCCAGGCTGTTGATTGTTTACTCTGGTATTTTTGCTAATCATTTAATTTCCCATAGGTTGATTTAAGTTAATCCAGTTTCTTAAACCAGTTATGATTAAATTATTAAAGATAATTAACTTTTTTTTTGTCTTGAAGATGATTCTCAAATTGTTAATCGTTGATTTATATCAATGATTTAATTATGAGATGGAGGCTGTTGTTGTTGAAAGTGATTAAGGAATTTAATTAAGTCGCAATTTAAATTGTAATTAAAAGATGGACAAGAAAATAAAAATTTAACAGAAAAAAATTTAATAATATTAATCAATACAATTGATTGGAAAATAATCCAATGATAATTTAAAAGTATTGATTGTCTCAATAATCAGTATCTAAATTGAAGTTGAAAATGATAATTATTAATTAACGAATAGCTAATTAACAATGTGAGAGGTTAAAGAACGAGATGATTTAATTGTGGTTGTAATTAAATCATTTCAAAAATGAGATGAAAGTTTTGGGTCATGGACAGATGATGATACAAAGTAAAAGATTTGAATGATGATGAAGATGAGGAAGATGATGAGAGCAAGTGAAGACAAGAGAGAGAGAGAGAGAGACTGAGGGAGCTTATTGAATGTCCATTATCCGTATTAGTCTTACCCTTATTTCGCATCATTATCATCCTGTTATCTCTCTCATTCTCTCTCATTAACATGGAGTGAGTATTATCTTTCTACCTCACTGTCTTCATCATCTTCTCTCTCTATCTTCATCTCTTCCAGACTCCCTCCATTTTGTGGTTTCAAATATTCGTGATTAACAGAATCTCTATTTCTTATTTATTTGATAACTTCGAGTAGTAAAAGTTTCGATTACTTCAATTTATACTTGAAGTAAATTAGTTAATTGTTTCATAAAATATATTCTGATAATTCATCATAATAATCTTGCGACCATCAACAATTAAAACTAATCAACATGAAATTATTAATTTTTCCAGCTTTTTTCACACTTCTTCTGGTCTCAGGTAAGAAAAGACAATTAGAAATGAAATTAACTTTTTCTCAAAAAACAAAACTAAACCAAATTGTTTGAAATTGAATCAGTTAATCAATATTACTTTTGTGTATTTGTAACCCTTGATTATGATTTGATAATTAATAGGTATTAATGGTCAACGTGCATCACCACAGTTTTCATACCAACAACCTCCACCTTCACAACCACAATCCCAACCACAATTAAGACCAATCGATTTCAACAATTACCAACCACCAACACGTAATGAAGATTCAGGACCAACAAGATTATCACCATCACAACAACCACCATCATCATCAAATCGTTTTGAAGAACCACCACAAATTGCCCCTCGACCTCAACCAGGTCCAGTAAGATCATCATCCTCATCCTCATCTCCATCCTCATCTTCATCACCTTCCGGTTTATCATCAAACTCTGCTGGAAACTTCAACTGTCCAGAAAAATCGGGTTTTTATCCTCATCAGAAAAGTTGTGATAAATATTATGTTTGTGAAAACGGAACCGCTACTCTTAAGGTCTGTGGAAATGGCCTCGTTTTTGACGACGCTGATTCACTTCGTGAAAACTGTGCTTATCCATTCTCAGTCGATTGTGGTTCAAGAACTGATTTAGGTAAGTTAATCATCTAATATTGTATTCAATTAACTCGCAGTCATTATTAGTTTAGGCCTCGAAAAACGGACAAAATTTACCGTTATAATGATTAATGGATAAGACAAATTGATCAATATAAACAGTTTTCTTATCATCATTATTACTATTGCTCAATTAGCTTGTATCATTACATTTGATCAAGATTATTATCAAATTAAACTAACTAACTGTTCAACCCTGAGGGTTAATTGTCACTGTTAGTTCACCGAATCAACTTAATCACAATTACAATTCAAGGTGGAGATCAGTAAGTAAAAAGATATTGAAATTAGGTTTTTTTTTACTTCTTCTTCAACAGTTACAATTACAATTTAAACTTCATCTTGATTGCTAACTATTGAATTAATAAAATTACCCTCAGGTGATTAAGATAATTAGTTAAATGAGAATCTAGAAAAAATGATTTTCTGTTTCTTCATCATCTTTTACCTTTTTCTCAATCCAATCATGAGGAAGTTTTCAAGTGACCATTACACTATTGAAGGTGATGATTGTTGATAATTAAATTAATTTTCAATTGATTGGGATGATGATAAATATCCGGTTCTCAATTGTTGATTAATTAATTAAACTTTGAGAAAAGTTGAAAACTTTCAAACTTTCAACTTTTTCTTTCATGAGAATTGCCTGAATCCCTGAACTGGACAAACCAATTGAAATTGAAAGAAACACTTTCACTTGACCATTAACCAGAATCATTGGGTTTCAAGTAAATTAATAAATTCCCTTAAAGTAAACAATTAACTAATTGTTAACTAATATCATCGTAATAATATTTTTCTTCTTTATAAAAGGTTAATCATTAAACTACTTGAATCATTTCAATTTTTCCGTTTTTCGTTAATTACGTTTTTCCTTTAGTTCGTTTCATTGTTACATCCTGATTCTAACCTTAATTTCTAATTCAAATTAAATTGTTAATTGTTCCAATTTCAGAGCCTCCGATAAGTACACCTAATTGTCCTCGATTATATGGTATTTTCGCTCATGCCACTAATTGTAAGATCTTTTATTCCTGTTGGAACGGCGAAGCCTCGAAGTACGAATGTCCACCAGGCCTCGCCTACGATGACCAGCAACGAGTTTGTGTTTGGGCCGATACAGTTGATCGATGTGATCAATTAGGTAATTATAAATTTCAGTTAATTAACTTAATCATCTTCGTTCATTATTCCAACATTGATTTTCAATAAACTCTTAACGATCAACATGGTGGCGAAAATTTTCCCTTTCTGATTAGTTTTAATTTTGTTATTCTATTCAATTTGATTGTTTTTGGTTGTTAATTATTCTTCATATGATTAACTTTTCCTTTTGATTGTTTCTATTTTAATTGTGATTACAAAGTTGCGAAAATTAAATTTCCACTTCCTTCAATGAGTGGAAATTTTTTTCTACTCATTTATCTCAATTACTTGTTGAAATGTTAATCAAATAAGGAAAGGTAATTATGATTAATTGTTCGTGTTTAATTGTTACTGTTGATTTAATAGAGTTAATAACTTGTATTATTATTAGTGTTTGTTGTTATTTTGGTTCTGATTAGTTAATCATAGTAAAAGAATAGGTAAATTTATTTATTGTTGTTAACTACGAATCAAGAGTTAGTTTTAATTAAAGTGATTTCTTTTGTTAATATTTATTGTTTTAGTATCACAATTTAATTAATCGTGATATTAACTTGAAGATTAAACAATCAACAGTAACAATAAGCCACCTAAATATTAAATTAAATAAAAAGTTGATTGTGATAATAATAAACAGCAGAAAAAAAGTTAAATTAAGATTTTGAATGAGGAATAAGTGAGAAAATTAAAATTAATTATCATCAACTAGTTGAATATGATTTAATTCTTAATCAATCGTGATTCACGTTGAAGTTAATTATCTTTCCAACGATTTAGTCAATGATTACAATTTCTTAATATAATTGTAATAATTAAATTCGTAAAGTGAGTTGGACAATTAATATTGATGATCGAAAACAAGTTGGAAGGAGATAATTTCTTATTCTTTCAATGTTTCAATTTAGTTAATTGTTGCGATTTTTTCTTCGATTTTCTTCTTAATTGTTACAGAGGTCGCCGAAGGCTTCGTTTGTCCTGATCCAAGTGAGATCGAACAGCCTGGACATTATTCTCGACACGCTCATCCAACCGATTGTCGAAAGTTTTATGTTTGTATTGAAGGAGTTGCTCGTCCTTATGGATGTTCATTTGGAACCGTTTTCAATGTCGATTCACTTCAATGTGATGAACCAGAAAATGTTCCTGGATGGTGAGTTGATTTACTTTTGTTAATTGTTAACAATCATATTGATCAATTTCTTTCATTTTCTATTTACAATTGTAGTGAAAAATACTATGGTGACATCGATCCAAAGACCGCCAAGAAACTTGCTGGAAGAAATTAAGTTTCATCAACTTTGATAAAACAGAGAAAAAGTTTCCAATCAGATTGGATAAGTTTTTCTTGCCTTTTAATCAAACAATTAGTAGAATGGTTAATTGTTAAGCAATTATGAGCGATGGGATAAGAAACAAAGACTGGGATTCGTAATTAATACTCAAAAATAATATTTTTTTTCACTCGAAATGTTTTCACCAACAAGATAATCATTTTTATTGTGATTTCTTTAATTTGTATTGATTAACTAATTGTATAACTTTATAATGTACACAATCATGTATACATACATATGTATATGCGAGATATATCAAGTATATAAAGTAATTGTCTTAATATTTTCTAAATTATTTACTGTGACAATTTATCGTTTCACTTATTTAACGAAAAATAGAAATATGAAAGATTTTTTCTCGATTAACTCATTTCGATTGAGAAATTAGATTTGTAAAAATGGTAATTAAGGGTTGATATTGGAAGATTAATAGAATTTTATCAAATTTCTTTCCGTTGATTATTATATAATTAACGATCTTTGAATTGGATACAAACAATCGAGAAAAAGTTGTAGCGTCTAACCAAAATTCTGAGGAAGAAAAATATTTTCACCGATCACATCGATGAAGAATTGAACCAAACTGAAATCGTTTTGTATTCTCAATAAGAATCTGAAATTGGATTGATTGTATCGATCGAAAAACATGAACTTGATCACAGGCCACGTTTTCGATTTAAAATTGATCGTCAATAGAGAGCAACAATTGACCTGAAAAAAATCGATAAGATAGATGGTAGAAGCGAAGAACTTACAGTTCGAAAAATATCGAAAAATTTAACGGAAACGGATGTGACATTTTATCGCGTTTTTTGACACTAGAAAAAGTTACGCGCGAAAACGCGTTTGTCGGTGGTGCTTTTCGTCCTCGTCTTTGGCCTCTTTGCTTGATTAATCTTTCAACTGAGGTTTTCAATTATCTAATTCGTTCAGAATAATGATAAATCGTTCAGTTAATTATTCTAGTTTCAGATAACATTAAATTTGATCACCAATTTAAATGATCTGATGATGATGATGAATTATTGTTGGAACCAATTGAAAAGGATAATTAAGATTAGCGATCGAAGTACCAATCATACTCTAATTGAAAACTAATTATGAATAATATCAATACATGAGATTGACTGTTACGTATAAGAATCATTAACTAATCAAAGTTGTTGGTGATAATTGTTGTTTCAATTTAAGTGATAACATTTGATTGCGATTCAAGTGGTGACATCTAATGGTAACAATTAGAAATAAATCAGCCAATATAACATTTCAGATAATGTTGAGAAAAATTAACACTTAATTGTGATAACGATAAAAGTTGATTAATGTTGAAACAATTAAATCTAAACCAAAGGTCGATGATTAAATTGATTGAATTGAGAAAAAAAATTGTAAGAATTTTCCAATTGCACTTATGATATGATCCCTTCGAAAGTAACGCCATCTGGTACATTTGCTTGAAAAGAATAGAATTTTTTCAAATGAAATTAAATGATTAAGTTTTTGTGGCTCGATTACTAATTGTTTAATTAATTGTATTGACAATTTTGGTGCAATTAATCACCCTAAATAGAAACTACCGACAGTGGAACCAATTTCTAGTGTTTCCTCGGTTTCTTTCATTTTTCTATTCGGTTGTTTTAGTCGACCAACTCTTTACTCTTTTCAATTGCAACCCAAACAAGAACCGGTGGTGGTTGAAATAGATTGAATCAACTAATTCTCAACAATGAAGAATCGATTCACCACCCTGGATATTGTTTCAATAATTCCTGAATTACATCGTATGTTAAAGGGTTATCGAGTTCACCAGGTATACGATGTGGACGCTAAAACATATCTAATTAAGTTAAAAGACAATCCAAATGAAGAAACTCCTGAGATAAACAAACTGGTTCTCCTCATTGAATCTGGTATCAGGTTACATGTAAGTGAATATAATTGGCCTAAGCACTCTGGTGTTTCTGGATTTACTCTTAAATTACGTAAACACCTAAGAAATAAAAGAATCGAATATATAAAACAAGTTGGTATCGATCGAGTTGTGGACATACAATTTGGTATAAATGAGGCAGCTTATCACATAATCATTGAGCTTTACGACAAAGGAAATGTAATCATAACTGATCATCAATATGTCATCTTGAATCTGCTCCGTTCAAGGAAACCAGGAGAAAATGATGATGTAAAAGTCATGGTTAGAGAGGTTTATCCTCTTCAAACAGCAATTGTCGATTACAAGGTATGACAATTAAATCAAATTCCAACAAGAACAACCAAACAGCAAAGATTAACCAAGAGAGAGAGAGAGAGAAAGATAGAGAAAAAAAATGAAAGATACTAAATAATTACAATCAATTAACATTGTTGATTCTCTGTTTCCAACCAATTTGATTGAGAACACAAATCAACATCTATCACTTACCATGACGAAACTATATTAACATTAATTCATCTGATTAGTGTTTGCATGTATGGTTTTTGTTTCTCAGTAATTAAAATACAATTACTGATTAGCAATCTCCATGTTTAATTAAATTCACTCTATATCATTGATCTGACTAATGAATCTCAATAGGCTAACACAATATTTTTATTGCTCTTTTATCAACCATTTTGTTTTCTTTTTTTTGATTTTTTCCTTTCTTCTAATTTTTAGCTTCCAAATAAAAGTGAGATTATATCATTAGTACAATCAGCTAATCCTGGGGATACTTTAAGAAAGATATTCAATCCTAGATTAATCTTTGGTACAGCTTTATTGGAACACTGTTTCATGGAGGTTGGTTTCCCAGAGAATTGGAAATTAGATTCAACCAAAAACGCTGATTATGATAAAATTGAAGAAGCTCTTAGAATGGCGTCCAATCTGCTTGATTTGATTGTCGACAATTCTAATGGAATCATAATCCATAAGGAAGAGATTAGTCAAGCAAACGATGGAACCAAATTAACTCCTGTTGAGCCTAAAACTGTGATAACCTATACAGAATTTCATCCAATGTTGTTTAATCAACATAAAGGATCAACCAAATTAAAATACATCGAATTTGAGTCTTTTGGTAAAGCGGTGGACATTTATTTTTCCTCGATCGAAGGACAAAAGATTGACCAAAGGGCCTTACAACAAGAAAAAGAAGCTTTGAAAAAATTGGAAAATGTAAAAAAAGATCACGAAAAAAGGTTACTCGAATTGGCGTCTCTCCAAGAAGCAGATAAAAGGAAGGCATCGTTAATTGAGATGAACAAAGATTTGGTTGAGAAAGCGCTTCTCATCATGAGATCTGCAATTGCTAATCAAATCAGCTGGGAAGAGATCAAGGCACTGATTAAAGAGGCCCAATTACGAGATGATTTAGTTGCCTGTTCCATCAAAGGCCTTAAACTAGAAAAAAATCAATTCACAATGTTACTGGTTGATCCATTTGATGAAGATGAATCAACTCGTTTACAAGATTTGGTTGATATCGATTTAGATTTGTCCGCTTTTGCCAATGCCCGTCGTTATTATGACCAGAAAAGATATGCTGCCAAAAAGACTCAGAAAACCTTGGAATCTTCATCGAAAGCGTTGAAAAGTGCTGAACATCGGACTCAACAGGCACTTAAAGAGGTTGCAATTAAAACGTCAATCACCAAGGCTCGTAAAGTGTTGTGGTTTGAGAAATTTTTCTGGTTCATATCATCTGAAAATTATCTTGTCATTGGTGGACGTGATGCTCAGCAAAATGAGCTGATTGTGAAAAAATATCTCACTCAAGGTGATATCTATGTTCATGCTGATCTTCATGGTGCTTCATCGATTGTTATTAAAAATTATATTCCAGGTGAACCGATTCCACCCAAAACTTTGACCGAAGCAGGAATCATGGCTGTTTGTTATTCTAATGCTTGGGAAAATAAATTCTCATCCAGATCTTGGTGGGTTCATTCCCACCAGGTCTCTAAAACAGCTCCGTCCGGAGAGTATTTAACTGTTGGTGCTTTCATGATTCGAGGGAAGAAAAATTATCTCCCAATGGCTCAATTGGTTATGGGATTTGGATTCGTATTTAGATTAGATGAAGAATCCATTGAAAGACATAAACTAATGGATCGACGGACAACAACGGATTATGGTGACGTCGTTGAAATCAACAGCAAAATAAGAGATTCCATTAATGAAGATAACAGTGAGGAGGATGTTGATAATGATGATCGTGACGAGGACAATACTTTTCCTGATATTAAAATAAAAAATATAACTCAGACAATTGGTAAATCAGATTATAATGATTATGATGATGATGGTGAAAGGGACCACAACAAAATGAATAATAATAAAGAGGAGGATCAAGAGGAGGGAGACGATGAACAAGTTGCAATAACTGGCTCTCAGGTACCGAGGATGAAATTTCAAGTAAATTTGAAAAAGAAACGTAATGAAGGTAAAAAGGTGTCAACAAAACAAACAGCTACCCAACAACAACAACAACAACAACAACAAGACTCAACATCAAAGCAACAATCAAATCAACAACAAGTGAAAGATAAAAACAACAAGAATCAACCATTGAAGAGAGGTCAACGTTATAAATTGAAAAAGATGAAAGAAAAGTATAAAGATCAAGATGAAGAGGACAGAATTTTCAAATTAGCTTGGATCGGATCTACTCAGATTAATAGAAAAATGGAAGACCCTGGACAATTGGAGGATAGTGATGGTGTTAATAAAGATCATCATCAACCTAATAACGATAATGATGATGAACAATCTTCTTTTGTAATCATAGGGAGAACAGGAGAAAACAATAATAATGAGGTTGAGGGTGGTGGTGGTTTAGAGAGAGAGAAACAACAAGAAGAAAGAGAAAAAGAAACAAGCCAAGAGAGAGGAAAGGAGGAGATAACTACTATTTCTACCACCAACACCACTACTACAACTATTGCTGATGATAATGATGATGATGAAGAAGAAGAAGGTGAAGAAGATGATGAACAAAAACAGCACCAAGAAGAAGAAGAAGAAGATGAAGACGATGAAGAAGAAGGTTCAAGTAATAAAATGATTGAACATGTTAATTTAATGAATTCGTTAACTGGTCAACCGATGGCTGATGATGTACTTCTCTATACCATACCTGTTGTGGCTCCTTATTCTGCATTGTCTTCCTACAAATTCAAGGTAAAAGTGTTTCCAGGAACAAGTAAACGTGGAAAATCAGCAAAAACAGCCTTATCTTGGTTCCAAGCGGATAAAATGATCACTCAGAGAGAGAAAGATTTACTCAAAAACGCTAAAGACCAAGACATATCTCGAAATTTACCCAACAAGGTGAAAATATTACCTGTCAAATTGAATACAACAGTAAGAAGAAAAGGAAAATGACAGATACATCAAAACCAATCAAAGATGGAGGAGAAAACAAAATTGAAGGTGTTAACAATTAACACAAAACACACAGCAATTAATCAACACCATCAAACTCAGATTAATAACCATCATCATGATGATGATCGTCACCTTGTTATACATTTTTAATATCTGTTTCTAAGGCAGTAGCAACAATTAACTTCGAGACTGTTATTTATATATAAACATTACGCTATTAACTAATAATAGCCTGAGAACAATCAACAAAATGGTGGACAACAACAATAATTAGTAAATTGTGTGTACATGTATATACAAAAATTCTGTGTGTAAATCATCAGGATTCAAAATTGAAAAGATCTACATTTACATATTGACACAAAGGGAAAAAAAGGAAAAGCGAAAAAAAAATTCTACTCCAAAAAAGAGAAGTGTTATTTTTAATGTTTCTTTTTCTTAATTGTTCATTGATTGATTCCAATTGATTACATTTATTTAAAATCTTTCAATTTGTTATGAGGCGAAGAAGCAAAATTATTCCAATACAACCGATTAATTAAATCACTTTTATTGTAATTTATTGAATGTGACAGAAAGAAAATCCATCAAATTGGATTATATGTTTTTCTGTTGTTGTTTATACGCTGATTTCTGGTCCACAACAACAACAGGAAGCCAACAATCAACTAACCATCTAAATGAAGGTTAAGACAGTTAAAGCTTAGGGATAATTGTGATCACGAGAGTGAACACAATTTATGATTCATTTTAATCACAATTATTTGTTAATTGTTTAATTTTTTTCTCTCTCCTGTATAAATAAAATGTAAACATTAAAAATGAACCAATTCTTGATGACGACTACACAATAATAATAATGTTTATATGGAGAACTGATGAAAAAACCTTGTGACAATTAACTGGGTCACTTTCTGGTTCCGATAATCACAATTAATTTGATTTAATTTTCTTTTCGTATGATTAGTTTCTTTGTTCATATCAACAGTTAATTCGAAGCAGTTAATTAGTTGATTGAAAGAAAAGGTTGTAAGCTTTTTTTTAGAAAACAGATAGAAAATCATTTACATTGATTGTAAATTTTTCTCTCTCTTGGTTGAGTTAATTATCTTTGGGTGTTTTAATCTTCATCTATTTCCCTTTAATCGTCATGTTAATTTACTTAGTTGATTTAAATTCTAAACCAAAATTAATAGTATGAGTTAATTATTTATCTTATTCTTCAGCTTTTTCATATGTTTCTCTCTCTCTCGTCTCCATTTTGTTTTCTTCTCTTTCTTTCTCTCTTTCTATTCGATTCTATTTCTCTACCTTTATCTTTCTCTCTCAATGTGATTACTAATGTTGATTTTTTTTCTCTTTCTTTCTCTTTCTACTTCTCTTTCTAATGTTGTTGTTGTTGATACAAATTCATTGATTGTATTCAATTTTTAGAATAATTTTGGTATTGAAACATAGATGATTTTTTAGAGTTTACGTTAATTTAAATTAAAAAGAATAGAATATTTGATTAGAGAAAGAGAGAGAGAGAGAGAGAGAGAAAATTAGAGAAAGAGAGAGAGGAGGAAAGAGAATTTAATTTATGAAAGAAAAGAAAGAGAAAGACATTGAGCTATCAAAGAATGAGATTGATTTGTAGGATTTAGAAGCTTGTGTTTCATTTTTTGAGGTTCAAATGATTAGTTAATTGGTTGATAGTGAATTAATCGACAGTCTAACGTAATAATTAAGAGAGAAAGAGAAAAACAAAGCGAAAGAAAGAAAGAGAAAGAGAGTATCCATTTAATTCTTAACCATTACGAAGGTTATACTTATAACTCTTTGTTATAAGAAATTTTCTGTTCCTTTTACATGTTATAAGTAGGATAGAAGAAGAAGAAGAGAGAGAGAGAGAGAGAGAAAGAAAGAGAGATAAAGAGGAATAAGGAAAAATAGGAAGAAAGAGATGATGATGATGATGAGAAGGGAAAGAGAACGAAGAAAGAGATGAAGAAAGAGAAAGCGAGAGGTTCTCATCATCTTCTCATCATCATCATAATGGTAAACAACTGAAACTTGTTTTGGGTTGAAAATTATTCTGGTTAACCAGAAATTATAATGCGAACCAGAAAATAACAAAATACGAACCCGAGGTTACATAAAATAAAGACCGAGAGGTCAACACCTAATATAACCAAAATTTCACATTTGCTTATATTAGAATAATTATTTTTTGTTGTGATTAGAATTGTGATTCAAGTCTTAATCACTACACTTTTATTATAATTATTATTTAGAATTTAGGTTTTTTTTTTGATTATAACAAAACTTATCAAAAAAAAAGAAGAAAAAACAAAACAATTAAATTTTACGAATAAATTTTCATTGTTTCACTGAGGTCTCTTTTTTTCATCGATTTGTACAATTAAATTTGATTTGATGAATTTTTTTATGTGGATGTTGATGATTTGGTTTCTTTTTCACCACACAAGACATACTTGACCACTTACCTCTAACAGAGAGAGAGAGAGAGTTAAGGTGACAACACTTTGCAAACACTTATCACTTTGAATGTGTGTTGTTAATCACTGCGAGTGTGAGTGTGTGTGTTTGTTTGTGTGAGTGAGTGTGTGTATGTGTGTGATTTAATAACATTGTGGATCTGTTTTTACAGTTGAATACAATTTGAGAGGAAATTTAAGTTTGGGAAGAGATTGAGATGTTTCATGGCGAATTCATGTTTTCAGGCCAACACTGTATTCCATTTGTTTCAGCTTTGATTCCAATTCTTCACACCGTTGCTCTAATAAAAAATACTCTTTCACCAATTCGGCTTTAGACATTGTGCTTATCCTTTCAGCGTGAATATTTTCATAAGTTTCAAAAAACTGTCTCTGGATAAAATCTTGTTCATCGTCAGGTGAACTATAAAAATCATCTGAAGAAGCATCTTCTGAATTCTTACGAGATGGTGTTGAATCACTCATACATCGACGTCGATGTCCACCTCCATTTCCACCATAATGAGGAGATTTGGTTTCATTTGTAGTTGACTGATTACCGTCAAAATTATTGTTCTCTCGATTGTAATTGTTGTTGTTGTTGTTGTTATTTAAACTATTGTTGTTGTTAATGATGAGAGGGTTGGTTGTGGAAACTGAAGTAGTATTTGTTGATGTTGTATTCGAAGGTGAAACTGACACTACAGCAACAGCAGCAACTGTAGCATTAACTTGAAGAAGTCGATCAATTTGTCCAAATTCAGGTTCTCTTACATGATGATCATCCATTAGGAACTGTGTTGTATTATATGGAGCCAAAGGTTGACCTAGAACATGCATTCGAAGATTTAACCATTTAGCTTTTCTACTTTCCAAATCATCGAGACGACTATTTTTACCAAATGAACGGCTGAAACGACGGCCACTATATGGTCTCCAACGGCGTTTCCATTCACTTCGTCGATGCCGATGAACTCTTGAGTCAACATTGTCATTAACTCTTTTTACAACAGAATTGGGAACACTACTACTTTTACCTTTATCCTCTTCCTTATCCTTAGGGTTAACCATACTGAGAATCGTTGAGGAGAAATGATGAAGCAAATCAAGAAGCAAAATGCGAAAAAATATAATTATAATAGTATAAATATATTATAATTTAATGATGATTGAGAATAAAAATCTAATCTTCTCAACAAATCAATAGAACGAAATAATTTTATAATTGAGAAAATTCGATTAACAATGAACACGAAAAAAGAGAAAAGAAGAAAAAAAAACTTGTTAGCAAATTAGACGAAAAAATTGAAGATAAACTCAAGAGAATTTGAAGAGATTTAAATTGAAAGAGTTGTTGTTGTTTCGTCAACTCACAAAAATCAAATGTTCTCTTTGTCTCTATGACAACTTTTATTTATTCGAAATGTGCTGCCATCTATCGGTGGGAGAGCGAAACTCATGCGACCCTTGCGGCGAATTTTTCAATTTTTCGAATTTCAAATTGAACAAAATTTTTGTTAATTAATTTTCTTTGCGGCAATTAATCAATTGATTGAGTTTTCTCCTTTTACTCTGATTTAAAGAGTCTCAATGAAGTTGCCTGGTAATTTGATTAACGATTTTGTCTCTTTCAATGATGTGAACATCGTTTTGTTGTTGTTGTTGTTGGATTTTTTTTCGTTTTTGTTAATTGTTATTCTTGTGATTTTGATTTAATTGGATATTTGATGATGACCATTGTTGTTAATTAACAATGGAAACGATTTCTAATTAGATTGACTTTCTAATTGATTAGTTTTTAGATTTTATTTTACCTCATTGATTAGGTTTTATTATTTTTCTCCTTTGTCTTTGGGTGAGAAAAAAGTTACATGATTGATTAACAACCACAATTAAACATTGGATTAATTATCAATCAAGTTAAATTAATGTAATTACTGTTCTATCGATTAATTAATTGGTTAAGTGTTTTCTTTGTTTTCAATTTTCTGTACAAAGGTTTCGACAGATGTACAGTAACCCAACCAAAAAGAAAACACTATTAGAACAACAATTACGTTTTTCATTCAATTGAATAGGTAATTAATCAACTAATTGTTACGAATTAAAATCTCATGTAAGCTAATTTTTTCTTACGTGTAACTATTGGAATTAGATTGTTAATTGTTAGTTAGCCTTTGGGTCGATCACATCAACAGAGAACAAAAATTTTCCATTTTCAATAAACTTAAATTTCTTTCAAATTAAAGTTCAATTAGTAAATCGTTTCAATCATGTTTACCTTATATTTGATCGCATGTTTATCAACAACCTTAATTGCTAATGTTTCTGGTAAGTAGTCGATATAAAACTTGAGAAATTAACAGAAAATTCAATTCAATTGAGAGAAGAGACAATTTAGATTACTAATAGAAATTAGAATTTTAAATTGTCAAAATTGAATTAAATTCTAAATGCGTAGTTACTTTATTCCATTAGAAGATGATGAAGCTTTTCATTCTTTTATGGATTATAAATGTTGCCACGATTTTTTTTTCGCTTTTAGAATAAAAAAATTCTATTGGATCTTTTTCGATTTTCAGGTAACATGTTCTCTCCATTTTCGTCATTCACTGGATTTCCATCTTTTCCAAGTTTCCCTAATCCATTTGGATCATCTTTCGGTTCACCCTTTGGATCAGGTTTTCCTTTCGGTCAATCATATGGAGCATCTTTCCAACCTGAAGATCCCTTTGCATCCTCATCACCTTTTCCTTACCAACCTCAGACTTCACCTTATTTCCAATCCTCACCACTCGGTGGTTCCTCAGTTTCACCCTCTTCTTCCCAATTTCCATCAAGTTTCAATCGTTTTCCTGGTAGTTCATTTGGTTTCCCATCTTTCCCTTCATTTCCTTCATTCACTGATTTCACCAATGGCCTGGCGAATGGCCTTAAAGGTAACGGGTACAGAGTAACTTCCTCGTCGAGTGGTTCAGGAACCAATGGTAAACCAGGGCAGGTAATCCAAACAATTAAGGTGGAAAAGGTTGGAACTGAAAATGGTCCAGGGAAACAAAGCCGAATTGTCCAAACAATCAGCGCTTCGGGTCCCGTAGTTCCATCCAAAGGTCCATCTAATTCCCAACAAAGTGCCAAAGGTAATAATCAAGTAAATCGACCAAATCAACGACCCATTTTCAATGGACCAATTAAACAAAACAATCAGGCTAATAATCAACAAAGGAAACCATCACCACCACCACGATTCACCGGACCAACAACCACAGCGATTGCTCCTTCAACTGGATTGACAAAAATTAATGGAACACAATCAACATCCCTTCACCAATCAACTTCTCACAACAATTCTGCTGATATTGGTAAACCAACAAGCAATCAATTGTTAATCAATCACAATAACAGTGGAATAGGATCAACTTCATCTTCCAAGGTGTCATCATCATCCTCATCAACCGCTGGTAATGTTGATATCAATAAATCATCAACATCGTCATCACAATCAATTGGTTCACATAATTCACAAATCAATGGTGCAACTTCATTTAATTCAGTTAATTCCGATCAATCATCCGGATCCAAAAATACTGTTACTGTTAGAAGAGTTGATTCCTCTGGTCGAATCATCAATGGATTCTGATTTGAAGCCTGAAAATAAATTGATTAAACAGAATAGATAATTAAGTTGAAGAAAATTGTTTTCTCAGATAATGGTAAATCACTTTACTCCAACGATTAAAGTTTCAATTTAATTGAGGCACTTTGCATTTAAATTGCTTTCTTTTCCTCTTCTCTTTTCGTAAACCAATTTTTTTCACCCAAGTTTAAATCTTTCGTGATTAATTGTTGATCCAATTTGATTCCGAATTATATAATATTGGTTTGATAACAGCAATTTAGAAAGGAACAAATAACTTAACAAAATGATGAAGATGATGAAGATATTGATGGAAGTGAATTAGTTTTCGCTTTTTTTTCTCTAATTAAAAAGAGAGTAAAGAAAGAGAAATTTAACAAAAACAGAACAGAACAGAATTTGTTTAAATGTTTTGTTAATTGAGTATAAAAACCATGCAAATTATAACTTCCATCAACAATTAGCCAAATGGTTGATTCCGTTCGTCTTTTTTTGTGAATTAAATTTGCTGCTCGGCAATAATGTGTTTAGATTTACATTGGGATACAAATGATTAAGATCAAAATCAGTATCACTTAAATTGTTTCCAGCTTTAAGATGACCAATCAATAGATAATTAGAAACCATGGTGAATTATACTTAGTATTACAATATACCATTAGTTAAATATTGAAATCCATCGTAGATTTTTGTAGTCAATGAATTAATACTTGATTGAACCATATTCTCTACATATTGTTTTAACTGATCTTCCGTCATTCCAATATGGAATCGATCCTTTAATGACGTTATTGTGCTTGCACCAGTCTTAAAACAGGGTAATTGACAATTGGCTTGAATTATTTCAACTAATGTCAATAAGCGATCATGATATTTTCTGGCTGCCACCAAACCTTGTAAAATTAGAATTTTGAAATATTTAAAAATATCACTATCGATTCCACCCATGACCTAGAGAGAGAAAGAAAAATAAATATTTTAGTAAATCACGTTAATTAGAGTGTCTCGTTGTGTATATACTTCGACAAATTCATGGGTCAATTTAAAAGGCGAATTCTCAAAACCAAGATTCTTGGGAGAAATTGAAAGAATAAAACCAAAATCTATGTGGATTAAATGTCCCTCTGAATCTAAGAGTATATTGCCATTATGTCTAAAGGGAGAAAAGATGAGAAATATTAATTATTTGTTGTTATTTTAGATAGTCAATTAACTAATTGTTACCTGTCTTTAACTTGAATTAAATAAGAGACTATACAATAAGCTGCACAACTTTGGACAAAATTTTTTTGGGCGGTTAAAAAGGTTTCGCTGTTTGTTGGTCCAAACTCTTTAGGAAATATTCATATAAAGACATTTTCGAGTGTTTTTTAACTTGATGTAATGATATACTATTAAGGATGGGCTCAATGATACCATGATCAGCTGAAGTGACCATTATTTTGTAAGGGCGTAACCAGAGAGGGACATGCTCTTTTTCCCAGATTTGTTGTAAAATAACCAAAAATTGATGAACCATCACCTCTTGTCGCAAATCGTCACCACATTTAATTATCGCAGCCACCAATCTCCAGCCCTGTAGGTGTCCATAGGGCGATGATTCCCGAATCCGAGCTATCTTTTCATCTAAAGGCTCCTTGAGAAAAGCAGCTGAAGGATCTTCCGGATCTATGGTGAAATTGGCTTTAGGTTGATTAAGTGATTCATAGAGAGACTGTTTAATTTCAGAGGCACCAATGTAATTGTGACCATTACGATTAGCAGGATCTTCACTTGGAATCAGTGATTCTTGAGATGACTGGGATAAAGTGTCTTTATCTTTATCTTCCAAGTCAACTTTTACCCCGATTTCCTTTTCCTTTATAACAATTTGGTTGTTTATTGTTGTTGAGCAAATTTTATCATCATCAATGGAGGGATCCCAACAATCATCTGTAGTATCTTCCCCGGTATCTTCACCAGTATCATTATTATTAATTGGGGAAGATGAGAAAAGATTGAACTTGGAAGTTATCTCATCACCTTTTGTTGTTGATTCATCTCTTCGAGAGCAGTAATTAACTAAATTCTCTTCAGACCGGGTTTGCCTTAGGCTATCGATAACTTTGGTGGGTAAAGGAGTTGAATTAATGTCACCAGTTAATTCAACTGCTTCAAAGTAAACTAAATAAGGAGATTTATCTTTAGAATTTAGGAGAACCGCTGCTCCCGGTGGTACTCGGACAATCATATGGCGGAATGAATATATTGGTAACCAAACTCGAGCAGGTAGATTAAGATTGAGAATGGACAGTTCAGCCATTAGACGTTGCGTTTTAACATCTTTGGAGGCGATTTTTTGTAATCGAGTTGAGATTAACATGAGACATTTAATGAACTCATATTCAGCTGATAAACGAGGAGCACCACAGTGACAGTGAATCTTTTCACCTCTCAAATCGTTACAAATTCCAGCGCAAGAATCAAAGCAAACACAACCATTGTCAAAAGCGTGACCAGAAGTTAAATCACCAAGACTTTTGGCAGGATTAAGCAGAGATGCGGTGGTAATTGATGAAGAGGTGGAATATAATAATGATCCCGTTGCATCGGAATAAGATCGGTGGTGACTTTTACGGAGAGATGCATGATGATGAGAAATTTTCCCAGAGGAAAAGGCTGTTAAAGGTTTGGCTGAAGAGGCTAATGAAAGACTCAATAAGTTTACTTTTACAGTTGAAGGGACAAGAGATGGAGACGCTGGGATATGATTAATTGTCGATATAACTGTTGAATTAGATGTTGATAATTTCGTATTTTTAACCGATGTATTTGTGGTATTATTGTTATCAGATGGTGATGATGATGATGATGATGATTGACCATTGATTGGTGGGGTTTGATTGTTATTTTCTGCCAAACTGTTAACAGAATTATTTTGAGTATGAGATGATGATGAATCTCTTGGCAATTGGTCCACAGAAGAGTTAATTGTGGCAGATAATTCGGTCACATGGATGTCGGGCTTAGGTTGACTTTTACTATTAGTATCACTATTGTCTTGATGATTATTACAATCGTTGGGATTATTATTACTTGAGTTCTCGGCGGTCTTGGTGGTGGTAGCGATATTATTATTACAATTATTGTTCCCATTAACAGTCACATTTGATGTGCAACCAGTCAGATCGTAACTAATATCATTAGAAGTTGTTATTGTAGTTGTTGGTGTAGTTTCTAATGTAGATGTTGTAGTGGAAGAATTATTTTTAGTATTTGATTCAATATTGATAATATTATCACCGCCATTAAGTGAATTATTGGTTGATCTGAGAAGTTTATTCTTATCAGTGAAATTGTTTCTTATAGATTTGTAACTGGATTGTTGTTTGGGTTTTAATTCTTCACTTAGAATTAAATTTTTCAGCTTAACTCCATGAGACTTTTTCAGACTGTTTATAGAAGTGGTGAAAGATGTAAATGAAGAAAGAGATGAAGAAGATGAGGTTAACTTTGGAATGGAAGCCGAATTTGATGTGATGAGTGATGATGAAGCGGATAAAGAGGAAGCAAAACAAGAAGAGATGAGTAGAGAGGAAGATGATGTTGGTGAGGCTTCAGAACAGAAAGCATTTAACAGCCAAGCCAATTGAAGGCTAAATTCAGGACAAGATCGGCAACGGTTCTCAAAATAAGGATGTAAAGCATCAGCTATATCAGCATGATTAATATAAAGTACAACTAATTGGGGTAAATAAAAATCAACATCAGCCTCATCAAAGGTAAATAGACGATTACCTATGTAACTTAATACACCAGGTTCTTTTGATTTAAATAGATAGGTAATGGCCAACGACATCTCAAACAGCCGAGACTGGAATAGCCTCAATAACCAGGAACCATTGTCCATGGCTGTCAAAAAATTAACCGAAAAAAGAAAACAAATCAAGAGCTTTGATTGACAGAGATGATAAGGAAAAGAGAATAGAAGAGATGAAAAACCGGAGATAAGGAGACTTTAAATACACAATTTACAAGTAATCAACAACTATTAGTGATTATAATTGTAGAAATATAATGTAATCATAATGATTATAATAAATGGGAAGGAAATAGAGTAAGAGAGAGAAAGAGAGATGAAATTTAGATGGAAAATGAATGAAATAAGGAGAGAGGAAAAAAGAGACTAAAAGATAGGGAAGAAAGAGAATAGAATTTGAGAGAAAAGGAAAATTGTTTCTCAATTATTTGGAGTTAATGGTTGGGTTTTAGTTAGTAAATTATTATATTTGTAATGATTGGGAGAGAGAGAAAACTGAGTAAATAATGTTGATGATGTTGAAGAAAAGGGTAGGATGATGATGGCGAAAAAAGAAATCACTACAATCAATAATAAACATATTCTAATGTTGAGAATTAAAAAGGCGGCGGTGGTGATTGAAGAATGAGAAAAATTGTCAACAATTGTTGAACTAAATTGGATTAACATTAATTGGGTAGCACAGTAAGAAGAATATTGCTGATGTTGATTTCTGTTAACATAAATTACTAATTATCACTAATTATTTATCATCTTTTTTCATCTTCTATTCTTGATTGCAATAAGAAGCCAACATCACATATGATAAACGCCATCGATTTTAAATCGATACTTTTAATGAGAAAATCGAGTTTTTTATTCGATTTTATTTCAAAAGAAAATAAAATTTGGGTTAATTGTTGTGGTGGAATTTGACTTTTTTTCTGGTGAAAGTTTGAATAAGTAACAAAATTAACAATTGATAGTTGGTTGATTGTGTTGTTATTGTGAATAATTTGATTGTTATGATTCGTTTGGAAGGTCAGTTAATCTTGGACAAAGTTCGTGACCTTTTTCTTTGCGTTTCTCAAGATGAGCGATTCTAGAACCGAATTGAATTGCACGTTTCGGGAAACCCGACACTTTGGTAAGGCCAAGTTTTAATGCGACAAAACGTAATAATATCTTGTCACCTTTTCCTCGTTCTAATGTTAAATTTGTCTTCTTCCAAATTGGTAATGAATTGAGGTAATTGATTAGATTCTCATCTAAATATGGAAGTCGACATTCTTTCCCGTGGTCACTAATAATTCTGTCATCTCTTCCTAAATTTCGTAACGGAATTCGGACTATATCGCTTCGAACTTCATCAATTAATCCTTGCCATCCTTTTCTCTGGAAAGCAGTTCGATGACGGGAATAACCGGCGAATTGTTCATCAGCGCCCATTCCAAGGAGTAAAATTCGAGCTGGACTTTGATATTCAACTGACCGACAGATTCCATGACCTTTGGCCGCAAACCAAACAGCACAAGCGATACTATCATCGAGAACCGAGTTACATGGTTTGATCAAGTGTTTGATGTACTTTTGCCTTGCGATTTTCAAGTCTTCTAATGTCACATCGATTTGTACGAAATTCCAACGTCTTTCAGGTCTTAATGCCGAAATTTCTTCGAAAGATTCAAGTCCAGTTAATCGATCAGGAGCATCAATAGAAAAAGCGACATTGATCAAGTCAATCGATTGATACATTGGAATATATTTATCACTAAGAATCGCTAAAGTGGTGCAATCCAGGCCACCTGAGAATAGAATACCGACCGATGAATGATCACATTTCTCTCTGAAATTTTCGACACATTTTTGGCACAGTTGGTTAAATTTAGTAACTCGAGTTTCTATTGATTGTGATAGAATTGAAATTAAATTGTTAACAGTCTCATCATCGACAACGGAACTGATTAAATTAAGTTCATTGGGAAGCTCGTCATTTAAGGTTGTAATTATGGGCGAAGGTATTGATTCAATGTGATCAACTAATTCACCGGCAATATTTTGTTTCCAATTCCTTAATTTAACCTCAGGTTTTTCATGGGAAAAGTTTAAACTGTAAATTCCGTTTGCAGGAATTTCCTCCCAATCATTTTCACCGGGAACACAAATGGATGATAATTTCAATTCGAATGGTTCGTCAGCCTTTTTCCAACAAAGACTTCGCCTTCCAACAGAATCTCTACCAAAGAATAAAGTTCGAGATTTTTCATCCCAATAAATTATAGCGAATGGACCTTGAATTCTGCCGATAATCCGATAAATCAACTGATCGTCACCATCACAAAGCTCCAATTGATTGAATAGAAACTGCGAATCTGATTGATCACCATTTTCTCCATTACAATTAAACATTTCTCCATTCCATAGAAGAACATTCTGATTAACCATAATCGGCTGTTTAACCAGTTGATCACCACGAAGATGTAAAACATTACCTTGGAATTTAAACCAATAACCAAATTTAACTAAACCAATTTCATGGAAACAATCAGGTCCTCGTCTTAATAGAAATTCCTTCAAATTGTCATCACAACAGCCATTTTCATCTCGACTATTTGAACAAGAGAAAAATATACCACACATTTTATCAAATTCTCATCAAAAAATAAAAATAAATTATCACAATCAACTAATTAAGTTTCGTTAAAATCTAATCTACAAAATCAAAAATGAACCAAAGATTTTTGTTTACAAACAAAAAGTATAAGAGACTTTAGTAACTCCATCTACCGGTTTACTCTTTGGTTGAGAAAATTAATGTATAAAGCATTAACCTCGGGGGTAAGTGTAATAAAGTTAATTAAGTAAAAATTTTTGATCAAAATAATTAATAGGTTATTGGTTATAGGTTATTGTCAAAATATTTTAGATCTAAAAGATGAGATGAAAGAAACAACCGAAAGTGCTGAGCAAATCAAAGAGAAAATTAGTAAATTGAAAAATCGATTCATTTTTGTTCGAATCGACGATAAATGTTCAATTTGTGGACATTCAATTCTAAGTCAACCTTTTCATGTTTTTCCTTGTCATCATTACTTTCAAGAAATCACCACAATCAAGGATAACAATGAAGACCTAAATGATTTAATGGCCTCTCAGTGTCTTTTCTGTGGTGACTTAATGATAGAAAGTATTAATGAACCTTTAATCTCCCCTGATGAAAAAAACATGGCTCTAATTGGATGGTAATCGATAATTAACTTTCTCAACAATCAACTGTAAATATCCCGAAATGATGAAATCACCAAATCGACCGATTTAAATTCCAAGTTGATTGTAATCTTTTTCATTTGTTATAAATCGTCTTAATCAATTATACAAATATTTTCCATTAATTTAAACATTGTCAAATCGAGAATCGCTAACAAATCACCATTTGTAATAATATATAATAATAGAAATAACAAAGATTTAAAACAAACTAATTAGTTTGATGACTAATCATCCAAATTTAATTGTCACTTTTTTTCTTCTTGTCTTTAGATTTTTCCTTCAATAACTTCGCCCTCAATTCTTGAGTTTTGTTGATCAATTTTTCCTCGTTTTTGTTTGGGTGAGAATTGGCCATTTCCTTTTCCTTTTCAATTTCTTCTGATGAAATAATTTGACTTTTTCGATGGTCACAATTAGATTTAATTGTGGAAATATCTTCTTCGTTCTCATTCACTGGCCGTAATTTATCCCGTTTACAACATTTTTTTTCAATATCTTTGTCTAATTTTTCTTGAATTTTTCTCTTCACTTCCAATTTGATTACTATTTGAAAATAGAAAAAGAAAACAATTAATATTGATAGAAATTAACAAGAGATTCAACTAACTTTCATCCATTACATCTGGAGTTTTCTCTGCGGCAACATTTTTCCATAATTTAGATGATTCACAATCAGAATCGTAATAATAATCAACTGATTGTTTTTAATCACTTCCAATGATTTCGCTCTTTCAACCAATTCGACTTCCGACTTTTCGTCCTCTCGGTCACATGGAAGTGAAATAGTGTGACGACGTTCAGGAGGAGAATTCTTATCAAATCCTTCTTTACTCATTGATCACAATTAAGAAATAAATTCCAATCAATGGTGAACAATTTAAAATCAATTTTCTTCTACATTTTATTAATTATTGAAAGATTAAAAGTAGCACAAATCTGATCGAGTTACTTTTAAAATCTTTCCAATTCTAGGATTCGACATTTTATTCAAATTACATTCGATTAACTCAACAATTAAAAGCAATTAATATCTAACCAGCTCTCGAGAATGAAATGCAAAACTGTTTACGAGAGAGAGAGAGAAAAAACAATAGAATCTAATTAGATAATTATTTTAATTTCTCAACATTTAATTACATTGGAACAGCCATTTTCATCTCGACTATTTGAACAAGAGAAAAATATACCACACATTTTATCAAATTCTCATCAAAGAATAAAAATAAATTATCACAATCAACTAATTAAGTTTCGTTAAAAAAAATTGACTCTTAATTTGGGTTAATTTTGAGGTTGCAAAAGTTTCATTGTTTATTTATCAATTGATTAATCAATTAAATTGATCAATTATTACAAAACAAAATGAAACCATTGATTATAATTGATATTGATTAAGGTGATTTAATTTTAACAATTTAAAATTGTCAGTTAATTTAAGCACAAGGGTAAAAAGATGCTCCATCCGAGTGTTTAATTGCCACTGGTGATGTTGGTGCACAGAATTTACGAACTTGATTTATGGTCAAACTATTGAAGGAAAAGAAAGGAAAGAAACACAATTAACAACAATCGATAGACAATCAATAGTTTAATTGTTACTCACTGTGTACTTGCATCAGTAAAGGTATTGGATAAAACAATTGGATCGAAGTAAATTGCTGGCTTGGAAATTAGATAAATCGGATTATAAGGAGCAGCCAAAGTCCAACGAAGGTAAATCGAGGTGATGTTACCCAATGGGGCGAATGAGGAAATTACTGAATTGTAAGCTCGAGACATTGAGATTGTCACGTCACTAGAACAACAATTAACGACAATTAGATTGAATCAATCGAAAACAATTAAGATTAACTTACTCTTGAGTTAATTTGAATTCTTCTTGTGGATTTTTGTTTCCATCTTTGTAAAGAATTGACAATTTAAGGTTACCTTTTTGCTCGTCAAATTTGGTCGAGGCCGTTTTAACGGTCACATTGTAGGCAAAAGTTGTCGCTGCTAAGGTCACAATTAGATGATTAATTTGATTGTTGAAAAATAATTAAGTTAATTAGACTTACCTGCTGAAGATTCATCGACGAGGAAAGAGTTGATTGTTACCAATACGAAAATGGTTGTAAAGGTTGATAGAAGTTGATTGGACATTTTGTTATTTCAAACAATTAATTCAATTTAACTTTTTCTTGATCTGGAAATTATAATTGTTACAATAAATTGTTGTTCGTTTGATTGTTACTTTTATATTTATTGATTTTTTTTTCTTCTTCTCTCCTTTTATCATCAATCTACAATTAAACGCCTTAGATTGTTAATCATTTGTTCAATTTTATTGTTCCATCGTGATTAATTTCACCAGAATGATTATTTCTTTGCAATTAGTTTAATTGTTCATTTTTAGTGAATAAAATAAACTAATTACTGATTGTTATTCAGGTTGAAAATAGAAACAATTAGATTACAAGAAGATGTAATTCGGAAAAAAAACTATTGATAATATTATCTAATTAGTTGAAGAACATAAATTGATTATTATTAATCATTTCAATGGATTATCAGTCATTGGTAATTAACTGATTTATAAAACAATTCAATTCAAATTAACAATCAACAATCAACAATCACCATTGATTATTAGAGATTTAAATTTCTACTCTAACCTTGGAGACTCAAGTTCATTCTCGATTTGAGTCTATCACAATCAACCTCATCTTCTCTCAACTGGATTAGTTAATTATTCACCAAGAACAGAATTTAGGATTAATTAATTTCGATTTGAAATCAATTAAAACGAAAAGAGTTTAGTGTCGCCATCTAGTGGGTTTTTCTTTTCTAAAGGAATTTAATGTTTACTTGAATTTCTGTTGAATTTTGATTGTTTAGATTTTAATTGTTCCTTTGATTTTTTTATTTTCTTTTATTGTTACAATTTAAATATCATGTTACTGTTTGATCAATACGATGAAGAATCATCAACATCATTCACTAGACAATATGGACATCCTTCTGTCCGTCCAAAGGTTGGTTCTTTTTTCTGAATTAATTTCCACAATCAGCTGATTGTAAATGTCTATTTTTCTTAATCATTTTCTATTTTTTCCTATTTTCTATTAGATTATTGGTTCCTATGAAGATGAAGAAGGTAAACCTTCAATATTTAAGAGGCACCGAATCAATTTCCAGTAAGATAACCATTTGAATCAATTCCTCATGATGAATAACAATTTGTTTCCCTTTTTGTGTTTACAGACCTGAAGATGTTATCACTCATTTGGCCGTTTCTAATAATCAAATGATCTTGGCGATGATGAATAAGAAATTGCTTCGTATTGATTTAATGAATCCCGATCAACCTATTGGTAGGTAAATAATATGATATCAGTTATTTGTCTCTCCATAGAGAACTCTTATTCTAATTGTATCTAATTCTTTCTTTGTCTCTGTCTCTCTTTTGTTTTGTCACAGAAATTGAATTGGCACAATTTCTTGGTGATAAATCGCAATTGGCTAAATTATATCAAGTCTATTTGTCGCCCAGTGGTAAACATTCATTGCTCAGTTTCGCCTCTGACCTGAAAAATTTAACTCCTTTTGATAATCTATATTTATCTAAAAAGATTCACCAAGCAAGTAAATTGAAAGGTCATCTGATTACCGCTTTGGCCTGGAATTTTTTAAACGAGAAAGATAATACAACAAGTAATATACTAATTGGAACCAGTAAAGGTTTGGTATTCGAGACAGAATTAGCTCCAGATGAAACGAAATGGCTCATGAACACAAGCCTAGAAAAATATTACAATCAAGTTTTCGATACTGGACCTGAAGCGGGTCCAATTACTGGTATTCAATTTCATCGAGTTCCCGGAAATGATCAGCTTTGTTTCATTCTTGTGACTACATCAAGGTTTGTCTCTCATTCCATTTGATTGCTGAATACTAATAATAATCTAATTCTATCTTTCATTTGTATTTACAGTCGTTTGTACCAATGTGTCGGTAAAATATCATCTTCATCCAATATCGATGGACCTTATTTAGTGAACATTTTCAATAACAATAGTGGACAATTTCAGGATATGCCGAACAATCTAGGATTCAGTCGATTGGATTTCTATTTCAACTCATCCCTTATTCCCGAAACTTTTGGTTGGCTAACTGGTAATTAGAAGATTAAAAATATCACCAGAATCATCGGTTATTTCTTATTCATTTTCTCTCTTTGTATTGATTAGAACCTGGTATTCTCCATGGAAAGATAGTCTATGATCCATCATTTTCTCTTAATACTGTGACGAAAGATGCAACTCTATTGTCTTTCACCGAAGACACAAATCATCCTAACGGATCATCACAATTATCCAATTCGCCATCTTCATCACCATCATCTTCTTCATCTCTTGCTAAAGAAAAACCAATCGGAATAATTTTAACCAAATTTCATGTTCTCGTTTTATTCCGAAATTTATTAAGAGTCATTTGTGTCCTTTCCGAGGAAATTGTATTAGAAGACAAATTTACCGAAGCCTGTGGATCGGTTATTGGAATTGCCAAAGATCTGGTCAAAGGAACCATTTGGGTTTACTTTGAATTAGCAGTTTACCGTTACAAAATCACAGAGGAAGATCGTTTCATCTGGAAAATTTATTTAGCGAAAAAGGATTTTACTAATGCGAAAAAATTTACCAACAAAGATCCAATCAAAATGGATGAAGTGATTTGTGATGAAGCTCAATATTATTTTGATCGAAAAGAGTTAGTTGATTAATCGTTTCTTTTGTTGATTATATTTCTTACTAATCTGTCAACAATGAATTACTATTTTCTCATTTGTGATAACAGTTATAACAAATCAGCTGAATTATATGCTCAAAGTGGTAAAAGTTTTGATGAAATCGCACTGAAATTCATGCAGCTGAAAGATGAAGAAGCTTTGAAAAAATTTCTAATCTGTAAGCTTAATGTTTTATCTCCTGGTAAACATCAATCTCAAATTGATCTTGTAACAATTTGGTTAATCGAGTTAATCATGAGTCAAATTGGTAGACTTAAAATCCAGGAATTTTCAACATCTTCATTCGGTGACAAAGATCCGGAAACTCTGACCAAATTAGGAACAGAATTCAAACAATTACTTCAAAACCATAGAATCAAAGTAAGTCTATTTTATAAAGAAATTAAAGTAACCCACTAATCATTTTCTATTTTTATTCTTTTTCAGGAATGTATAACTAAAAATAAGAATATGATTTATGATATTATCCTGAGTCAAGGTGATGAATCTTGTCTACTTTTATTTGCTTCGTCCGTTCAAGATCATAAATTTGCTCTTAGTTATTTCACCGAGAAAGGAAACTACGATCAGTGTTTACAAATATTGAGAGAACAGGTAAGTTGATGGATTTGATTTAAAGTGAATTCCAGTTAACCATCTTCATTGTTTCATCTTTTTTCCATAGAAAAAAAATTTCGATCTAATTTATCGTTATGGTCCTCTGTTAATGCGTCAAGTTCCGACCCAAATGGTTTCGATATTGAAGAGTCGTTGTCTCTCTTTGGACTATTGTAAATTACTACCAACCCTTATTCAAAACAGTGATCAAAATGGATTCAAAAGTGAACAAGTAATTACTTACTATTTAAACAATTAATTGGTATTTTATATTAATTCACATCTCGAATTGTTGATTACAGTGTAAGGAGATAATTAGTTACCTGGAGCATTGTGTCAAAATGGGAATCAGAGAGACAGTTATTCACAACTATCTGATTGCTTTGTATGCTGAACTTGATCCGGATAAATTGTTAACTTATTTGGAGGAGAGAAGTGATTCCAATCAAATCGATTACGATTTAAAATACGCGCTGAGAATTTGCTCCGAGAAAGAGCTTAAAAAAGCTTTGGTCATTTTATTTACTACGATGGGCGATTATGAGCAAGCAGTTGACATGTCGCTCCAAGTGGACATGGATTTAGCCAAGAAAACAGCTGATTTGCCACAAATGGACGATGATTTGAGAAGAAAATTGTGGTTGAAGATCGCTCGTCATGTAGTCGAAGAGAAAGGTGACATTCAACAAGTTTCTCACCTTCTAGCTGATTGTAATCTCCTGAAAATCGAGGATATTTTACCTTTTTTCCCCGATTTCGTAACAATTAGTCACTTCAAAGATGCGATTTGTTCATCATTAAAAGGTTATTGTCAAAATATTTTAGCTCTAAAAGAGGAGATGAAAGAAACAACCGAAAGTGCAGAGCAAATCAAAGAGGAAATTAGTAGATTGAAAAATCGATTCATTGTTGTTCGAATCGACGATAAATGTTCAATTTGTGGACATTCAATTCTAAGTCAACCTTTTCATGCTTTTCCTTGTCATCATTACTTTCATCAAGTCTGTTTAATCAGTGAAATCCGATCATTTTTAACTCCATCATTGAAAGAACGACTTAACAAAGTGACCAAAGGCGAAAAGTTGACTAGTTCAATGATTGGTAAATCAACAACTCTCACTGATAAAGAAATCGCCTCAATCAAGGATAACAATGAAGACCTAAATGATTTAATGGCCTCTCAATGTCTTTTCTGTGGGGACTTAATGATAGAAAGTATTAATGAACCTTTAATTTCCCCTGATGAAAAAAACATGGCTCTAATTGGATGGTAATCGATAATTAACTTTCTCAACAATCAACTGTAAATATCCCGAAATGATGAAATCACCAAATCGACCGATTTGAATTCCAAGTTGATTGTAATCTTTTTCATTTGTTATAAATCGTCTTAATAAATTATACAAATATTTTCCATTAATTTAAGCGTTGTCAAAGCATTGTAATCTTTCTCATTTGTTACTAATCTTCTTCAATCCAATTCAAATTAACAATCAACAATCAACAATTATCATTGATTATTAGAGATTTAAATTTCTACTCTAACCTTGGAGACTCAAGTTCATTCTCGATTTGAGTCTATCACAATCAACCTCATCTTCTCTCAACTGGATTAGTTAATTATTCACCAAGAACAGAATTTAGGACTAATTAATTTCCAATCGAAATCAATTAAAACGAAAAGAATTTAGTGTCGCCATCTAGTGGGTTATGATCGAGCTATCGACCAATCAAGTTCAGAAAACTTGCCAAACAAAATTGTTTGGCCAGTTTCTTTTAGATTGAATTTAGTAATTAGCTCTGATCAAAACCTCGAGACTGTTTATCCACGCTGATCAAACTAATAGGTTTGATCATTGGTCGGACAATCAGGTTATGATCAGAGCTCATTACTAAATTTAATCACCAATCCTAGATCAACAATCAATTTAAAGAAACTGGCCAAACAATTTTGTTTGGCCAGTTTTCGGAACTTGACGAGGCTTGAATCAAACTTAATAAATATTTCTTATTCATTTTCTTTTATTGTTACAATTTAAATATCATGTTACTGTTTGATCAATACGATGAAGAATCATCAACATCATTCACTAGACAATATGGACATCCTTCTGTCCGTCCAAAGGTTGGTTCTTTTTTCTGAATTAATTTCCACAATCAGCTGATTGTAAATGTCTATTTTTCTTAATCATTTTCTATTTTTTTCCCTATTTTCTATTAGATTATTGGTTCCTATGAAGATGAAGAAGGTAAACCTTCAATATTTAAGAGGCACCGAATCAATTTCCAGTAAGATAACCATTTGAATCAATTCCTCATGATGAATAACAATTTGTTTCCCTTTTTGTGTTTACAGACCTGAAGATGTTATCACTCATTTGGCCGTTTCTAATAATCAAATGATCTTGGCGATGATGAATAAGAAATTGCTTCGTATTGATTTAATGAATCCCGATCAACCTATTGGTAGGTAAATAATATGATATCAGTTATTTGTCTCTCCATAGAGAACTCTTATTCTAATTGTATCTAATTCTTTCTTTGTCTCTGTCTCTCTTTTTTGTTTTGTCACAGAAATTGAATTGGCACAATTTCTTGGTGATAAATCGCAATTGGCTAAATTATATCAAGTCTATTTGTCGCCCAGTGGTAAACATTCATTGCTCAGTTTCGCCTCTGACCTGAAAAATTTAACTCCTTTTGATAATCTATATTTATCTAAAAAGATTCACCAAGCAAGTAAATTGAAAGGTCATCTGATTACCGCTTTGGCCTGGAATTTTTTAAACGAGAAAGATAATACAACAAGTAATATACTAATTGGAACCAGTAAAGGTTTGGTATTCGAGACAGAATTAGCTCCAGATGAAACGAAGTGGCTCATGAACACAAGCCTAGAAAAATATTACAATCAAGTTTTCGATACTGGACCTGAAGCGGGTCCAATTACTGGTATTCAATTTCATCGAGTTCCCGGAAATGATCAGCTTTGTTTCATTCTTGTGACTACATCAAGGTTTGTCTCTCATTCCATTTGATTGCTAAATACTAATAATAATCGAATTCTATCTTTCATTTGTATTTACAGTCGTTTGTACCAATGTGTCGGTAAAATATCATCTTCATCCAATATCGATGGACCTTATTTAGTGAACATTTTCAATAACAATAGTGGACAATTTCAGGATATGCCGAACAATCTAGGATTCAGTCGATTGGATTTCTATTTCAACTCATCCCTTATTCCCGAAACTTTTGGTTGGCTAACTGGTAATTAGAAGATTAAAAATATCACCAGAATCATCGGTTATTTCTTATTCATTTTCTCTCTTTGTATTGATTAGAACCTGGTATTCTCCATGGAAAGATAGTCTATGATCCATCATTTTCTCTTAATACTGTGACGAAAGATGCAACTCCATTGTCTTTCACCGATCAATAATTGGTAAATCAACAACGTTCACTGATAAAGAAATCGCCACAATCAAGGATAACAATGAAGATCTAAATGATTTACTGGCCTCTCAATGTCTTTTCTGTGGAGACTTAATGATAGAAAGTATTAATGAACCTTTAATTTCCCCTGATGAAAAAAACATGGCTCTAATTGGATGGTAATCGATAATTAACTTTCTCAACAATCAACTGTAAATATCCCAAAATGATGAAATCACCAAATCGATCGATTTAAATTCCAAGTTTATTGTAATCTTTTTCATTTGTTACTAATCTTAATCAATTATACAAATATTTTCAATAATTGAAACATTGTCAATTTTTCCTCGTTTTTGTTTGGGTGAGAATTGTCCATTTCCTCTTCATTTCTTATTTCTTTTGCGTTTTTTTTCAATGTCTTTATTCAATTTTTCTTGAATTTTTCTCTTCACTTCCAATTTGATTACTATTTGAAAATATAAAAAGAAAACAATTAATATCGATAGAAATTAACAAGAGATTCAACTAACTTTCATCCATTACATCTGGAGTTTTCTCTGCGGTAACATTTTTCCATAATTTAGGTGATTCACAATCAGAATCGTAATAATAATCAACTGATTGTTCTGCATTTTCCATTTTCGTTCTGCGTTTCTGTATAAGATGAGAAAAAATATTTCAATAAATGAATGTTTATGTGACGGCTAAGAAAATTTAAGTGACGATAATTTTTATCACAATTTTTCATAGGTTGTAAAGGTTGATAGAAGTTGATTGGACATTTTGTTAATTCAAACAATTTAACTTTTTCTTAATCTGGAAATTATAATTGTTACAATAAATTGTTGTTCGTTTGATTGTTACTTTTATATTTATTGGTTTTTTTTCTTCTTCTCTCCTTTTTCAGTCTTTAATTTTTTCCTTCAATTTAAAGAAACTTGTCAAACAAAATTGTTTGGCAAGTTTGTGTTTGTTTCTGAACTTGACGAGGCTTGAATCTGACTTAATAAATATTTCTTATTCATTTTCTTTCTTTGTATTGATTAGATCCTGGTATTCTTTATGGAAAGATCTCTATGGAAAGTCTATGATGCATCATTTTCTGAATAAATGTGAATAAAATAAACTAATTACTGATTGTTATTCAGGTTGAAAATAGAAACAATTAGATTACAAGAAGATGTAATTCGAAAAAAAAACTATTGATAATATTATCAAATTAGTTGAAGAACATAAATTGATTATTATTGATAATTTCAATGGATTATCAGTCATTGGTAATTAACTGATTTATAAAACAATTCAATTCAAATTAACAATCAACAATCAACAATTACCATTGATTATTAGAGATTTAAATTTCTAATCTAACCTTGGAGACTCAAGTTCATTCTCGATTTGAGTCTATCACAATCAACCTCATCTTCTCTCAACTGGATTAGTTAATTATGTACCAAGAACAGAATTTAGGACTAATCAATTTCGATTTGAAATCAATTAAAACGAAAAGAATTTAGTGTCGCCATCTAGTGGGTTATGATCGAGCTATCGACCAATCAAGTTCAGAAAACTTGCCAAACAAAATTGTTTGGCCAGTTTCTTTTAGATTGAATTTAGTAATTAGCTCTGCTCAAAACCTCGAGACTGTTTATCCACGCTGATCAAACTAATAGGTTTGATCATTGGTCGGACAATAAGGTTATGATCAGAGCTAATTACTAAATTTAATCACCAATCCTAGATCAACAATCAATTTAAAGAAACTTGCCAAACAAAATTGTTTGGCTAGTTTTCTGAACTTGACGAGGCTTGAATCAAACTTAATAAATATTTCTTATTCATTTTCTTTCATTGTTACAATTTAAATATCATGTTACTGATTGATCAATACGATGAAGAATCATCAATATCATTCACTAGACAATATGGACATTCTTCTGTCCGTCCAAAGGTTGGTTCTTTTTTCTTGCCAAACAAGTAAGTTTGAATAACCTCGAATCAAACTTTATAAATTATTTGAGGCAAAACTTGATTGTTTCTCGAAATTGATTGAGGTTTTGATCAGGCTTATTACGCAAAATAATGATCAATCTGAGATCAGTTATCGACAAATCAAGTTCAGAAAATTTGCCAAACAATCAAGTTTGGTTTCGAATATTTATAAAGTTTGATTTGTGGTTCTCCAAACTTAATTTTCTGGCAAGAAAAAAGAACCAACCTTTGGACGGACAGAAGGATGTCCATTTTGTCTAGTGAATGATGTTGATGATTCCTCATCGTATTGATCAAACAGTAACATGATATTTAAATTGTAACAATAAAAGAAAATAAAAAAATCAAAGGAACAATTAAAATCTAAACAATCAAAATTCAACAGAAATTCAAGTAAACATTAAATTCCTTTAGAAGAGAAAAACTCACTTTTGTATAGATCATTAATCGACAAATCAAGTTCAGAAAACAATCAGCCAATTGCCAAACAATCAAGTTTTGTTTAAAATATTTATAAAGTTTTATTTGAGGTTCTAAATTTAATTGTTTGGCAAGTTTCTTGATATTAAATTGATTTGTTGATTAGTGATCTATAAAAAAGATACAATATACAGTCGGAGAAAATGAGTTTGGCGGTGGTTTGCTATCATTCGCTCACTGTCAAACTCATTTTCTCCGACTGTATACAATATATGATATACAAAAAATAAAAAATAAAAAATATTAAACAAACCTGTTTGTTGGTGATTGATGTTGATGGTTGAAGCTGATGATGATGATGATGATGATGATGATGATGATGATGATGATAATAATAATAATAATAATGATAATAATAATGATGATAATAATAATAACAATAAGGTAAACAACCAGATAATGAGACAACTTGGAAATAGCTTATTTTCACGAATCTGTTATTTTCACATAAATTTTAGTCAAAATAATTTTCACATACAAAAGAAATTGAGTTGTTAGGATATTAGAAGTGTCCGTTTCTCACCATCGATCTTTTAGAGCTGAAAGAAAAACGACTAAGCCAATTGTTAGTCTGAATAATCCAATCAACATGTTCAGCGCTTAACATAAATCGTAAGTTAATCTTTAATTAGCATCTACTTTTTCGACATCCAAATAATTATAATCACAATTAACATGGTCAATATAAATCAGAAAATTGAACTATTCTAATCCACTTCAAGTTCATCTTTCTCTTTGTTCAAATGGATTCTTCGGTTCGTTTCGTAATTAGCTCTTTCGAAAATTTTTAGTACATTTTCTAAGCCATCGGAAGAGATTCCTGGCCTTGATTTCATAATTGATTGTGAGTTGCCTTCAAAGTTGGAGCCTCATTCTTGTGTGTTTGATAATTGTGACGGGATTATGATGCTGAGGAAAATAATTAGGTTAAAACTAAAAAAAGGTTTTGTTTGTGTCAAGTGTCGTAAGAAAATCAATTGGACAAAATTTACAGTTTTCGACAACTCAAAACTGTCGCTGATTATTACTCTAAAATTATTCTGTTGGATTCAAAAAAAAAGTGTATCAATGGCTTCAAGTGATTTAGGACTCAATAAAAATACAATAGTTGAACATTATAAGTTCTTAAGAAAGGTAAATTATTTATATTATTATTTTTATTATTATAACGAACTAAATGTTCAATATTTAGATGTGTCTAGAATCTTTGGTTAATAATAGTGAAATGATCGAAGTGATAAATAAAATCGTAGAAATCGATGAGACAATGCTTTACTGTCGAAAGAACAATAAGGGTAGATTAACTAAGCCCCAAAGGAAACAGGTCTGGGTATTTGGTGGTGTCGAAAGGGAATCGCGAAAAGTTTTCGCTGAAATTGTACCAAATCGAGCAGCTGATACCCTGTTAAATGTTATCAAGAAAAAAAATAGACCAGGTACTTTCGTAAAATCTGAAGGATGGAGAGAATATACTAAACTGAATGAATCTGATTATGCTCATGGATGGGTCAATCATTCAAAAAATTTTCTAAAACCAAGTGATAAATTAATTCATACGCAAACAATTGAGAGACGATGGAGAAGCTTGAAAGAAGCGATTCCGAAGAACTTAAATGTTGACGATAAAATTTATAATATTGAGTATTTATATCGATGCAAATATCATAGGTTAGGTGAGAATGGATTTTCAATTTTTATAAAACAATGAAACATTTGTCAGATTTTAATGAAAAATTAAGGATCAGAGATGATGAAGATTATGTTAATTGTGATTATAATTATTCGGATGAAGAAAAAGTAGATGCTAATTAAAGATTAACATAAGATTTTTGTTGAGCGCTAAATATGTTGCTTGGATTATTTAGTATAAAAAAGTACAATAACAAAGTATGAAATGAACGATATTAAATTGAAATAAAGAATTGTAAAAATTAATCAAAATGAGTTTGAATAAGTTTATATTCAAAACTTACATATTCTAAATTAACTGCTCAAATCACTTCAACAGCTTTGATCTTGTGAATACCATCCTCTTGATTTTTTGGATATGTGAACAAGAAAGAATCAGATCTTGTGTGAAAAACAAAACGAAAATCCAAGCAAACAACTTATCAAATATTGAAAATAGACACACAAAGACAAATAGAAAAATAAGAAAACTTTTGCGACAGAAATCAACGCAAGCAAGAATAGTGATAGATAAACCCATATGGACGGATTTGGACACATATGACAACTATCATATATTAGAATGTACTAAGTACTTGTACTAGTGTTCTAGTACTTAGAACTATATTATCTCATTAGGTTAATTGTTTATGTTAATTGTTTTTGGTATTTAAAAGAAAAAATTAAATTAAAGTTAATTTAGTTTCGAAAACATGAAAAGTATCGATACGAATATCGGATCCCAACAGCTGATCGATATTCTGAAGTTTTCATTTTCTCATCAAAAGTATGGAAAAGTCTATTCGTCCACGAAGTTGTGGACATTTAGCCCCGGCGACTATTTGTCCACAAGTTATAAAACATATAGTTAAATTTTAAATAAATTTGTTAGTCCATCAAGAAGATATTAGTCTTTGATAAATTTTTTTTGAGTTCGAACCTCAAAAATATTTAATTTTTTTAAGACTTTTTATTAATATTTTAATTAACTATTTGTTTGCTAAACAATTAGAGTATCTTATCAGAGATTAAATGAAAAAAAGATACAATTACCTGTAAGGTTTTAAGTTGAATTTTTGGTTCCGAGTTGGAATTGTTATTTTTATTATTGTTAATAATAGTAAACATACACAAATAATTAGTAATTTAACTGAATTAGATGATTAACTGAGTTTCACTATTACACCAGAAAAATGAATTGAATTAGACTTTAATTTATGAACAGAATTCAAAATGATCAACTATCTCAATTGAGATGAAAATTGTTAATAATCTTCAATCTTAAGATCCACTGGTTAAGGTGCCAGAGGATAAGATGAAAAGAAAGAGAGATGAGAAAGAGAGGCAGAAAGAGGAGAAAGAGAGACAAAGGAAATAGCCAACAATCCTTTTGGCCGTTGGTAATAATCATAATTGTTGGCGGATAAGAAAGAAGAAGAGAAAGAAGATTAGTTTTAACTCTATCCCATGTAAATTTACCATAGAGAAAGAAAGAGAAAAGAAAGAGATGCAGTAAGAGAAAAGAAAGAGATGCAGTAAGAGAAAAGAAAGAGATGCAGTAAGAGAAAAGAAAGAGATGCAGTAAGAGAAAAATTATCCAAGTTGATTCTCTTTCTCTACAAGAGCGGATTTCTGTTCATTGTCTTCAGTTTAAAATGAGAGATGATTTTCAAATGGAGAACTGAATTAGCTCAACATTACATTACATACCAATGAAAAATCGTTTTTTAATCAACTAATCAACAAACAATTTTTCATTAATAGATCAATTGTAAATTCGGTTTAGAATTAGACCTTTAGAATTAAGCTGAATAAAATTAATATCTAATTTTTTACTCTTAATTTTGGGTTCTTTTTAGTAACTGTTACTAATAAGATGTTAATCTAATTAACAATTGATCAACTGAATTAAGCTACAATTAAGTCTTAATTGTTAAGTTAATTTAGTTAAGAGATCCGATATTATTCGATTTCAATATCAGATAGGATCAGATACTTCATGTGGACATTTAGGGCTTACATAAAAGGGTAAGACTCAAGATATGTCCGTCAGCTCGATATTTTAACTTTGAGCTGATTTTTTTTCGGCTTAAAGTTTAAGCTACATATGAAAATGGACTTAATTGTTCAGTTAATTGTGTTTGTTTAAATTAGGTTAGGTTAGGTCTTCGCTAATAAGGGTCACTATGACCAAAGAAAGGCCCGGAGGGCCTAAGACAATCAAACCGAACCTTAAGCCGAGAAAAAAATCAGCTCAAAGTTAAAATATCGAGCTGACGGACATATCTTGAGTCTTACCACATAAAAGTATCACCATCTTCATCCTCATCTTTATCTTTCTTTTTCTCTTTCTTATCATCATTCTTTTTACCTCAAACCTGTTGTCATCTTAATTTCTTCTTCTTTTCTCTTCCAACTCATCAACTCTATTTCTCTTACAATCTTATTGTTTTTCTTTTCTCTCCTTCATCATTTTTGGTCTTTTTCTAATCCAAACCATGGGAATAGTTTTTGATATTATTGTTCATCGAAATGTCAGTGAATTTCCCTCCTTAATTACTTATAATTAATCAATTCGATTCTTCTCCGTTATCAAATCGTCATTTGATTCTCACCTGAAACAAGAATAATTCATGGTAAGTGAAAATCTTTGTTTCATAATTGTTTTCTCCTTTAACTACCTTTACCTTGACATTTTTTCTCTCTCTTTTTCTATATAAATGTATTGATTCATCAACACTCAAATTCTAGATTATTGTTCACTTGGAATAATCACCTTAATGATCAAATAGGAACCATGACAGAAACTCCAATCTTAACTCGAAACGCAGAGAACATCAGAAAGATACTTAAAACCGGCGGAAAAGAGATTAAAGATAAATCCAAGACCATTGAGAAAGATGATATTTCCACCCCAAAGAATAACAAAATTGTCACCAATGGATCATCACCAACGCCATCGTCCATCATCAATAAATCAAATAATCTAATTACTAAAGAATCTCAATCAAATGCTAACCCATTCTCATTTACAATTGAAATCAACGTCGTTGCTTGGCTCTTGTTTTTTGTGGCTCTTGGCTTTAGACTTTACCTCATCGGATATCCACCTAATATTGTGTAAGTTAATGCTAACAATTAGCTCATTAACAAGTTACTCAAGCCAATAAGTTAATTACCAAACTGGCTGATCGATTCTCATAAATTTCTACCAAGCTGAACATAATCACCATCATCCAAAAGCCAATTACGATGCAATTATCTCAGAGATTTAAAATTTGATATGTATTTTAATTGGATGATTACGATTCATCTCATGATTCTCATGAAGATAATTACACAATTAATTTGATATTTTCTTAGACTAAGGTCAATCTTTTGAGCTAAAAATCTAATGGATTCAACGAGAACTTGAAATTTTCATTGATAACCTTTTCTTTATTCCATTCCCATTCTTGATTTAAATCACCACAAAGATCATACGTTAATTGTTGACACCTTTCATTATGAGAATATGATTAGATTTAAATTCCTCATTTTTCTGATTGATTCATTGAAATAACTTTTATATTATCATTTTACAGTTTTGATGAATTACACTACGGGAAATTTGTATCTCTCTACATGAAAGGAGTTTTCTATTTTGACTCTCAACCTCCACTCGGGAAACAATTGATCGCTGCAATTGGATATCTTGCTGGTTTCGATGGTAATAACGCTTTCAACGAAATTGGAGGAAGTGAGTATCACCAAGAATCTAAAAATACCACGAAATTTATCAACAATTCGACTGATTTTTTCCCTTTTCCAACCAATAGAATATAATGAGAATGTCCCACTTAAAGTTCTGCGAGCGGTTCCTGCAGTTTTCGGAAGCCTTTTAATCCCGACGATTTATCACCTCATCTCCGAATTGGGATTTAGCCATCAAACTGCAGCTCTTGCTTCGATCTTTGTGATACTTGGTAATTTATCATCTTCTCGATTAAATGGATCAGAGCGGTTATTAATCTTTCGTTTTCTTTTACTCTATTTTGACAGAAAATGCACTTTTAACACAATCGAGATTCATTCTCATGGAAAGTATTCTTCTTTTCATGTCGTTCTTTGGTCTATTTTCTGTTTGTAAACTTCGCAAAAAGCCAATTCTGTCCAAAACTTGGTTACTTTGGCTTCTATCGGCCTCAACTTTCCTTTCATTCGGGTTTTGTGTCAAATTTGTGGGTATTTATTTTCTTTTCGTTGCCATAATCATAATTGTACATGACTTTTGGTGGTTACTCCCGAATCGATCCATTCCAACGGTAAACATACTTATCCTTTTGCTTTATTTCAATATGATTAACTGATTGATTGTTTTCTCACAATTACCTTTGTTTATTTACAGAAAAGCTTATGGTTACAAGCGATTACTTACTTTTTCTTCTTAGTTGTTTGGCCTTTGATTATTTATACTTTTATTTTCTTCGTTCATCTGAGTGTTTTAACTAAAGCGGGTCCTCATGACAATGTAATGACAAGCGCATTTCAAGCGAGTCTTGAGGTAAGAATTTAATTTGATTAGCTAATTGTTGATCCAAGTTACAAGTTAATCTATTATTTTGTTTTTTCTTCTCATTCTTTAGGGTGGACTCGCTTCAATAACCAAAGGTCAACCTCTTGAAATTGTTCATGGATCTCAGGTAACATTACGTCACACTCATGGTAGAACCTGTTGGTTACATTCACATGCTCAAGTTTATCCAGTTAAATACAGCGATGGGCGAGGTAGCAGCCATCAACAACAGGTAACTTGTTACTCTTTCAAAGATGTCAACAATTGGTGGATTGTGAAAAGACCTACAATGTAAGAATCTGTAACTTAATTTTGAATTTACTAATTCTTTTTTGTTACTCTTTGTTAACTCATTAATTGTATTGTTTCATTTTTCTCATCTTTATTTCCATCTCTTTTTAAGTGATGATCTTATTGTTTCCGAACCTCGAGACAAAATTAAACATGGAGATTTTATTCAAATTATTCATGGGATGACTTCGCGAAAGTTAAATAGCCACGATGTTGCTGCTCCAATGTCACCCCAACATCAAGAGGTTTCATGTTACATTGATTACAACATCTCGATGATTTCCCAAGATCTATGGAAAGTTGATCTGCTCAATAAAGATGAAACCGGCGGCTTTTGGCATACAATAAGGTCCAAAGTTCGTCTCGTCCATGTTAACTCTTCTCAAGCTTTGAAGGTAATTTTCTGAGTCAAATTAAAACTAAATCGAATCGATTTAACTGAATCCTTTTCTCTCTCTCTCTCTTTTATAGTTTACCGGTAAATTGTTACCCGATTGGGGATACAATCAACACGAAGTTGTGACCGATCGTATAATTAATCAAGACGATACCATTTGGAATGTTGAGGAACATCGATACACCAAATTAGCCGATCAAAAGGAAAGAGAACGGGATATGGTTGATGCCGAATTCGTTCCCCTTACACCGACATTTCTATCGTTTTGGGAGAAAATGAAAGAACTACAATATAAAATGTTGACCTTTGACCAAGAGAATATTCCTGATCATATGTTTGCCTGTGATTCTCCGCTCGATTGGTTATTTCTCACCAAAGGAATCGCCTATTGGATCGACTCTTCAAGTAACGTACGTAAATTGAAACATCCAAACAAATTGATCAACACAATTAATTGATTATCTTTTTTTCACAACAGTCACAAATCTACTTGATTGGAAATATATTCCTCTGGTACTTATCGTTAATTTCTGTCGCTATCTATTGCTGTCTCGGTGTTTTTTATCTAATACGGAAGCGCCGAAATTACCATGACCTTTCTGAAGGTAATTAATCGATAGATTATTCTTGAAATTTTCTAATAATAACAATTAATTTCTCTTTTTTATTCCTTTTTAATTGTTACAGAAAAATGGACATCATTTAAAAATGTTTTTCTAATTTGCCTGATTGGTTATCTCATCAATTTAATTCCTCACTTTTTGGTTGAAAAAACACTTTTCCTTCATCATTATTTACCATCATTACTATTTAAATTACTTATAACTGCAACTCTATTTGAACATTTAAAGACATTTGTTAATAGCAATTTAATTAACTGTTCAATTGTTGTAATAATCGCAATCACTGTTTACTACTTTACTCGTCTATTGCCCTTAAGCTATGGATCTGGTTCATTAACGATTGAATCAATCGAAAATCTCAAATTACTCAAAACATGGAACTTAATTGTCCACAAATGAAATGGTCACGAATTAAGATAAATAGTTAATTATTTATTTTACTAATTAAATTGTGTCACAATCTTTTCCTCGATTAGAAGCAAATTTAATTTACTCAATGTTTTTTAATCTAAAAACAAACAATTGTATTTATTTTCACTGAAAAAGGTTTATCCAAACAAGAAAATCAAAATTAACAAGATATTTAAATTTCTAAATTGTATTGATTAATTTACAGTAATTACAACAAAATGATAATTACTCTTGGCAAGAAAAATCAAAGTAAACTGATCAATACAAAGAAATCAAATTTTAGTTTATTGCGAAAATTGGATAATTAATTGATTTGATCTTATACAATTAACAAGTTGATTAACTTAAATCTTGTTGATTGTTACAATTGAAAGGCTTTAATGTTTACTAATGATTAATTTGAGCGAGAAAAAAGATTAGCAAGTAAACAATTAACTCTAAATGCATATTGATTGTTGTGATAAATTGATTTCTAATCTGATTGAGATCTTAAATTGTAATTGAATTGATCGTTGATCAAAGATGTTGATGCATAATTAAGATAATTAATGAATATGAGAATGAAAAAATCACATGAAGAATATAAATTATCCAAAGTTGCGATGAATATCCAAGGCCAAATTCCGTTTCTTTGAAACACAATCCGAACATGATTCCGATTTCAATCAGCATGAAAATCCCGAACCCGAAGGGAATGAAAAAAATTTCCATCGTCCGTCCAAATATGGCCATAAATAGGACTCCGATGGACACGGCCATGTACACATACAAAGGTACTTTCATCTTGTGGTGAACGTAATCCCGATAACTCGTTGAGACACTCATGTTACCCGGAAGTAAAATGATCGGAACCATTTGGTTAACTGGTTCAATTAAAGGTTGTGTTAAATTGGTGATTGGACTGATTGTTGGTTTATTGATTATCGGTGAGTAGATTGTCATGTTAGAATCGAGGGTTAAATTGTTTGATCCTTGGGTTTGATTGGTTTGCAATTCGGAAAATAGATCAGTTGTTAGATTATCAATATCACAGAGAGTGGCAACGCTCGAGGCGATGACGAAAACAACGAATCCATATTTTAGCGTTAAAAATGTTCCACTTCGTCTTTGGAATTGGGAATGTTTCTTGTATCGCCTCAGGTTTTTCTTGATCAATGGACTTCGTTGGGGTTGACCGATTATCGGTGAAAATGTTAAAAGTTCAGTTTCTTGGTGAATTAAAGGTTCCAATGTATTGATTGGTCTGATTCGATCACGAGTTAAATCAAATGAACCCATTGATTTGGATTAGGGAAACTCCAATGGTAACGGACGGAAGTTTGAATCAATTGATGGACGAAATCAGGTCAATGTTGCTCGTGTTTGTTTCGAGGAGACATTTTAATCGAAGTCATTGATCACAGTACAATTTACACAATCTTCATGTCCAAAATTGTCGTCGATTTCTGTAAATGTTTAAAACGATGATAATCAATTAGTTGATTGTGGATCGAGAGTTGAAAATTATGAGAAATTCAAATGTAAACAAATCGTATTTACCTGATTAGTGATTCTCTTAACCATTGATTTGATCGACGAATATTGTTGCTCAAAAATCAATAGGAAAAGAGGAAGAAAGGAAATCAGTGAAGAAAGTGGGAAAAAATTCTGTCAAATTAACTTATAGAATAAGAAAATCAATGAATTGAGTTAACATGAACTCCCAAAGATGTCAATCAAATCAGCGAAAAATTTTCCAACAATTTGCTTACCAATAGCAAATCACTTTCTCCCAATACTTGATAAAGTAAAACAACAAAATAAGCCAATAAATTAGAAGCAAAAATCAATAGAAAATCGATTGTCTTGAAAATTAACTAATCCTAATAGAAAAAATCCAACAATTAAAAAAGTAACTTTGATTTACTCTCAAAGAGCTCAACCTTTACATTGAACAACAGAACATTGGATTGGTCTCAGATTAACATTTTTTCAATGTTTCTGATTGGAAAACTAAGTGTCTAGTTTTTATTTGGATTAACTTGATTACGATTAATTATTGCTCGATTTAGATAATTTAGCCTTTGTTTAGGCTATTAGATTAATCTATCTGAATGGATATTTTGAAATTATCTTTCATTCAATCTATTCTTTTCCTCGTTTATCTTGACCAGGTTTCTACTTTCCCTGATCCAGGCAAATGGAGTTTCTCTGTCAACAAGGTAATTGTTTTTTTCCACATGAAATTATTTTCTCTAACCATTTGCACTATTAATTTAATTACTTTTACTGATATTCTCTCATCTCTCTATTGTAGCAAAAATGCCACTACTTCAACGTTCATAAGGTTCTTTACAAAGATTCCAAAGTCTCTGTTAAAGGTAACAATTTTCCATTTCTTTTTCTCTGTTTTTTTCATATTCTTCCATGTTTTGATGTTTACAGATGATATTCTGTTTTAAACGAATTTTGTTCATTTCTAACTCATGTATTCTCATCTAATCTCTTTTACTACTCTAGTTCATTGTGATCCTGGGCCTGGTTCATCTAAAGATATGAAGATCAAAGTTGGTTATGTTATAAGGGAATCTCCATGTTTTGAGGAATACGTTGGACCTCAACTGCTGGTCAGTAGAATTGGTCCAATTATTATCAATTCGTTAAATTTGAATCGATATTAATCTTTTATTTTTCTTCTTTTTCATCTGAAATAGAGTTTCATAGCAAACTATTATAACTGCCCTTATCAAGTATTTGCAGATTTTGATTACAATAGCACGAATTACTTAAAAACTGAGGAAAAAGTGGTTACTTGTGATCATCTTGTTGACGAAAGTTTAAAAGTAAACAACATCTTCTTCACTCGACTCATCATTAACTTGGCTTCAAGATATTCTTTGTTTGTTAATCATTGACTCATATTGTTTTCTTCATAGATCATAAATGGTCAATTTTCCACTTCTTCCATTAACAACACTGGAACTTGTCCTTCTATATTATGTGAAAGTTCACCTTCTTCGATATTTTTTGACCAAGAACTAACTGACAATGACAATACTTTCAACGCAATTTCTAAAAGATCGATCGATTCTCCACCACTTCAACAACTCAAGAACGATGTAAAGAGATCTCCATCCAAGGTAACTAACACCTACTATTTACCATAATAAGCATCGTTGAAATGGTCAATTTTATGACAATTTTTCTCCTCATTAGATTGACGGATCAATTACTATTCCATCTGATGGAGTTTACTTGCTTATAGTCTATTTATCAGCTATTGAATTAAACGATACTTTCAACGCTATTGGTAAGTTGTAACTCATATCACAATCACATCGAATGTTAATTTAACTGAAATTTACTTATCCTTTAGTTGATCTGGAAATGAAAGGGACAAATGGTTACCTATCAGCTGACGAATGGCCACTCTTACCTTTCTATGGAGTGATGTCAATTGTTTATTTTCTTTACGCTGTCGGCTGGTTGATCGCTTCTGCTATGCAATGGAGAGACCTCTTGAGAATACAGTTTTGGATCGGTGGAGTTTTATTCTTGGGAATGTTAGAAAAGGCTATTTTTTACGCTGAATATCAATCTATTAATTCCACTGGTCGATCCGTCAAAAGTGCAATTCTTTTAGCTGAATTGATCTCATGTCTTAAACGTACCTTAGCCAGAATGCTTGTACTAATAGTTAGTCTCGGTTTTGGAATTGTAAAGTGAGTGTTTATCTGTCATTTCTTTTGTCCAATTGATTAATTTTCTACTTTTTTTTACCTCTAGACCGAGATTAGGTCCTATGCTCCTTAGAGTTGTTTGTTTTGGTGGACTTTTCTTCACAGCGAGCGCTCTTGAGGCAATGCTACGTGTCTATCGAGTGAGTGAAGGGAAAGACTCAAGATAATTTCGTCAGCTCGATATTTTCAATTTTCAGCTGTTTTTTTCGGCTTGCGGTTCGGTTTAATTGTCTCAGGCCCTTCGGTCTTTGGTCACGGTGACCCTTATTAGCGAAGACCTAACCTTATTTAAAAAAATACAATTAACAGAACAATTAAGTCCATTTTCATCCGTGGCTTGAACTTAAAGCGAAAAAAAATCAGCTCACCCGACTGATGAATCTATTTTTGTTTTTGAATTCTTATTGAATTAGTTGATAACTTGTTATGATCTCTATTTTTTTTCACAGCCAAAAAATTACCAAACTGATCAAAACTTGATGGCTGGTATTCCTGTACTCGTTTTGGACTGTATAATTTGTTGGTGGACATTAAACTCACTCGTTAAAACTATGAGAAGATTAAAATTACGTCGGAATCGAGTCAAACTCAAGTCCTATCTAATTTTTACCAATACCTTAGTTTTTGCTGTTCTTGGTTAGTGATTAACATTTTTGCTCAATCATTTAACCATGTTACTAATTTCTACTATTGATATTTTCCTCTGTAGCAACTACTGTATACCTGATTTGGGGTACTTATAATATTATATCCACCAAATGTATGACCGAATGGAATCAATTATGGTTTGATATCGCTTTTGGGATGTTCTTTTTTCAATTGTTCTTCTCGTAATTATGATTCTTTGGAGGCCTACAAATAACAATCAACGTTACGCATTCACACCTCTTCTAGATGCAAGTGATGATGAAGATGATCTGAGTGATCAAGTTGTTATTAACGAAATATTTGGTATGTTGATAATCAGTTGTTAATCTTTGCTTTCTAATTGCTAATTTGATTTTGGTTTTGTTATATTTATTATTTAGAAGGAGTCAAAATGAGACAACAATCTTCCGGATCTTCATCTAATCATCAACATAAAGCCAAAGATGCAATTCTTGATGCCGAGGCAGGAGATCTCAAATGGGTTAAAGAAAACATTCCTCTTCTCTCGTTGTGTGAGTTAATTGTCATCAATCAAATTAACAATTTATCTCTAATTATTCCCAATCAACTAATCATTTTCTTTCCATTCCTCTCATATGTCTTATTCCTCCTCAGGGCTTTACCGACGCTCATTGATTCAGATGAAGTAAGTTTCCAATATAAACATTCATCAATAATTATTAACTTTTGTTATTATTATTATTATTATTTTCTAGGAAAAAAAGCCAAGTAAATTTGAAAGGAGTAAAATGGAATGAAAATACAAAGAAACCAAATTTAAAGTAATCAAATTTTAGTTTATTGCGAAAATTGGATGATTAATTGATTTGATCTTTTACAATTAACAAGTTGATTAACTTAAATCTTGTTGATTGTTACAATTGAAAGGCTTTAATGTTTACTAATGATTAATTTGAGCGAGAAAAAAGATTAGCAAGTAAACAATTAACTCTAAATGCATATTGATTGTTGCGATAAATTGATTTCTAATCTGATTTAGATCTTAAATTGTATCTGAATTGATCAAAGATGTTGATGCATAACTAAGAAAATTAATGAATATGAGAATGAAAATTCACATGATCATATGTTTGCCTGTGATTCTCCACTCGATTGGTTATTTCTAACCAAAGGAATCGCCTATTGGATCGACTCTTCAAGTAACGTACGTAAATTGAAACATCCAAACAAATTGATCAACACAATTAATTGATTATCTTTTTTCACAACAGTCACAAATCTACTTGATTGGAAATATATTCCTCTGGTACTTATCGTTAATTTCTGTCGCTATCTATTGTTGTCTCGGTGTTTTTTATCTAATACGGAAGCGCCGAAATTACCAGGACCTTTCTGAAGGTAATTAATCGATAGATTATCCTTGAAATTTTCTAATATTAACAATTAATTTCTCTGTTTTATTCCTTTTTAATTGTTACAGAAAAATGGACATCATTTAAAAATGTTTTTCTAATTTTCCTGATTGAAGAAAATCGAATTGTCTTGAAAATTAACTAATCGAAAACAAATCCAACAATTAAAAAAGTAACTTTGATTTACTTTCAAAGAGCTCACCCTTTACATTGAACAACAGAACATTGGATTAATCTATAACAAGATAAAATTAAAGATGAAAAACCAAGATTCAAATCAATCACGAAATAAATCAATTTTTTAATTTAGTTTTCTAATCACAATCATTAAATTTAATTCTAAATTTGCCGTGAGAATAGCAACAAGTGTCTATTTATCGAGCAAAAACCGGGTAACCATAGTTACTCATTGGTCTCAGATTAACAATTTTTTTGTCAATGTTTCTGATTGGAAATCTAAGTGTCTAGTTTTTATTTGGATTAACTTGATTACGATTAATTATTGCTTGATTTAGATAATTTAGCCTTTGTTTAGGCTATTAGATTAATCTACCTGAATGGATATTTTGAAATTATCTTTCATTCAATCTATTCTTTTCCTCGTTTATCTTGACCAGGTTTCTACTTTCCCTGATCCAGGCAAATGGAGTTTCTCTGTCAACAAGGTAATTGTTTTTTTCCACATGAAATTATTTTCTTTACCCATTTTCACTATTAATTTAATTGTTTCTCCAATTCAATTGCTATTACTGATATTTTCTCATCTTTACATTGTAGCAAAAATGCCACTATTTCAACGTGCATAAGGTTCTTTACAAAGATTCCAAAGTCTCTGTTAAAGGTAACAATTTTCCATTTCTTTTTCTCTGTTTTCTTTTTTGTTCATTTTCATATTCTTCCATGTTTTGACGTTTCAAGATGATATTTTGTTTTAAACGAAATTTTGTTCATTTCTAACTCATTTATTATTATCTTATCTCTTTACTACTCTAGTCCATTGTGATCCTGGGCCTGGTTCATCTAAAGATATGAAGATCAAAGTTGGTTATGTTATCAGGGAATCTCCATGTTTTGAGGAATACGTTGGACCTCAACTGCTGGTCAGTAGAATTGGTTCAATTATTATCAATTCGTTAAATTTGAATCGATAATAAACTTTTATTGCTCTTATTTTTCATCTGGAACAGAGTTTCGATTTCATTGGATATTATTATAACTGCCCTTATCAACTATTTGCAGATTTTGGTTACAATAGCATAAATTACTTAAAAACTGAGGAGAAAGTGGTTACTTGTGATCATCTTGTTGACGAAAGTTTAAAAGTAAACAATATCTTCTTCACTCGACTCATCATTAACTTGCTTCAAGATATTCTTTGTTTGTTAATCATTGACTCATATTGTTTTCTTCATAGATCATAAATGGTGAATTTTCCACTTCTTCCATTAACAACACTGGAACTTGTCCTTCTATATTATGTGAAAGTTCACCTTCTTCGACATTTTTTTACCGAGAACTAACTGACGATGACAATACTTTCAATGCAATTTCTAAAAGATCGATCGATTCTCCACCACTTCAACAACTCAAGAACGATGTAAAGAGATCTCCTTCCAAGGTAACTAACATCTACTATTTACCATAATAAGCATCGTTGAAATGGTCAATTTTATGACAATTTTTCTCCTCATTAGATTGACGGATCAATTACTATTCCATCCGATGGAGTTTACTTGCTTATAGTTTATTTATCAGCTGTTGAACCAACAGATACTTTCAACGCTATTGGTGAGTTGTAACTCTTATCACAATCACATCGAATTTTAATTTAACTGAAATTTACTTATCCTTTAGTTGATCTGGAAATGAAAGGGACAAATGGTTACCTATCAGCTGACGAATGGCCACTCTTACCTTTCTATGGAGTGATGTCAATTGTTTATTTTCTTTACGCTGTCGGCTGGTTGGTCGCTTCGGCTATGCAATGGAGAGACCTCTTGAGAATACAGTTTTGGATCGGTGGAGTTTTATTCTTGGGAATGTTAGAAAAGGCCGTTTTTTACGCCGAATATCAATCTATTAATTCCACTGGTCGATCCGTGAAAAGTGCAATTCTTTTAGCTGAATTGATCTCATGTCTTAAACGTACCTTAGCCAGAATGCTTGTAATAATAGTTAGTCTCGGTTTTGGAATTGTAAAGTGAGTGTTTTTTTGTCATTTCTTTTGTCCAGTTGATTAATTTTCTACTTGTTTTTACCTCTAGACCGAGATTAGGTCCTATGCTTCATAGAGTTGTTTGTGTTGGTGGACTTTTCTTCACAATGAGCGCTCTTGAAGCAATGCTACGTGTTTATCGGGTGAGTGATGAATCTATTTTTGTTTTTGAATTCTTATTGAATTAGTTGATAACTTGTTATGATTTCTATTTTTACACAGCCAAAAAATGACCCAACTAATCAAACCTTGATGGCTGGTATTCCCTTAGCCGTTTTGGACAGTATAATTTGTTGGTGGATATTTAGCTCACTCGTTCAAACTATGAGAACATTAAGATTACGTCGGAATCTAGTCAAACTCAATTCCTATCGGATTTTTACCAATGCCTTAATTTTTGCTGTTCTTGGTTAGTGGTTAACATTTTTGCTCAATCATTTAACCATGTTACTAATTTCTACTATTGATATTTTCCTTTGTAGCATCTATTGTATTCATGATTTGGGTTATTCATAATCACAAATTCACCAAATGTATAACCGAATGGAATCAATTATGGTTTGATATCGCTTATTGGGATGTTCTTTTTTCAATTGTTCTTCTCGTAATTATGATTCTTTGGAGGCCTACAAATAACAATCAACGTTACGCATTCACACCTCTTCTAGATGCAAGTGATGATGAAGATGATCTGAGTGATCAAGTTGTTATTAACGAAATATTTGGTATGTTGATAATCAATTGTTAATCTTTGTTTTCTAATTGCTAATTTGATTTTGGTTTTGTTATATTTATTATTTAGAAGGAGTCAAAATGAGACAACAATCTTCCGGATCTTCATCTAATCATCAACATAAAGCCAAAGATGCAATTCTTAGTGCAGAGGCAGAAGAAGATCTCAAATGGATTGAAGAAAACATTCCCTCTTCTCTCGTTGATGCGTAAGTCAATTGTCATCAATCTGATTAACAATTAATCTCTAATTATTCCCAATCAACTAATCATTTTTCTTTTCATTCCTCTCATATGTCATATTCTTCCTCAGGGCTTTACCGGCGCTCATTGATTCAGATGAAGTAAGTTCCAATATAAACATTCATCAATAATTATTAACTTTTATTATTATTATTATTATTTTCTAGGAAATAATGTCAACTAAATTTGAAAGGAGTAAAATGGAATGAGCTTACAATTTAAATCTACTAATTATCAACAAATACACAGAGTTTGCGAATCAAAACTTGACGATTAATGAATTTCATCTTGATGATTATTAACTTTTCTGATTCCGTCTCTATCAACCATTTGATTAATTAATTTTCAATCATTTATCCTCCTTCTCATCACCTTCAATTATATACATAGAAATACATTGTAATTAATCACAGAGAGATAATTGTTTTCTCTGTAAAAAAAACACAACAACATCAACGACAATTAAAAATCCAGTATCTCTCATTACACACAAATCAATATCGTAATCAACTGGATTAGATTGAAACAACAATCAATCTAATAGTATTTATCCTCTTCTCTCTCTATAATTTGTATCTGACTGTGATATATTTTCTCAGCCTATTAATAACAATTAACGATTTTATAACAATTAAAACGAGTTATTATAAAACAAAACCGAATCATTATTATCAAATTTCCATAACATAACATTGAATTTAGAAAAACATAAACTACAATTAACTTTTAAACGAGCATTTCAATAGATGGCAGTTGAATATCAGATTGTTGATTAATCTAAAAAAAGGAACCAAATGAACAGAGTCTGTCATGTTTATCTCATGCTCGCTGATTCCTAATCTCGAGCGATATTCATTTCAATATCTTCCCATGTTTCACATCTTAAATCCACATTTAATCTTAATCTTCACCTAAAACCAATTAAATCAATTCTAAACTAAAATCGATCAATTTGTTAAAACTTTGATTGATTATCTTAAATAAAGTCCAGCAATCGGTCTAATAAAATAACATCAACAAAATCGCATCGGTTTAATATCAACAGTGAATGAGAATCAAAAACATTAACAATAACTGATTAATTATCGTGCTAATTGTTGAGGTTTTTTCTTTGATTGTTTGAAAATTTTCAATTTCTATCAACACATAAGATGTGATCGACATGATTTACCTGGAGAATTAACTTAGACAGACAACAATTTAGAGCAAAGGTAAGTAAATGTTTTCCATGTTGTTCAGTGAATTTCAATTCCATGATAAAATCCAATATTCACTAACCCAAAAAGAACCCAAAATATAACCAGAGGTGAAAAGAAAAGTATATTCACCAATTTGACCTAAAAAAGAATCAAAATAAGTGAAAATCTGCTTTTTTCTATCATCATTTTATCTTCTTCCTTTCTTTGTCATCCTCATCATCTTTATCTCTCTCTCTCTTCCTTTTATCTTCATCACTCTTCCAGCATTTTCCTCTTCCACTGCTCTCTGTTGCTCCAATTCAATCCAATATCATTTACCATGTGGAATTCATGTTCTAAATGTCTAATTGTTGATTCTAATTAAACTAATTACTATACTTTCCATTGGTTTCCAATCAATTTAATTGATCATCTCAACTCTTACCTAGACCTTAAATTACTAGAAAACTGGATCAATATTAATCATGAAACTCATATGATTCTGAGAGTGTGAAAACCACGTTTTTTTGTACCATTCATTCATCACCAACAATCAATGACTACAATTAGCGAATCAAATTTTTTAGATCCTCTAATTACTTGATATTATCTAATTAAACTAATGGCCAATTGTTTCCAATTGTCTAGTTGTAATAAGATAATTAATTCCAGTCAGTTCATTGAACTTTCGTAAGGGATGATTGATTTTCTTAATGGTAAATATTGAAAAAAACCATCTAAAGGTTTACCTTTGTACTTTTGTCTCAATCAAAAGTAATCCAGTTAAAAGATTTAGAATTAAATTGTCGATATCAATCAATATCAGTCTAAATTGTCAGCGAGTCTGTTTTACCGAAAAATTAACAGCCACAATTAGATTAATACTATTAACTCTTTCCATCCATTAATCATTACGATAGAATATGAGAAACAATTAATTCATCTGACAGAAATTCGGATTTGATTAATTGTAACAATTTAATCTCAAGTGTTAATCCTAATCAGCGATGTTGATAATTTCTCTTTGTTTCTCTCTCTCTCTCTCTCTCTCTCTCTCTCTCTCTCTCTTAATCTTTGTTTCTAATCTTCTCTCTTTTCTCCATCCTCATCTTTGTCTCTTTGTCGTTGTTATGGAAACTGTATGACAATTTTGGGAAGAAGAAGATGAAGAAGAAAAGGAAGAGAAGAAAACGATGATGATGATAAAGAAAGTAAGAGATGAAGATTAGCTGATTGTTGGTGAACTCTCATTCGTTTGTAACCATATCAGGTTCGTTCTTATGATGAGGTTGGTGTATTTTTGCCTCATCAAGTTGAAAACATTCACCTAGACAAACGAAACCTTGTGATCTCCATCTCCATCTCCATCCTCATCCTCATCCTCATCTTCATCTTCATCTTCATTCTCATCTTTCTTTTCCTATTTTTCTCCCTTCCAGTATCTTCATCTTTCCCTCCCTTCCATGTTTTTTTTGTTACAATTTCATTCATCTTTTCAGAGTAACGGTTTTTTTACAGTTACTTTCAGTCATCTGAACAATTCAAACAATCCCAATGGTTGAAACGAGAGAGACAGACTAGATAATTATTTAATCAATGAAAGTTATGTTAACTGTAATTAACCGTTTGCCGACTCTCCCATTGTCTCTATCACTCATTTGATTACCACATTGATCATGTTAATTAATCATTTTAAAGCTCATTCGTTTTACTCATATTAATATAATTTTTTCCTTTTTCTCTTCTTCTCTCTTTCTTTTTATCATTATCATCTCAGATCCTCCTACGCATAAATATCGACCTTTACTATTTCCTTTTCCTTTTACTACTTTTCTCTCTCTCTCTCTCTTTCTCAAACTACTTTCTTTTTGTTCCTATCTCGAACTTTTTATCTTCTCCCTTTTCATCTTTATCCATGATTTATTCATCATTATCTTTACTACTATTACTATTATTGTAACATGATGATAATTGATGAGGAGTCCGAAAATGGGAACAAAATGGCAACCGATGCCTTCCGTAAGTAATCAAATCCATTTGTTAATCTCATTTAATCATCTCCAACCAGTGGCATCTTAATCATTCATTTAATTGACCATAAAATCACTTCAATCAATAAGAATAACAAGAAAATCTCATTCATTGGCAAAAACCACCGATAACCAAGTCAATAATAATAATAACTGTTGATCCTTTCGTTAATTGTTAACAGTAACTTCTGAGGACGGCATTTGCTGCCGGATTAAATCAACGATGAACAATGCCAATCCCTTTAAACCGTCCGTTCCTCAAGTAAACAACAAAGTAACTGAATTGGTTGGCCTTAAACGGAGAGTTGGCCTGCTCTCTGGTACAGCTTTGATCGTTGGCACTATGATAGGTAAGCAAATTCACAATCAACCTGAATTGATTTTCTAATTGTTGACGATTAACATGTAATCAACTTAATCCTACAACCTATTATTGTAACAAATCAAGTTTCAACCAATTGCTTGTCTATTTATTACTAATGTTAATTGTTTTTACACAATCATCAGATTATGTAGCGACTTAAAAAGTGAGATTGATTAAGTTGGCAATTTACCAATGGCAAATTGTACAATTAACACTAACAATTAACTTGAGAACAATATATAAATTAGTTAACTAACAATAACTACATTTATACACGGTTAGTTTACCTCGAAACTAATACAACCACTTAATTTACTTGAATGATATATTTAAATCATTATCCCGATAACGATTTATGATTAGTGATTTACCTTATAATCAAAAATTAAACAAATCAATCAACTTTTTAATATCAGTTGTCTCATGTTAATCAATTGAATCAATTTCACATTGAAATATTATCTTTATTTTCCCATAGGTTCAGGTATTTTTGTCTCACCCAAAGGTGTACTCCAAAGATCTGGTTCAATAGGGTTAAGTTTAATTGTTTGGACAAGTTGTGGGATAGTTTCGTTGCTTGGTGAGTGATTAACTCTACAATTTACTATTTTTATCACAATTATAACGGTTTACAATCAAGAGAAAGAAAAAAACAAACAAACCAAATCGATCAACTTAAAGGAAACATTGTCTAAACAACTTCCTCATATTTACTCTGTCATTACAATTAACTTGATATTTTCATTTTTAATACAACATATTGACCTCAACAATTGATCATTGTAACCAAATTAACGATAGAATAACAATTAAATAATAATAATCACCTATTCTTAGCTTTCTAACTTTGGTAATATTATCAATCTCCAAATTGATGATCACTTTTATCGAGTCGATTTAATCATTTTTCTCAATTGTTATTGATCATTATCTTTACTATTCTTTAGGTGCTTTATGTTATGCTGAACTTGGAACTTTAATTACTAAATCAGGAGCTGAATATTCATATATTTTGGAAGCTTTCGGTGGTCTTCCAGCATTTCTTTTCTCATGGGTCTCTGTGTTCATCTTAAAACCCGCCATGTTGGCGATTATATGTCTTACATTAAGTGAATATGTTGTATCACCTTTTTACCTTGGATGTGAACCCGATCTCTTTATAATTAAGTTAATCACAATTCTGGCCATTGGTAAGTAAAATTGATCCATAATCATGATCCCAATGAAAAGTTATTGAAACTTTTATAAACTCATCTTCGAGCTGAAAGCATTTGGTTAAACATTTGATTCCAATTTTCTGTTCAATGTAATCAATTGATTGCTGATTGACAATCAATAAATTGTAAATCAAATTCACATAAGACATTCAAACAATTGATTAGCAATTTATATTATTAACTTTGAGTTATCAAAGTTGAACTTAACATGATGATAACAATAATTCAGTTCTAACTGAATAAAGTTAACGGTAAATTTAAATGTTTCAACAAGGTTAATATTAACGTCATTAGATTAATCTACTAACTGATGGAAGACAAAGAGGAAGAGGAGGATGACAAGTGAGAGAGATGACAGATGATGGAGACACGAAAAAGACATTGATGATATACTGATTGTCCATGTTAATGGTCATTCTAATAACTAAATCAAGAATATCGGTAGTTTTATGTTACATTATTGTTCACCAAGAAACGATCAACAATCATGATTCAGAATTTTTTTCATGATCATTGTTGATTGTGATAACCAAAGAAATGAATATGATACCATTTCCATTTAATGGTAATAATAATAATCGAGTTTGATAGTAATAATAATAATCTGTTTGTCTATTTACATTCATATTGATGATGAGTTTTCTTTACCTTCATTTACAGATTGAGAATGTGATAAGTTTAATATTAGCTGAATATTGAATTGAAAATGAAAGTCGATTATTATTTTCAGGGTGATCTTCATCTTCCTCACCATCAACCTGAATAATATTATTTTTCACTCCATGAGAATCCATTTCCATCCCATGAGTCTTTCCATTCTCAGAATCAGAATCTCAAACAAATTTCCTGATGCGTGATACCAATTTAATCGTTGCTGGTTTTCATTATTTGATCATCGTCATCATGATAAGTAAGATGATGATGGTGATGATGATGATGATGATTACTTATCCATCTCCCACCATGAAGATTGTGATGAGAGTGATAACTGTTTTTACCGTTATTCCTCTTGCTTGGTGATTACTTTTTTTTTCACTCTCTTCTAATGTTGTTAATGATAGTTGATTGATTTCTGATAATATTTGTTAACAATCAGTAAATTGGATCAACAATTTATACTCTCTAAGTGTCCGCTAATTTACATTCATCTTGATTGTTAATCATCTTGTTCTAGTTCACTGATTACTATTCAATGTTTACAACAATCAAGATCAGCTGATTATTATTTACGCTTTTCTAGTTTCCACCTTTTCTCATTACCAACAATCAGTTTTAATTCAGTTCGCAAATACTATCAACAGTTAATTTCGATTTCTTTTAGTTGATTGTTAAACTTTTTTTTTAACTCCAATCTAAATTCTGTTCAGATGTTAATCATCCTATTTCTAAATCAATGATTACTAATGTTTATCGAACATCAATCAATCAGTTAGTCTAATAGTTTGATGTCTTTTATTGATTCTCATGATGATGGTCCTTTTAATTGTCTGATTGTCATTGATTATTTTATTATTATATTTTCTTGATTACAGTAACCATTACTTATCTAAATTGTCATAGTGTCTCACTTGCAACTGGAACTCAAAATGTTTTCACCGCCGCTAAATTAATTGCAATCATTATAATTGTGATCGGCGGATTGATTGTGATATTCAATGGAGAGACTCAATATATTACTAAAGGATTTGAAGGATCTCATTTTTCATTCTCAGATATTGCCACCGCTTTTTACAGTGGCCTTTGGGCCTACGATGGTTGGTAAGTTTGATTGAATTACACTGATCAGGTCAACAATTAGGCTAATCACTTTTCTATTTCCATTCCCCAGGAATAATCTCAATTATATAACAGAGGAACTGATCAATCCTTACAGGTGAATATCACTCGACCAATCGATAGTTTTTCTTTATATCTGTAAATAAATACAATACTTTGATTTCATCATTCTAATTGTTTATCATTTTCTTAATTGTCAGGAATCTTCCATTAGCAATTATTTATGGTATTCCAATGGTTACATTGTGCTATGTTATGGTTAACGTTTCCTACATGACGGTTATGTCAACTAATGAGATACTTTCGTCCAAAGCAGTTGCTGTTGTAAGTTAATCACAATCAGTTTAATTGAAGAATTTGGAACAATTTAATTTGATTTGTAACATTTTTTTCCGCAAAAGAATTGGGGAGCTCGAGTTCTTGGCTCAGCTTCAGTTATCATGCCGATTGCCGTTGCTGTTTCATCCTTTGGTGCTGGAAATGGTTCATGTTTTACCAGTGGAAGGTAATATTTTAATCAAAACCCTACTCAACAATTAACTAATCACTTGTTAAACTCTCACTACCATTCATAGATTATCGTTTGCCGCTGCCAGAGAAGGTCATTTGGTTGACGTTTTGTCTTTCGTTGATTTTCACCGTTTCACACCTTCACCGGCATTAATTTTCAATGTAAATCGAAACGATGGAACTTTCCAAAATCTAATTGTTCTCAGTTGATTAACTAATTGTTTCTCTATTCTTTCCCATCTACCAGGCATTTCTTTCTATCTGCTATGTTATCCCAGGAAACATCGAGAGTTTAATAGATTTTTTCAGTTTCACCGCTTGGCTATTTTACGGCTTAACGATGTTATCACTTGTTGTACTTCGTTACAAGAGTCCATATAAAGATTATAATCGTCCCTATAAGGTAAATTATCTTGGAAAATATCAAGTTAATTGCTCATTAATTGCAATCATTTCCACAGGTTCACTTAAGTATACCCATTGGAGTATCATTTATATCTTTCTACCTCGTGATCGCTCCGATTCTTGAAAATCCTCAGATTGAATATCTTTACGCCACCATGTATATTGTTGGAGGAGCTTTTGTTTACATACCATTTGTTTATTATAAGATGAGATTTAAATCAATTGGTGAGATTAATTGTCTTCTATTCTAATTGTGATCATGGAAAATTGAGTAATTAATGTTGTTTTTATTATTCTCATTCTATCCTCGTCTAGATCATATCACCATTTTTTGCCAAAAACTGTTGCATGTTGTTCCTAGTGATGAAGAACCATTATTGTAATTGCAACATTGTTGATCAGTTAATTGTCGAAAGATTTGCTATCATAATTGGTTGATCATTGTTGATAATTGTCGTTCGTACATTGATCACATCGGATGGTGATAATACAAATGCAATCAAAGGATAAACTTGACAATTATTATAAAAAAAAGTTCAATTGTTTGCGAATTAATCAAATTATTAATATATAAGAAAAAAAGTACGAAAAATTAACTTTAATTTATCTACTGATGACAATTAAAACGAAATGAAACATATTTACAATTCAGACCAAAGAAATTACTTTAAATTGTAATTGAATTTTGTGTTTGACGAAATCTATGACAATTTAAATTTAATTATAATAATTAAGCAGCTCAATTGCAATAAAATGAACGAAATGAGAATCGAAAAATTTATAAGAATCTTTTTTTTTATTTCAATTGATTGAAAACAATCGAGATCCAAGAAAAGGTCAACTTAGGCCATTTCGGTGAGATTGAATGAAACGGATTCGAGGACAATCTTGTCCAATACAGAAAACATTAAAAAAATCAAATGGGACTACAAATTTATCGATTAATTAACATCGAGGTATTAACATTTTCGAGACCCTGACCAGTCCATGTTTTCTTGTCCAATGGCTTAGGAATACTAAACCAGGATATTATTCAATCATCTGACCAATCAACGGGAACGATTTTATCGAGTTGTCGTTCACCTCCCTCTGAATTATCATGATAATAAATTTCTGATCGGCATCAATGCTGAACAATTTAACTACCAGTCTATGATAATATCGATATAAAGTTCTTGATTCAGTTATTGATTTACGAAGGCATAACGAAGGCTTTGCCGACGTTTGGACAGTCGATTTTGAGATTATCCTGGTTGATTTTTCGATTGTTAAATTTATTAATAATTACAATTTGTTGTTTTGTTTATTTGAATTTGGCGTTTATATTATTGAACAAATCTGTTTCAGTTAATTGTAACCAAATGATTTGTATAGATTTTCATTATTAGCTAAATTGCGATAAAGATCTGAACATTCAAGTAGAGCTACTTGACCTCCAAGAGTGGCCGGTAGTAAGGTTGGATCTTGGATTGTCTGTTCAAGGTATTGGTAATCTGAGCCATGGAAAGTTACTCGAGATCTGAGATGTTCACTGAGAAAAGGTCGAATCACAGCCCAGGCCATTTCAGCGATTCGAGATTGATTGAAAATCATGACACCATTAACTCGAGTTGGTACAACTTTTTCCAATACTGTGGCCAGTTTCTTGGCGGCCATTGGACCAAAGTGTTTCAATTGTTTCCAACCAAACGAATCCATGTCTGAGATCAGTAAAACTCCCGCTTTTTGTGTCTCCGAATCCAAGGCCGCTTGTTCAAAGGTAATTAACGCTGCCGACAAGAGGCCGTCAAAGTTAAATGAGCTTGGATTCCAATAACCAGGCTTAAATAGCACCAAAGCCTCACCCACTTTCGACCGAGTGTCCAACAGTCGCATAACATTGGCATCGAAAACGGGCTTCAATCGGTACGGAAGGTTGAAAATATTTGGATTCGCACCCTTGTAGTCCAGGTAACTTTTCATTAGGGTCACGGTTGAGGTCACATCTGATGATCTTGCTCGAAGAAATTTGATCAAATACTCAGGTTGATCGACGAGTGGCCTTATTCCGATCTTTGTTAACTCAGCTCTTAATTGTTCAACTTTTTCGGTCAACTCGTTTTCCATCTTGCAATTAATTATTCACAATTTAATCAACATCACAATAAAATAATTTCAATACTAATAAATTTCACCACAATCAACGTAACAATTTGTTAATTATGCTCTTCCGAGAGCTCACAATCAACTATGTGATTGTTGATTGTGAATCTAATTCAATTGTTTTTATCACTAATCAACAAAGTAGATTAACTCAATTGACAAAGATAAGAATGACCTAATTGTTGTTAAATGTTGCAATTATCATTAACTAATAACATTAATTAATGATTGCAAATTAAACTCGAAAGTCAATTTTTATAAATTATAAACAATTTAATCCAAATCAAAACAAACCCTTTAATCAAAAGATTGAGTTCAGATTAAGTTGATCACCGGTACAATTTACTTTAAGATCACTTTGATCAGTTAATTGTTCAAAGAAAAATCTTAGTTATTACCTAATTAACTTGAAGTAGTTATTGTTAATTGTTTGATAACAATGAAACTACAAATTAATCTCTATGTTTATTAGCAATCAAATCAAAGTCAATAGGACTGATTATTAATTACACAATTAGATTAATTTTTCCTTCGTCACCAAATCAATCTTCATGTTTGTTTACAATCAATTGACATTCAACTAATTGTGATGATTAATTAAATTCTGTACAATAAAACTCACAAAAACAAAAATCTACACTCAACTTTGAGATTTATAATAATTAAAATCTAATCAACAATAAGTCTCTGATTATAATTAAAAGACAACATGTAGTTTAATTGTGACACTTGAAATCAATTCAATTATTTTTAATTGCTGACAATTAGTAAATCATGTCAAATACAATCTTATCATCAATGGATTGATTAAAAATTGGACAAACACACTTAAATCACTACACCACATTGACCATGTTAAAACAAATGTTAGAAACAATTAAGAGCTAATTTAACTATGTTAACATATACGGAATGGTATTTTTGATTAATCAATTGACAGGGAATCCATTTAACAACCAATAATCAATTGGTTTTCCTTGTAATTAGTTGATTCAGTTATAGCTATTCATTTGCCACCACATATCAAATTTTTAGGAACAGCAACATCTAATTAATAATACGAGAAATAGAGATGATTAGTTAATTTGATTGCAATTAATACGAAAGCCAATTAACTTGCCCATCATTTTTGGATAAGTGAGATTGAGATTCTTCATAATTTCAATGAACTCGTCCCTTGGTTTGGTCAATCTTGGGTTGAGCCTTTTCTCCTCTCCAATAGTTGAAGTTAATTGTCCTTAATTGTGATTAAAAAAGTACGAAAAACAAACGGTAAACAATCAACTTAATTTCCTTTCTCTTTCCTCCCCAATTACCATTATAATCATGAGCCGGATAAACATGATAATCATCAGGTAATGTAAACAGTTTTGAATGAACTGAATCATAAAGTTTGGATGCTGATCCTAAACAAAATATTAATACAATGTCATAATTAACTGGATTAATGAACAATTTAGATCATAATTAAATACCTTCTTGGAAATCGGTTCGACCACAACCTCTAATAAACAAAGTGTCCCCGGTAAAGACTCGTCTATTAGTGTGGTCAATTAAACTCATACAACCATTGGTGTGACCTTTAATCAAGAAAATCAGTCGACTGAATTGTTAATAAATTATAAGCAATTTGTAAGACCACAATTCGTTTACCTGGAGTGTAGGTGACATTTAATTTGATTAATCCACAATCAATAACGTCACCATCATCGACAAAAATATCGGCCTCAGCTCCACTCGATTCCGATATGATACTAATCACTTTTGGACTATTTCCTAAATTCAGTCGACTCTTAATCAACCCAGATCCAGTTACATGATCAGCATGAACATGAGTATTGAGAACATACTTTAACTGTAACAATTAGTAAATAACAATTAGATTGAAACATTGTATCAAATGAAACAAATAACAAATGATTGTTAAGGCTGGGAGAAATTTTCTTTTTAAAATCAATTAATATCATAATTAAATGGTTCCAATCAACCGATAGATTGATTGAAGATTACTTTTAATTAAACATTAAATTGGACAAAAATTATCAATTATTATCAATTTGATCACGAACCTAATCATTAATAAACGATCAATATAATCTACCGATTGGATACAAAATAAGGCACAATTGTTGAACAACAGAATAAAATTTACTCATTGATTTGATCAATTTATTGATCAACAACAATATCATCAACTAATTCTGTAATGTAAAGGGTTAATTGTTACACGATTAAACTTACCTCAAGTCCAAGTTCGTCAATCAATTTAAGATCTCGATCGACTTGTTCCAGAACCGGATCAATGATAAGTCCGATTTTTTGAGTTCGATCACCAATTAAGTAGGAATAACCACAACAAGATCGATCAAATAACTTAATTGTCGCGAAAAAAAACACAATTAATAATAAAACAATCCGAAAGAAAGATTTTCTTACTAATCAAAACAATGAATTTACCTGTCGGAATATGAAGACTCCTCGTGTAGTCATGATGATTTACTGATTGTAATCAACCGTTGAGTGAATCAAGAATTAAGTTCGAAAGGTGATCAATGAATAAATAGAAAAAAAATTAGACGAAAATAATTTGAAAACTGAGATGAACAATTGACAGAAAAAGTGACATCTATTGATGAAACATTTCCGACAAAATAAATTCTCGTTATTATTTGAATTGAGAAGTTTTTTATTAGAGTAATTAAATCTGAAATATCAATTAACACGAAAGTTTTGATTTCATACTATTAGTTTCTGGTTAGAATTGTGAATTAAATCAAAGATTTTGCTTATGAAAATTTAGAAATTGTTGATTTGGTTAATCAAAAAGGTCTGTATCCTGGAGGGAAAAGTACATTAAGAGATTTCCTTGTGTGTTGAGCGGCAAATTTCCAGCCCAATCGATCGTAAGACTCAATCAATTGTTCGTAAAGTTCCTTGGTTTGTTTCGATTCCAATTGCTTCTGAACGGCTTTTAATGCACGACCATATTGACCTTTAACGATTGCATGTTGATAGACAAGTTTATGCCATTTGCTGTTATTGATTTCATCCAATTTTTTCAGATCAAAAATTATCTCGTCTACTTGTTGTAACGAGTATTTTGGATTGGGTTTAATTGTTATCGGGTTCCCACTCGATTGGTTTGAATTCCCACCATTAACTGGTGCAGATGATTCGGCAGCAGTTGATTTAGATTCAGATTTTTGATCTGATTTGATTAGCGATAGGATGGACAGTCCTTTATAATAAAGTGCTTCACAGAGGCGATCTTTCTGTTTCTCCAAATTTTTCAGATTTTCGTCTTTCTTGTTTTGCTCTTCGTTGAACATTTTGGCTAAATTTTTGGCAAAAAGTAACGATCCACAGAAATCATCAGTATTTTGGACACTTATTATCTCATTGGCAAGGTTGATAATTTTCTCATGTTGCTTGGCTGATTCATCTTTAACCAAATTGAGAGCTTGAAGTTGAGCGACAATCATTAATTGCTTTTTGTCAGGTTTGAGATCACTAACATCAGCGAGCAAAGATTCATATCCTTGTAGCCTATTGAAAATAAAGGAAAAAGGTACAAATAAATGAATCGATCAGGAAATTTTCTCGAAATTAAAATCAAGTTCCTGAAGAAAATGCCAACTTACTTTGCAATCCAAAGAGCTTTGAAATCAATCAGAGCTTCTTGATATTGCTCTTCTGGTGTTTTCTCTTCTCCATCTTTTGCAGTGGTCACTTTTTTTGGAGGTTCTCCGTCCAGGATGTAAAAGAATGGATACTCTTCACATTTCTTTCTATTCTCTTCTTTGGCAAGACAAATAAATCCACAGAGAAATGATCCCGGTGAATTGGGTAGATTCTTGGGAAGCTTTTCACTGTTAAATGATTTAACATAAGCGTTTAATTGCTGCTTCTCAGAGATTTGTCGAGTACCAAACTGTTTACCATCAAGTATGAGCTCTCGGTAAGTAGCGTAAATATCAAGACTTGCAGTTGATGCTAATTTACTGACCAAGTGAACTGGTGTTTTAATGAGCTTCTTCAGGAAAGTTGAATCATTGTGGCGAATCTGCAGCTTAATTGTGTAATCACCTTTCTCCAATTTTTTACTATATCGATCAAAATTATGAACATTTCGACGAGTAACAGCTCCTCCAGCCATCATAAATTGTTTATTCGAATTGAATATTTGCCACATATTATCATCATATTCATTTTCATACAATAAAGTGTCTAGAAAAGGGTACACACAGGTAACCTCAGCGGCTTTGGGAAGATTGAAATTGTAAGTCAATAGTAACTCATAGATTTGTCGACCTCCAGGTAAAATGTCTTGTTTGGTTAATGGTGATATTATTTCATCAATTGGTTTGAGAGGTGAAACCACATGGGTCAAGGAAACTTTTGGCATAATAAAATCAAGTGGTGCAGTTCCGAAGATTGAAAATTTGTGATAACCTTTACTGGCTAACATTGTAATTTCAGAAGTGTCCAATTGAGCTCCAGCAAATTCAATTGAATAACTTATTGTCGCATCTCCTAGACTTGACCACCATTTGGTTATTGACAAATCAACTGACCGATGATAATCAATAGGAAAAGCAACAGACTTTTCAACTCCAGGGTTTATTGTGACATCTCTTTTCGAACTATTTCCCCAAGCTTGTGGAATTAATTGTCGCAAATTTATGATTGTTGTTCCAGTCGTATTGGTACCGACATTTTTAACTTTAACAATCGCAACAGATGATCCAACAGGTGGAATGATATGTGTACAGTGAGATACTCCTGGTTTAAGGTCAATAGTTTGCCAAGGTATTGATCGTTTACTATCAAGTTCCGTTGGTTTAAATACTGTGATTGGTATTTGAAAAACGAAACCTTTTTCAGGCTTTGATGAATCGTAAGCTCTTATTTGGGTGAAGTGTGATCCAGGTGAAAGTCCGGTTGGATCAACTTTAACGGCAATATTTCTGGTATAAGAAGTTAATAATAAATGACTTGGAATTTGGACCCATGGTGCTTCACAGGTGAGACTTAATTTCATCTCAAAATCAGCTTTAGCTGTATTATCGTAATTTAAATGATCCAACCAAGAGGGTTCAATTGAGATTGGGAATACAGTTGGACGGACAAGATCAGCCTCCTCTCTTAAATAAATGCCGTGTTTATTGGGGCCACAATTTATGACGAATCTCACATCACGCTCGATGGAATCGGTGAATTTAACCGCGTGTTCAAAAGCAGCGTCAACTTGCATTAGGCCATTTCCCATTGCGAAAGGATCATAGGTTGGAGGTTTAAGTGCTGTGTTTTCCAACGAGCGACGAACTGAGAAAGGTGAATAAGGTAAATTTCTGTGCTTCAATCCCGAGAGTATTAAAGCAACTCCACCGGCAGCATTTGGAGCTGACATTGATGTACCATTGAATAAAGCGCTTTTTGATAACGATGTTTTTGAAATAGAAGCGATTGCAGCTCCTGGTGCACAAATTGTCGTCGACATACCGCCTTCAATGTTTGGATCTTTTGAAGAGAAAGTTAATATTCTCCCTAAACGAAAAACAAAACAGATTTCATAAGAAAAATAAAAACAATTTCATCGTAAATATTGACCTCAAGCAATTAACTTACCTGGAATTTTTTCTCGGGTTGAATATTCGGCTTCCATCATCTCAGGACTAACATAAGCACCGATATCTTAATAGAAAAAATTAATGGTTAAGATTTGTTTTTAGCTATAATTTTTCAACGGATTAACTTACTAATAACGGAATTTGGTAGTGACGATGATCCAACTGTTGTAGGACTAGGACCTTCATTTCCTGAAGAGGAGACGAATATGATTCCATGTTTTTCGGCCATTTCATTCATAAAATCATGTACTCGACCTCCTCCCCAAGCAATAGGTTCACCAAAACTCATATTAATCACATCGACTTTAGCTTCGACTGCTCTTATACAAGCTTTGATAATCGAAGTGCTAGTTTCCATTCCACCACCAAGACGATTGTTTCCAATGTTAACCGAAATTAATTGAGCTCCAGGGGCGATTCCATTTTTCTCAGGTTCATCAGGAAAATTAGATGCAGCGATTGAGGCAACATGAGTACCATGATCACCTGATATACAGTTTATTTCCAATAAATTTCCTTCGTCGTAAATATTTACACTGTAATTAAGTTGATCTGTAATGGAAAGAAATTAAATGAAAATATTGTACCTCTATTGCGTTTTAAAAAAATTAAAACTATTGAATTAGTTTTAATTACCTCTTTCACTGAGAGTAGCGTAATTAAGTGTATCTTTGTAAGGTCCAAGAACATGACAATTTTCAAGATCACCATTTATTGTGGTATCAATACAAGCTCTCCACATTTCACCATCATGGAAAACAATACAATCGTAAGTTGGCCCAGGGTCAACAAAGTTTTCTTCCATTGAAAAGCAGCATCAACCTTAGCCTGGAGGTCATCTTTTTGTAATTGTGATTCAAATGATTTATCAAAGATGACATCTAATTCCTTGGCTTCGTCTCCTGAGGCTGGGGTTGATTCAACTGATTCTTTGGGTGATGAAGATGTTTTTGATTTTTCTGCCTTTTCTTTGGCCTCAAAATCTTGAAGACTTCGCAAACTGGAAGCTTTAACATCTCGAAGATCGGGCATAATGTTGTTCAATAGATATTCTTTTTTTATTCGATTTGCCACCGATGCTGGATAGAGCTCGTAACCTTGTTTAAATCCAACATGCCATTTACCTGTTGGATTAGACCATGATTTAGGAATCTTGAGTTTCCTTCCAGTTAAACCAGTAATTGTATTAGTCTCGTTATCAATGGAGACAACCTTTGAAGTATCGACATTATGATCTCCCGTTGCAGAGATTATATCAATAATCTTAGGTTTTCCATCGGTTGTAACTTGTAACCCTGCAGCTCCTGGATCAACTCCAGTATCAAATATTGCGATGACAACACCACGTCCATCATATTCAGGATAACGATTGATAAATGATAGAGCTGTTGTTTCCTTCTTCGGCAACAATGCAACACTAGGGAAAGAATCAATGACTTCGGTACTTGACATGATTCGTTGAGAAACAATTGAAACACAACCTAGTGAATAAAAGACAAAAATGAAAATTATTAAGAGTCGAATTCAAATTTAAACTAATAATATGGATGATGGAAGATGGAAGATGGAACAATCAATATTATTATTGTTCTTTTGCTTTATACAAAGTGATTTGGTGATAGTTTATTGGTCGATGTAAGAAATCGAGATCTGATAACTTATGTAGGAATTAATGGAAATACGTCAATGACGATGAATATAAAGAGAAGTCAACAGAAAATATGACACAAATAGTTGACTTTGAGATAACTTTGGGAATATTATAATCAACAGCGGGATTAAGGAAAGAAAAAATTCCCAGCAAATGGAATTAAATTAAACAAGAGATAATTTTGCTCTATCAATAGTAAGAATGAGCTATTGTTAGAGCGAGTCTCAGAATCTCTGTTTACAGTAATCAAATTGAATGAGAAAACACCAAAGATCACCGATTTAATTTTAAAGGAGATTTAGATGAAGATTTAAAATTCTAAACAATTAGCTAGCAATTAATTGAAGAATACGAAGAAAAGACAGTTAACAATAAACAGAGTAAGATGAGAACACCGATAGAAAAGAGATTAAGCAAAGAAGCCAATGTGAGAAGAGAATGAGACAGCAAAAAAGCGAAATCGTTAAGATCAATTAGATGGTCATGTCTATCATAATTTAAGAATAGAATAAGATGAACTAAAGGTAATTAAATTATTAATACAATTTAGGTGAGTTAATTGAAGAAAAAAATGGAGAAAATGAAAATTCTTACCAAAGGTGAGCAAAGATGGTGCGGTTAATAAGGATGATGATTGACTAAATCCTGGAAGTTTAAATAACCTCAGGCAGCTAAACTTCGATAAAAGGTAATTTGAAGAAATGATGATTCAGGGATGCAATCAAAATGAAAACGAAATCAAATCAAATTAAAAAATACAAATTAAAACGGAAATTAACAGTTGTAAATTTAAAATTCCAATTATTGGTTAAGATTAAATTGAAGCTCCAAACTGATAATCGATTAATTTGATTTCGACTTTGAAAAAATCGATTCTACTTTTCGAAAGATCGATTTTGAAACAAGTGATTTTGTATTTAATTTTAAATGAAGTTAACAATTTAGAGATTAATTATTGAGTTAATTACATTTGAAAAGATATTTTTAAATCCTTGAAATATAATCTCAACAATTTTCGTTATGTTATCAGACAAAATTTGAGTGTTTAAGTGAAACAAAAAAGGGTAAAAGGTATTGGACAAATGAATGGTAATCAATACGATACAAAGAATACAAAACAAATACTTTGAAAGAAAATTAATTAAAGAGACAAATTGGCTGAGGATAATGAAAAAATCACGAATTAACGAAATTATGGTCAAAACAGTTGAAAGAACAATCAAAATCCCCAAACCGATGGGAATTAATGTCAACATTTCAATGATTAGAATCGACAATTAGATCGTAACAACTTTCCAACATCAAGCAAACAATTAAACAATTATTTCTCAGAAAATCACATCATTTATATAAACAATTAATCAATCAGGTGTAATATCTTATAGTAACCAAGTAACAAAAGTTAAATAACATTCAAGAGGATTAGTTAATCGAGTTGATTGTTAATCTAAACAATTTATTCACATTTAGTTTCAGTGTCTTTTCAATGAGAAACATATAAGTTGAATGAATTATCTTCCTCAAGAGCAAAAGAAACAAAGAGATTATCAATTAATCCAACATTAAAAAAGAAGATGAAGTTGTAGATCAGCAATTAAGGTGAAGAAATTAGTTAATTAACCGAAAAAAAGAATAGAAAAAATTTTCGAATTTACCGCCAATCGATTTTTTCTCTTTTCTCTTTCCAATGTTTACTTTTTGTTCCTCTCACTCCCATTTACAACTTTTTCACTTTTAATTAACTAATTTACTTTCATTTTAATTGTTTTTTCTCATCTTCTAATTACCTTGTTAACCATCACAATTAGTCAACTATGTTTCTAGTAACAGCGATAAGAAATTATCTGTTTATCTTAACATAAAAATCTAAACCTTTTGGATCGTCAAAATAAATGATTGACTTTTTCAACTAAAATTAATATTTTTTTTTATATTTGTAATTTGATTACAATTTAATCTTGTTTAATTATGCTTATTTTCCTGGTAACAACGTTAATCCAATTACTTCTTGTTGGCCTTGTATTCATTGTTGGTCTATTTATTGTTATCGCCTTAATCTCAAGATCTCATGTTCCAAACATTATTGTAAAAGCTTCAATTAATTGCCGAAAAGAAAAAATCTCATCTCTAAATGATCTCAATCTATCCAACAATTTAATCGATTACAAAGGTTACCAAGAGAGTTTACAATCATCATCATCATCATCTAACAATTATTTTAAAACCAATCTACTAATTTCCAAGAATGTTGATACTCTACTTGAAGAAATAATTGATTTAATATTCCGTGATTATCTTTACGATTGGTATATTGATCTGGTACAAAATAACACCGATCGACTTGATGTTAAATTGAAAAATGAGATATGGACAATGTTTTCAAGACTATTGGCAATTTGTCGTCAATTTGATGATATCTCCTTCCTGACCAAAGATTTAGTCACAATAATGCATTCACATGTTACCAAAATATCGTTAATCCTTTCAAAGCAAGACTCATATGAACTTTATGATTATCTCTCCACCGAGGAAAAGGAAATCAATTATCTGAACAAATTGTCCAACATGATTTTGGCTCTTTTATTACCTTCACGTTATGCTAAAAGTCAACCATTGGTTAACCTGTTGAAAGAGATACTTGGAATTCATGTTTTCCATAATTGTATCGAGATGATCTCCGATCCTGATTATATAAACCAGAAAATCGTTGAGTACATAAAGAATCATCTAGATGAAAGTGAACGTCATCGTAAAACTTACGCTTATGCTAAATCATATGAGGAATTTGTCGAGATGATTAAGAATTGTTGTTCAGTTGAAGACCTTAAAAAGATTCGTTATAGAATCGTATCAGAGATCATGCAAGCAACGGCTCTGGAGAATTTGAAAAGACAAAAATTAATGGATAAAGAGCTAAGGCCTAGTCAATCAACTTCTTCGTTGGCTAAAGGAGATTTACTTCTAAATCGTGATTTACGTCGTTACATTAACAATCTACAATATGCCAAGAATTTGTGCTCAAAGAGAATCAATTATCTAATCACCTATGCGTACCCGTCGATATCTACACTTAATCCTGAGAGTGTATTAGTTGTCGATGGTTTAACTTATCCTAAACCATTGAAGAAGAAAATTCTTGCTTTTGATATTATTATAAGATCAGATTTGTGCCGAAGTTTCCTAAGGCGTTTTCTACAAAATTCATTGGGAAATTCGACCGACAATACTGAGCGAACCTCGAAATATTTGGTTCTTTTCTGGGAATCAGTGGAAGAGATGAGAAATCAAAAAGGAGTTAAACAGTATCAAATCGCCAACGAACTTCTCAAACATTCGTACTTTCTAAATGCTCTTAATATTCACATTAAATTTGGAAAAAATGATCGAAAAGGAATGGAATCATTTATTCGAGGTGATAAAGGGCCTGAATCATTTTACGAAGCACAATTAGCCGTTTACTCTGTTTTGGTTAATCGTTACTATCCTTTGTTTATAGTGAGCAAAGAATATGATGAAATGATTGATACTCACAATGATTCTGATCTTTTTGGACAGATGATTAAATGCGAAGAGAACATTGAAAACTCAAGTCAATTAAGCCTTGAGAGGTCAATAAGTGGTTACGAAAATCAGTCAATTCGTCAACAAAACGCACAACAATCAGTGATCGATGTTCATATTTGTCAAGCGAGAACTAAATTGAAAGAATTAAGTAAAAAGATTGACGGTAAACAACAAGCATTAGATGCAATCAAAGATGACGAACATGAATCCAACTCTAAATTAGCTGAATTATTACAAAAGGAAATTCAAGATCTTCGAGAAGAAATGTTTGAATTGGAAAATCATATTGTTTGGTCAGAAAATTGGATAATTAATCTAAACAAATGGCAAGCTGAACTTCACAATATTCAACTCGAAACCCAACAAAGTACCTCACCTTTGGTGATTATAATAATCAGTTCGAAGGAAGCAAAACACGAGAAATCAAGTGCCGATGGTTGGATAATCGCTCGAACCATCTCCGATTTAATAGAATTGAAACGAAAACTAGTTCGAATCAACGGGAATCTAAAGCGAATTGAAATACTTCGATTGAAAAATGTGGCCCCGACAAACGTTAACCTAATCAACCGAGCGAAAGTGAATTTGCAATTATTTTTAGATCAACTGATGAGAGACGAAAATTGTGTCAAATCAGAAGAAGTTTACCTGTTTTTCTGTCCATCACCAGGTAACCTTCGAGTTCCATTATCGTTTTCGAAGCAATTTAATTTTCGAAATTTACCCTTTGCCTCGTTCTTTGGTATAACCAATCCCGATAGTTCTGAATCAAATTCAGGGAAAACTGGAGGTGACAGTGATGACGAAGATGAAGATGACCAATCATCATTCATATTCGACGATGAACTCGAATCAAAAGACGATAACATAGCCGAACCTTTGTACAATCTATTAACCGAAATATTCGAGCTTAAAGGAGCGATGGGTTTTCTCCGTCAAATGTTAATTATCTTCGTTCATACAACATACGGACAAACAATTAACAAGCAACTTCGAGAAACGGTCTCATGGACTTTCTCAGAATCTATGGTTCATTATTATCTAACCAATTTAAAAAACGCTCTTTGGCCTGAAGGTAAATTAGCACCACCAAGAGAACCAACCAACGAATCAACTCGCCGAAAGAATCAATTCCTTGCAAAGAGACTTTTAATCGATAACATTCCCGATATATTGAACAATCTATTCGGTCAACAAAATTGTCGAAAAGGATTAATTAAACTATTTGATTACATTCAAGATCAAAACCTAAACAAACAATTACTCTACGAGATACTAGAAACTTTCATCATCCAATTTGTCCCACAATTAAGGGAAACAAATTCCTCTTCAACAACATCATCACCAACAACAACAACAACTACAAATCCAAGTTAATTGTCACAATTATCGCCAATTAATTTGGGTCCAAATCAAAAATCTATAAAACAAAAATCTAAAAAAATTTCTAATAATTTGTTACAAAAATTTATACAAATAATTTACATTCAATTGTTTTTACTGGAAAAACAAATCAAATATTAATAATTTATTTTTACCCTTTAATTGTTTTCACCTTTCAGTTGATTGAAATTGAACAATCAAGTTAAAACACCAAATGTCTCTCAACAAGAACTACACAATCAGCAGAATCATCAATTGATTGTTGTAATCGATTAATTCAGTTAATTGTTTTAAATGTTATTCCAAAATGAGAAATGATTCTAATCAGCGAAAATTAAATGTTACCGCCTTTCGATCAGTTAACTAACTCATTTAATTATCTCTCTCTCTCATTCCCTATACTCCCACTTGGTCTTCATCACATTGTTTACTTATTATTTTCTCTCTCTCTCTCACTCTTCCTCCTCCTTCATCTTCCACCTTATTGTTAGTAGTTTAGAATTGTAATTGTGATAGAAATTGAAAAGAAATCAAGTTAATCACAATCACCACCAAAATCTACATCAACATCTCCCTTTTGAGTTGTTCCTTTTTCACTCTAACGAACTCGCCGTTAATTACATTCAGTGTTTCACTTAATTCTGTTTATATCATGGTGACGATGGTTAATCATTCCCCGAGTATTCTTGTTACAATTAACTCGCCAGCATCACAATTAAAACCATTACATCAACATTATCACCACATGAACCTTTAGATTTATCTATTCTTTCATTTTCTCTCTCCCTTTATTTTGCTTTCTTTTTTTTACTATTTTTTGTTTCTCTCTCTCTCTTCATCATCATCATCATCTTGCTGTTGTTTTCTTGTTTATCTTCTTTCACTCTCTCTCATTCACTCATTTTCTCTCTCTCATTCTCATTCTCATTCTCATTCTCCTTTTCTATCTCTATCTCTCTCTCTCTCTCTCTGCCTACAGTTTCTTTCTTCCTCCATTTACAATATAAATTTTTTCTTTTTTCGCCCAAAGAGAATTTCATTTTTTTCTATCTTCCAATTCAACCTCTTTCTCTCTATCTCTCTGTTTCTCTCTTCTTCATCATTTATCTAAAATTTTTCTGCTCATCATTTTGTGCTACTCACTTTTCACTCTATCCTAACAATTAGAATCACTTTTTTTATACCTCCAACATAAAATTGGTGAGTAATCAAAGTTAATCAACTGTTAACAATCAAGAGGATAATGTTTTCTACTCTATGTTTATGGTAAACAAATGTTACTCTTGATTTACATTTTCTATTTGCATTTTAATGTTTTCTTTTTCTTAATTTAGAATTGACTCATTTTCTATTTGACTATATGGTGATCTCTTCTACCTCTGACCTACGACATGTTCATTTAATATGTTCCATCTTGGTACAATCTATTTTCTTGGTCAATCATCTCCAATGACGGTTTTAGTTTTATCTTAATGGTGTTTGGTTAATGTTTAAAGAAATCACTTCTCACTGTAACATCAACACATCTAAATAGGATAGTGAGAGAGAGAGAAAGCAATTATTTCCTACCAACTGCAACACCCATCACCATTCAAAGTATATATACACACAAGGACAGGAAAGAAACTTCATCAACAACAGCAAAAAAAAATTCTAATCACGGTGACTATTAACAAAACAATCAACAACAGCAACTTAAACCAAAGATTATCAACCTTGATTCTTTTACCAGTTGACTTTTATAACTTCACTTGTTTCTTGATTCGCTATTTTTAACCCAACAAAATTGGAGACCAGAGGAAAGGATTAGATACTATTTGAAATGCAACGTCTTCGTCGGGCATCTTTGAGAAATTCACTTCTCAATAGTTCCAATAACAGTGAACAAAGAAACACATTCAAATCTTATGTTAACCATTTCAAGGAAGATGAGGACGATAATGAAAGTGAAACAGTTTCCACCGTGGAGACAACGGTTAACCGTAAACCTGGAAGGAATCAACCACGATTACCTGAAGCACCACAACCTACTTTTAAGGGTTATCTTGATGATAAAAGTTTCACCACACCAATTGACGACCGAGATGGCCCAGGGGCAAGTGGAACCACCAATGTATCAAAAAGTTTCATCGCTTCATCAGCTGCTACTTTAAGTAGATTAGCTTTATCACCATCGACAAAATCATCTTTCACTTTACCCTCTGATGATGATGGTATTGATTTAAATTCTATGGGACCATCTAGATCTCGATCATTTAATTGTTGGACTGATTTTAGAGATAATGAAGCAATCATAGCCAAACCTGTTGATTCAGTGAAAAGATATAATCTTCAAATTAAACGTTCAAAAGGAACCATTGGTCAACTGCTTCTCAGTAATCGTCGCCTTAAATTCATTGATTATCATCACGAAATTCAACTTGGCCTGGAAAGGAGGAAATCAGTTAATGAAACATCATTTGATTCAATCTCATCTGTCAATGTACCAACAACAATAACAACAACAACAACAATCGCAACAACCACATTTACAACATTAAATGATTCACCTTCCATCACCAATAATTCACCCAATACAAACAACACCAATTTCAGTGGTGGTTACAATTCAAGTACTTTAATTAGTAGTAGTAGTACTGGTCTATCATCGGGTAAAAGTAGCTTATCATCATTACGTTTACCACCGTTTGATATTCATCCCGTTTCCGAGGAGAATCGTGAAATTCATGAGCAAGACATTGATCTGATGAATATTTATCAAGTTCGTATTGAACAGGAAGGTCAAGATACCCATTTAACGGTTTTCTGTAACGATTTTCGCAGTATTGAGTTCCAAATGAAAAACAATGATCTAGTCAAAAATTTGGTCGACAAATTGGAACAACTAATCACCGTATTAAGAGCCTCAACCGTGGTACCTGCTAGTCCATTTAATGTACGAAATCAGCCCGAAAGTGCCTTACTTTGGACATTACTGGCCAGTCAATACTCTTACCAATTACCACAAGATTGGAATCACCATGAGGGCTATTGGTTAGCACAGAATGAAAATCTTCGTATTGCCCATTGCAATGAGAATCACAATATGTGCCCTTCCCTTCCGGTTTCTTTTATATCCTTAAGCCAATATCTTTCCGATATTACATTAATTCATAGTTTATCACCTCATCTAAATGGTAACCGTGTTCCCGTTATTACCTATTGTCACAAATTTCGAGTCAAAGAATCGGCTCGGAATAATTTGCTTCTACGAAGCTCATCGTTTAAAATGGATGTTACCAATATCCTTTATAATGCCATTAGACCTTTAAACATTGTTGAAGTTAACAATCTACTTCCACCATTAACCAAATTAGAATCAGCATATTACAATCTTCGTAAATCATGTTGTTTCTATGCAGATAAATTTCCCCATTTTCTTTCCCAAACCGGTAAATGGCTTAAAATTGTCTCCCGAGTACTTTCAGTTGTTAAAGAAATGTCAACAATTATATCAGAAGAATCATCTTTATTAATTGTCGAGGAAAATGATGATCATTACAATCCCATTATTTCCGCTCTTCTCCAAATAGTATTAGGTAAAAACTATAAAACCTAAATGATTGATGTTTCTCACATACTAATTAATATCCTCTTCTTATCTTATCAATTACAGATCCTAAACGTCGATCAATATCCGGTTTCGAAAGCTTAATTAGTAAAGAATTTCTCTTTCTCAATGGAATGGTACATAATTCAATCATCCGATCTCCAGATATCGTTTTATTTACTTTATTCCTTGACGCAGTTTGGCAATTAATCTGTCAGAATCCATATCATTTTGAGTTCTCATCACTTTATTTGATTCGTTTATATGATCTTCAAACAATTCCCTCTCGAAAAGATGAACCAAGCAAACTGGAAACGGAAGAAGACAATTTCCAACCAACGGGTGACACAAATTCATCAACATTCACACCAACAGGAAATCAATATAATCCCTTATGTTCAACGTCCATTGTTTCATCAATCGCTGTGGCTCCAAGTAAATTTAAACCAATTAACACTCCGCCGCATCATACTGGCTTCAATACACCTTCAAATAAATCAGCTTACCATTCACGGAATCCATCTAATGCCAGTGTCGGCTCAATTCAAGCTCAACAGCCCATTTTGACAGCCGAAAATGTTGAACTGTTAAGTTACAATCAATTAATGTTCATTTACAATCCACTTTACTTTTCAACTGAGAAAAGTTTTCACCTTGAAGGTGAAACTGTTGATCCATTGAGAATCATGAGGATAACCAGTGATCTATTTCTGCTTAAATTGTGGAGGCCACTTTTCCTTAGATGGCACCCGTTGGAAAACCACCGACAATATTACAACTACTTCTCTGTACCCGAATTTGTTTATTTTGATTTTCTGTTAAACAAATTAGACTCGAAATCTGATTGGAAAAGTGAAGATGAAGTGAAAGAAAGTTATTTATAAGAATTTTTTGTTTGTATAAAATCACAAATGAATTATTGAGAAAACATTTTGAAATTATTGATTATTTTTTGCCACACTCTCTCATTTAATTGAGAATTTACGAAAATAAATTGAATAAGGTGTTAGATTGTCAAATGAATTCGATAAGTTCGATAAAATTGTATAAATATCTTGCATGAGAGAGAGAAACAATTTTCTTTTGCAAGTATTCAGTGGATTTTGTGGTTAAGAGAATTAACAAAAAAATTATTCGACGGTAAAAACAAGAATATCTTTTCTTCCGGTGTATTTGAATACGAAAGCTTGACCTTCTTCGGTTGGATCCGTGAAGGCGATTTTATCCTTGGACACTGGATAATCAGGCTTGAAAATGTAACGACAAGAATCAATGAGATGAGTTCCAACTCCATTTCGACGGTAATTTGGATGGATCCAGATTCGGGAGATTCCGATTTCACATGGAACTGAATCGGCAATATTTATCATTCCAGTAGATGGATTATATACATTGGCTTCTTTTATTGCTTGACCCACCACAAAGCCCACAATACGATTGTTTTTAATGTACAAAAGGAAAACCATATCAGGTTTAACACAATCAAATAGACTGACATTGATTCCCAATTCCATGTCGGCGATTTTAAAAAGCTCATCAACCTTTTTTAACATATGCTTGGGATGATCTGGTTTTACCAGGAGAATCTTTGATTTATCTGGAAAACTCTTGATCACTTGTTCTTGCTTCCATGGTGTATATTTAAGGGAATTAATGAAAGTATCATGATATTTACTGTGTTCACTTTCATCTTCATATTCTCCGGGCGAGAAAAGCATGTAACATGTTTTACACCGAACACTATCAAAATCTCTTTGTCCAGCATCGATAAAATATTGATCACGTTGAGATTTTGCTGATTTATTCTGTTTTTGGGATAGAATTTTCCTCTTCGATCCAGAACCAGGAGTCCGGGGAGGTTTAGTCACTTTACCAGGATCATTTTTGTAATAGAAAATTGGAAACAGTTTGGTTGGTGTTTCTTTCTTATTTTCACTATTTGATGTTTTCGTCATTTTCAGTGAAACTACAATTCATACAACAAAAAAGAAACCAACTCACATTCACAATCACAATTAAGAACACACTCAAAGTTATTAAAAGCAAAGACTAAAGATTCTAGAATAGTAAATAATCACAAATCAATTGATCAAACAAAAGACAAAATTTAACACGAATTCAATGTCAATTATTGAGGGAAAGAAAAGAAAACAATCAAAAGAACAAAATTTAAGCGCGAACATCATAGTTACCATGGTAACCGAACAAAAACGCTCCAAAAGATTTAGTTACTAAAAGAAACACCAGATGGCAGTGAGTTGGAATTTCATTTAATCAAATTAACTTTTAATTTCTACAAATTAATTGATAGAAAATTTAGAAAATTAAAACTTCCCTAATAATCAAATTCTCATAGTCTTTGGGCCTTCTCCTGTTCAATAAAGAAAATGTTTCGATGAAAATAATCAAGAAAATTAGTAGAAAATGAGAAAAAAAGTTTTCGAAAATCGAGTTTCAATGTTAACCAATAGATGTCACTTGATGTTGAAGAAATTTAAATTGTTTGTTTGTCTCTTAAAATTTAAATTGTAAACCAAATCAGTGTAACTAATTGTTGGTATTTAGTTTTTCTTTCAGGACATTTTGTTAATCAGTTCTACATTTAATGAGAATAATTTTAAGGTCAAGCTTGGTCAGTTTTCTTCACACCAAATGTTAATGTTGTTGATTTGGTTAAATGTCTCGAGAATGAGATGAAAAGATTATCATGATTAACATTTGTCTCTTTCCCGATAATTAAGTAAATTTGATGATTCATAAGGGAAAAAAGATTGAAACATTACACCATAAGATGTAAATGTCTGATTGCATTTTCATTTAGATCATTTAATCTAAATAATACAATTGAGGTTTGATTATTGTTCAATCAAATTGAAATAGATTCATTTTTGGTTCGTAATTGGTTTTAATTAAATATTACAAATGAGACTCGGACTTGCGTCTCGAAATTATCTTAATCATACAAAAATTTTATCAGAAATTAAATAAAAATTATCATCTGTCTTTAAGTTCATCTAAAGATATGAGAGATTTTTCCATATTGAAATATCTAAGGGAGAGAGAGAGAGTGTGTGTTGGATGATGAAGATGATGATGATGATGATGGGTGAAGATGAAGATGAAAATGATTGTGATAATGCTGGTGGTCGATTGTGGTGGTGGGGGTGATTTATGATTATCATGATGATGGTGAAAAATGAGATTTACACAATGAGAAAAGTTCACTTGGTGAGGTTTCACAGATAAACAAAAGAGTTTTTTTTTTCTAAGTTGATTTAAATTTGATTAATTAACTAGACTTCAGTTCCTTCCGAAATATAAACTTGGTCTTCAGCATAACCTTCATCAGGTGAGTAACGGAAAGATTCTTGACCAATGTAGGTGTAATGATGAAATTGATGAGGTTGTGGATGATGTTGTTGACCCATCATTTCAATCTGAGGATGTGGTTGTTGTTGTTGTTGAGGATCAATTAATTGTATTTGACAATGTTGTCCTTGCTGTTGTTGGTCCAGTAATTGTAGGTGAGCATGTTGATTATCAATTAATTGAAGGTGTGGATGTTGTTGTTGTTGTTGCTGGTGATTCATTGATGTAAATTGTGATTGAGGATCAAAAAGTTGTGATTGTTGATGTTGTTGATCCAATAATTGAAGTGGAGGTGAAACATGTTGCTGTTGATTTATAAATTGTTGATGATAAGCAAAATTTTCATAATTCTCATAATTTTTGTATAATAAAACTGGACTATTGTTAATTGAACCATTGTTTCCACCATCAGATTTATTGTTGATTGGGCTGCCAATTGTTGTTGATTTAATTTCTTGCTTTTTAACCGAAGAAGAAGATTCTTTTTTACTCTTCATTAGCCAAATTGCGACCATAACTAAGGTAAGAATTAGACCTAAAAGGAAGGCAATTATTGCTCCAGCGATTTCCACTCTTGACCAATCACTAAAGTTGGCTAAAGGTGCGGAAACAATAGCGATGGTGAAATTTTTGGTAGTTGAATCAGCTTGATTCTCGGCAGTACAAAGAAAGTGTCGTCGGGCGTCAACAGAATCAACATTAGGCACAATCAACGTAGATGAGATTGAATCATGAGTTGTATCTTCTGAAACTTTATATTTATCATTTTCACTAATATAAAGTAATGTTGTATTGGTTGTATTGTCAAGATCTTCATATGACCAATAAACTTTAGCCAATGGTGATGATTCAACTGTACAAATAAGTGATAAATTGGTTCCAATTGTTGTTTTAAGCTCAGTATCACCAACTTTAAATACAGGGGGACATGCGAAATCAGCTAAAGCCAATGAGTTCCACATTAAACCCTTCAATTTGGACGGACGTGAACAAGTTGGTGGCACGTTGGGTGTTAATTTTGATTTGCCTAACCATTCTAAGATTGGTCTTAATGAACAATCACAATTCCATGGATTCTGGTGAAGTCCAATATTGGATAGAGGAAGATTTTCAAAACTATCCGAGGGTAAACTGGTTATTCTATTACCTTCCAATTTCAATTGTTCCAGAGCGATAAGCTCTTTAAAGGCTCCAGGGGCTATTGTATCAATTTGACAATTAGACAAATCAAGATGGACAAGATGAGTTAAACCGGTAAAACTGCCCTCACCAATAATTTGTATTGGATTGGCATGAAAAATAGCTCGACGCAGCCTATTGATAAATCTTAATGGTTCGGAGGGAACATTGGTTAGCACATTTAAGCTTAAATCTAATTCAACAAGATTGGTTAGTTGAATGAAGGCGTCGGGAAAAATTCTACCAATTTTACAATTGGAGAGATAAATTTTCTGTAAATTGGTTAATCCTCTTTCTTGGAACACTTTGGAAGGTAAGGTTTGAAAATTGTTATTCGAAATATTCAACACTTGAATTGTATGAGATACTCCTTGAGGAACAGCAATTAGTCCACCGCCAGTGCATTCGGCAGTTATTTTACCACCGCGCCAGATACATTCACACATCTCTGGGCAATTGGTTTTATTTGATAAACAAGGAACAATTAAAAATGAGGAAAAAAGTAAATGGATTAAGCACAATTTCCTCATTTTCTTTTTAAACGTTCAAATTTAAAACGTAAAAGAAACAAGAAGATAAGATGAAGATGAAGAGCGAGAGAGAGAGAGAGATAAAGAGTCACACACACTATGGGGTTAAAGGTGGAGTTAGAAAAGAAAACACTAATGGCCAACAAGGTCTTTGGACCAAAAAGATAATCCAAGTAATGGAACACAAGAAATTGACATGATCTATTTTTCAATTATAATCCAAAGTATATAAACCAAAAAGAAAAGAATGAGTCACATCACATTTGCGAAGAGATGAAACTAATCAATTTTGAAAAAAGAACTTTTTCTTAATTCTAATCAACAGTCTATCACATTGGAAGAAAAGAAGAAGAAGAAAAAACTAGAAATAAACCGACAAAAAGACCAAAAGAGATGAAAGAGAAGAAGAAAAAACAGTTTGATGTTAACGAGACAAAGAAAAAAAATCAACTGATTTCCTTTCGGAGAACATTTGAAAAGAATTTCAACATGAGCGCCATCTCTTGGATCGAATAACATCCATTCTAATTTCTTGTCGAGATGAAAACATTTTCTTTTCCAACAAACTTTTTCCATCCTCATCCCTCCTCTTCTCGTCCATTTTTATTCAAAAAAAAAGAGAAGAGAAGAGAAAAAAAGAAAAAACTTTTATTCTATCAAAGCTTAAGAAATAGAAAACCGGTTCTACTGGTTCACCTTAGCCCATTACTCCAACAACAACAACAACAACAACAGCCCACAACCGAAGAGCCGATTCCTCCATCATCTTCATCTTCATCTTAGTCTTTCTTTTTTCTCTTACAATAAGATTTTCTCATCTTCCATCATCATCATCATCATCAAAGAAAACAGGTTTCCCAACAAAAGCACCAGAAAACAACATTAACCTCACCATTTTGGCCTCACTTCGTCTCCATCTTGCATCCCAATGTTGTTCACAACCGGAAACAAAGTTACTAATGTTGTTGATGCTTTTGTTGCTAAACCTGTTTAAAGTTTTAAAGATGAAGATGAGGATGATGACGGAGAGAAAGAGAAATAGAAAGCAGAGAGAGAGAGAGAAGCGAAAGAGAGAGGAAGATAAGGAAATCTTATTGTAGAGAGAGAAAGAGGATGGATGATGGAGAGGAAGAGAGTTGAAGATGAATAAGATGATGATGATGATGAAGGGCGACGATAGAGTGGAAATGAAGCCAAACAGCCGGACGCAGATTATCATAAATACTGTAAACGTCTAATATTGGCTTCAATTTGCCGTGTGCCCGTTTGCCCGTTTTTAGGTTTGGCTCTTGTGCTCTTATGATTTTCATGTAACTTGATTATTTTGGCGATGGTTTTTCATCGCTTCAGGCCAATGGACCAAACCTTAAATTTAGATTGCAATCATTTATCTCATACAGTTTGATACACTTCTCTTACTTTGCTTTCTTTTTTTTCTTCATCCTCATCTTCAGATTTTCAACATTGATTAACTGATCCAATCACTCTTAATTCTGGTGTGTTAATCCCTTACAATCTCGACAGTTTATCGTAATTTGAGTGATGATCGAATTTGTAAATTCTAATCACCATTACAATCAATTTCCTTTTCATATTCACCCAGATACAGAATGAAGATAACACCGAAAATCCATAGTAATACAAATAACCCTTAAAAACTTTCGAAAAGTTGAAAAAACTTTTTTTTCTTCTTCGAATTTCTTATAAATTAACATTTAAAAGAACAATTTAGATTTGAAGTGATTAAGATGATTAAAAGAAATCTACAAATTGTTTACATTTTGTTTAATCAGTTTTTTTCCGTATTCTTTTCTATTTGTTTTCCAATGAAAATCGAAACTTAAAAAACTTTTCTATTCAGTTGAAAAGAAAAGTTCTAATTCTAGAAGATTAGATTAATTCGGTTAGAATTAGAAAATTGTTCCTCTTAATATTATTATTCTGGGTTCGGTTGGAAATGTTATCTCTCAAGTGTAATTTACGTTTGAAACTGTAGCGGGTTCGCCTCGAACCTTTTTCTTAAGGGTTGGTCTAATGGCCTCAACTACAAGTCCACTTTCAAAAGCCGAACCTAAAAAAGAGCCACAACCTTTTTTTGTGTCTTGATTTTTACAATAATAATAAACTTTGATTAAAGGTGGTGATAGATATTGTAATTTGTATCCACCCAATAACTGACCTTCGGATAATTGATAAATAATAATAATAGAAGACAAGAAAAGTTTAACCAACCAATAGACTGACCAGTTAACTGATTGACCAACCAAATGAATAATAATAATAATAGTGATGCATAAACAAAGTAGTGACCGTTAACCACGAAAACAAAAGTGACAACGACACCGATTTAATGGTCAACACATGATGAGATAAATGGAATACAAGTTTTACAAAAAGATTAACTTGACCACACCTTAATCACCTTTTTCTTAATCTCTTTTTGCTTTTGATTCTCTTCTCGCTAATTCAAAATTAAAACTAATCTTTCATTTCTTTCATAATACTTTGCTTTTCTTTTTGTTTATCTGGTCATTGTTGTGGTCAGTAAGTAGTAAGTGTATTATAATGATATATATAATCTCTTTCTCTCTCTCTCTCTCTTTCTTTTGTTTTCTCTTTCTTTTCTTTCTTTTCTTTTACCTTTAACCAGTTCAACTCAATTTAATGTGTTTTGTTTTCTAATCGTAAATGTAAGTGACCTGACCAACTTTAAATGATGAATTTACTACTGCTTGACCATTAAGATTATTATACTCTCTCTCTCTCTCTCTCTCTCTCTCTCTCTCTCTCTCTCTCTCTTGTTAGATAACAATGAAAAACACACATCTCGTAATTGTAACCTATTAATTGTCGGATAAATAAAGTTAATCAAGAAGCAACAATCAAAAAAAGGAAACAGAATCTCTAGTTAATCATAAGCTATTATACAGGTAGAAGTAAAAAAATTGAAAACCAATCAACTCTCCCATTTATGATAACATTCAAGTAGCTTTTGAATACCTCAGGTAAGTTCAACCCTAAATGTATTTCCCTTATCACCATCATCTTCACCATCATCTTCACCATCATCATCATCATCATCATTATCTTCATCTTCATCATCTTTTACCTTTCATACTTTACAATAGATTGATAGTCAAGGTAAAAAAAACATGGCGACTGTTGATCTTCATAAGAAAGAAAAAAAAATTGTTCTTTTATTGGTAATTTTTAAAGATGAAAAACAGAAGGATAACCAATCGTAATTTTTGATTGTTGTTGTTTATCATCATGTTGATAGTAGTTAATTATTGATGATTGACCATTTCATGATTGATAAAATCGCTGAGATCGAGTCTCTAATTTGTATCAACAGTAAATTCGTATGCTGGTCAATAGGGTCACGGTCTGTCGATGGCTTCGGTTACCTTAATTTTTTTCTTCTTTTTCATCTTCCATTCTAATCATGATTATCATCATCATCATCATCATCATCACAATCAATAGTAATCATGATAATAATAATAATCTTACAAGATGAATTAATAGCTTCTGAATAATAGTATTGATAACAAATGAGAGTTGATGTTTGATTGTTACAACAATTTAGATACAATTGTGATTTCTAATTACGGTCAATTTTGATTTCTTTTTTTTTCAATTGACCTTAATATAAGATCCAAGATTATCATCAACAAATCATCAACAAATCAACTGTAATCAACATATTACAATTTATACCCAAATGGTTAATTGTTATTCCAACCTTTCAATTAACAGTTTAAGCAAAAAAAAAGTTTGATTAAATTTTGTGTTTTTATCAATGAAAATCAATTTAAATTTTCAATCTGAGTTTATGATCACAATTTAATTGAACAATTTAAGGGGATTTAAAGGTTAACCGTCAATTAACTGATTTTGATTAGCTGATTATGATTCTAATTATGATTAGCACGATTCATTGTTAAATTTAATTGTGTTTTAAATCATAATCATTGTAAACATTTGTAATTATTGTTATTAATATGGAAGATGTTAATTCAGTTAGTGATCAATGAACTTGTTTAACTAAATTGTTACCTCATGTTAATCATATTAATTGTTTCATGGTAATAATCAAATTTAAACTTGTTTAACTTGTTCCCTGGTTAAATTAACGTAATTAAAATGATTCCAATTGATTTGTTTCTGTCATTAAGGTAAACTGATTGAATTAACTTTAATCATAATCAACCAAATGACCTTACAACAATCAACAATCAACAATAATAATATTTAATCATTTTTGATAATATCAATGAGTTTACATGATTACAATTTATAAATTGTCTTGGAATAACCAATTAAGAATCATTTAATTTGATTTCACAATGAAATAAGATAACAATTAATAAACTAAACGATGGGAAATAATGATTGGCCAAACAATTAACGGTTAATTGTGGTGATGATGTAAAAAGGAAGACAACAATTGAAATGATTGATTAACAGACAATTAATTGATTCAAGTTAATTATTGTTCAGTTAAAATCAGATACACAAAATTTTCAACAAAAAATCATCTCAACTTTAACCATCACAATTAACTAATTGTTGTTGTTGTTGTTGTCATCATCAAAAGTTAACTAAGTTAATCAATCAATCCAACAACAATCAACTAATAATAAATTCTGTAAAAATAAAAATATAATTGCATTGATTTGGACACAATTGGTCAACAGCAATTTAATTTAGCTTATCAACAATTTAAATCAATGATCAATAATCACTTAACAATTAATTATAATCACAATTTATTTAACTAAACGGCTCGCTGATTAGACCACCGATATCATAATTATCATTATGATTAAGGTTTTCCGCTTTGAGGTAAAGTTAAATTGTTGTTTTCATGATGATACCTAAAAGTTAATTGCAACAATTAGTGATATATTAATAACAGGATATCCTAACAATCACCTCCCTTAATTAATTGTTTACCAATCTAATCAATAATATTTTGACTTTTACTGACCCAACATTACAATTGATTCAATTTCCGTTTCCTCTTAATTTATTTTACACCTTAATCAACATGTTAATTGTTACTTTATTATTGCTATTTATATAACAATTAAAACCTACATCATCACCAACAATTAAAAGCTAAATATTATTTATGATTCAATGTTGATTTAGTTTCAATTGTAATAACAAATTGGACGTTTAATTGTTTGGGTGAAGTTGAATATAAATATTTCATAGTGATTAAGATTAACTTGATTTATCTGATTGTTTGTTTATCTTTATTGTTGATTAAATTAATTTCTGGTTAATTGAACTGTAATAATGTAATTTAAGACAATCAATTTAATCATCATCATCATCATCATCATCTTCAAAGTGATGATGGAAAAGTGTTGATACAGATTAACATTTTCATCTCAATCTTTTTATTTTTATCATTGATTTGATTTCTTTTTGTTTCTTATCGGTGATTATCATCATTTCCGTTTCCGTTAACAATGTTTTCCGGTTCTTGTCTTAAATATTGAAGATCTAATGATGATAAATCCTATCAGACTAATGATTATGATAACAAATCAG